CGTCATTCCCGAAAGATTCTTGAGTCTGTCTTCCGGTTGCAACAAGAGGTCATCAAATACAAGTCATCTACGACGTATATAATTTCAAGGCTGTCAGATTCGCGCCAATTGCTTAGTCATGGACTGATGTCACGCGTCGCCGGTTCCGGAGAACACTATCCTACCCTAGACCTTCTCTCATCAGCTGCCATTTGGTCAATCTAGTCGCTACCTTACTCATCATGACCAGTTTGATCGTTAATATATGGCTTGCTGGAAACTATGATCTTATTTACATTAAATGGGTGTAATATTTGCGTGTTTTTTATTCATGGCGCAAATCGAGGCATGAGGTGTTGAAAACAACACTCTCTATGAACGTGATCGATTAGGCACATCTCGCCGTCTCTTGGAGCCAATTACTGGATGCACGTGAACTATTCAAATTGTATTATAAAAATGGCAAAAAGGCATTCTGGAAGTAAGCTACGGAAGTATAACATCGTTCTATCGACAATGTTAAGCACAAGAACCTTCGAAAGGGACTAGTAACACCCGATTTACTTGTATGGACCACCAAACTGTATATAAATGGGCAGTCGTTGACAAAAGGAGGACGCTTGAATGGTAACTATGGTACGCAAAGAATGTAGTTGATCCAGAGCCGCGAGAAGCCGAGAACCGATTAAGAATATTGCAAGTGCTTCATCTTTTACGGATCAAGCCCAAAGCAGGAGTGACACTATGGAGGGAAAGCGACTATGCAATGGCCTGCCTTGAGAAGAAAATACCCTGTGCGATTATTGAGGATTCTTGGTAGCGTTATAATTGCTGACCCAATGAAGTGGATGCGGCAGATTTCCCTGTCGCGGTGTATCTATTCCTATCCTTGAACCCATGCTGGTTGGGTGGTGTGGCGGTTGGAGGCCTATTCAACCGATCAAAACAAATTTGATCCTTTGCATCTGCAACCTATAGGCGTTCCAGACAAGAAACGTGGGAGCCCTGGGGCGAGCAAAAGTACGCTTATCTTGATTTTCATTCCACACGATGTTCTCTCACCTGTGGTGGGAGGGAGTGTAGCTTGATCACCGTTGATCATGCTCCCATATTGCCAGCACTAGGACGAATCCGCAGAATGAGACCAGGAGTAAATAGCAAAGTACAAGTACTGGAACAGACCCGCGGTTTCTCTAGCCGGGAGACGTAACGAGCCGAGACCATCCCAATTTTGGAATACATACTGGTGCTGTCCAGTAGCTCACTGCCGCTTCGGGTGCGCGGGTGAGTTCGCAAAAAACCGTTCTTCCAATACAGTCAATAGCGCAAAGTCTGGACGATCAAAGTAGCTCTATGTAGAATTAGCAAACATATACGAGACTAAAGAGGCGGAAGACTGCTTGTCTGGGGCGCGCTAGGCAGTCCCGTTGACCCAGCTGCAATCCTGGATAGACCCCTCCCCTGATCAAGAGTATACCAACCACAGCCTGCAAGCCTTGGTTAAGTTTGACTGTGATCGGATACAGCAAGGCCGACGTTCTCATCCTTTGTTGACTATGACCATTTTGATTCGTGATCGCCAACTTAGGGACTGCGTTGTATCCCGTGGGGTCTTTTTATCCCAAGGATGAAAAAAATTGCCAGGAAATACTGCGTCTACTATTGAAGCTTCTTGAGCCACTAGCCCTCCGAGGGGATTTACTGCTGATCTATCAAAGAAAATGTGATATCAGATGGATGATTATTGGATGCTAGTGGCTTGAACAAAGCGGAAGGTCGTCCCGATTGGCAAAGCCTCGATCAATCGAGCCTTTAAGCCGAAGTAATACTGGTCGAAGACGAAGTAATTCGCACTAGCCTAACCTCGGTGGCGGTTAGACTAACAGGCCAGACCAGGCCAACTGAGGTGTCGGCCTGTCCTTGATGTGGTGATTGGAAAGAGGCAATCGTACAATGTAAGGGTCTAGGGGCGTGTGAAGGGTGCTGCAACCCATGTGCATCGATCGGGAAGCCCGGGATGGCAGCAGGCTTTCAGTCAGCTATGATCGTATTCGCTGTTCGAGAACAATATATCAGAGCTACTGAAGAGTGATCGAGCTTCCGAAGCTGCTACATGATCAGGACGGCGTGAGTTGCTCTCGCCAATCGCCAAGTACCTATTTGCATGATCGGCTCGAGGGCCTGTTTGGACATCCAGTGATATGGCAGAAAGCTCACCGAGGCGATCGAGATGCAAAGTTTGATGTTAGTGTCGGTGATCATATGCAACGAATTGCCAGGATATGGACTTGTTTGGACGAAGATCTGTATAGAAATCGGAACCACAAGATTGAAATGGCCTACACGTGTATTCATCGCTACTTCTGGTAGCTCGACTCTCATGTTGACGTGATCCAGTGGAAGCCGAAAAGCTGCAGCGATCACGAGCCTCGTTAAGTCGCCTCTATCGAGAATGCGTGATGCGCGTGATATGGAGACCTGGAGTATCCTTAGGTAACCGCGGAGGTACTTTCTGTAACTCGCGGAATCGCGCCTCCAACTTTGGAAAAGGAAGAATATGTGGAGTAGGCAGATCATCCTGACGTCGAGTAGGCTGTGGTGCAGGGAGTCTATTCAACGGCTGGGCTGCCATCATTGCCTTTCCTAGGTTCGCACACAGGTGAGCTACCACCGCCCCCACGCTTCTCAGTTCAAGCAGGGCGCAGAAGCTGAGACAGAAGGCTGACGCAGTGACACATCAATGACTTCTCTTGGATGAGCATTGTGCATGCGGATCAGTGTGGTTGTTCCTGGACGTAACTTTGCGCCACCGCTGTGCGCTTCGTGAATATCGTCTCCCTATCGCTGCTACTCCTTTTTTTGTGCCTGCTCCATTCCACGATGAATTTGCCCATTAGATCCTTGCAAGGCGACGATTGCAAAATAGCATCAGCTAAAGTTATAACAGAGTTATTTGAAAGTTAATTAGCCCAGAGGAGCATGGGGACTGGGATGAAGAGTCTCGATCTGCATCTGGGAGTTTGCTGAGCTACTCGGCAACAAAGATGCCGAGTTCACAGGTCATTTGTAGCGGCTGACGTACGAGAGACGGACGCACGTGTGGCATTGTCTGCCAGCGACTTGCTCACGCTGTTGGCTGGCATGATGGCGCCGCTGGAGTCGCCGGGATTGGCAGGATGGGCTGGCCAGGGTGAGCACAGCTAAAAGCATATGGAACGTCAATGGAACGCAGATGGAAGACTAGCAATTTGTTCTTGCAGCTTCAAGGTGCCGAGGGGGTGTGTGTGCAAGAAGAACCCTCCAGGCTGTGTGCTCTGTCAGTTGGGATGTGCCGGTGCCAAGCAGTGGCCGAGGAATCAACACGCACCCAAGACGCACGCCAAGCCGGGGTAGTGAAAGAGGTGCGTGCCGCAGATGCAAGCAAGCAAGCAGACTGGCAGGCGAGCAGACGAGCAGACGAGTAAAGCTGGTGGGAAGCTGACGGATCGCGGCTGTTGGGAGAGAAGGCAGGGACGTTGCCGGACAGCCGTCCACGTGGGGGAATTGAGGGCTCTTATAGGACATCGTACACTAAAAGCTGGAGTCCGCTGAGTCCCCGCTAGCGCCCCCTTCTGAGCAGGCCCCAGCAGAGGCTCCGCAGCGGCATCCAGCAGCGAGCGAATACAAACTTTGCAGACTTCCTAAAGTGGCAACAATCCCACACCCCTCCCTTCCCTCTTGGGCTGCGGGCTGTATCGCCAGAATCTGGAGGCCTCAAGGGCTGCCTCTCAGATGGACCCGGAGAACTCGGTCCAGTGTCCTCGAAATGGGCGGGCTCGAGTTGCTGGGCCACAGAAAGAAGATCATGGGAAGGACGGAGCGCAAGGGTAAGACCTGGAGGGCCCTGAGACCAATCCCAACCGGAGGACTCGTACAAGAAATTAACTCTAAAACAAAACCTTCATTTTCTAGCTGCTGATGTGCAGGAGCTTAGGAAGGGTGGGACCTGGCGGCGAGCTCCCAAAACACTTGACGGTGCATGTTAGCCGCACTCGCTAGGAGCTTCTTGAGTCGAGCGTACAGCTGAACGGGCGAGTGGCAGTCGGATCGAGGATCTTTGTCCACGAAGCGTCACCGCGCATAATCTGCTCAGGCTCGATTAATTGCGCCAGTGACCGCCGCTACCGGCAACTGTGCCCATTGTAGGCCAATAATTGCCCGGAAAACGCCTGATGTATGGGTGCCTCTGGTTTCGCATCGCCCCATACCACCAGCAGCGTGGCGCCCGCCTGTCGGGTCTGAGGGCCCAGGAAGGCAAGGTGTAGGGCAACGATCGGGCATGCCAGAGCCCTGGTTCAGCCTACATCGTACCTCTGGGAGCCTCGACTTGGCTTTCGGGCGTGGAGTGTCTCTACTAATGGCTGGATAGTGCAGCCAGAGACGGAGCTGGTCCCAGTAGCTTGCAGCTGGCGCGGCTAATCGCTTTTTGACTTAGAGTTAGCCACTCCGCTATGGTGGGCAGACACGGATCACAACTGGGACCATGTATTGCTGGTTAGATGCTGGCTTGTATCCGAGACGTTTAGGTCTAGTACCTACTGACGCGAGTGTCGACACCCGCCCTCACCCTCCCCGCCGATGGAGGAGGGGTGTATGGAACCGATGGATATCTGTGGCCTGGACCCTTGCATGTCCGTTGGGAGACCCAGACGGCGACAGCCTACAGGAGGCCTCGACTGTGGGTAGGAAGATCGCTCCCATCAGCAAAGTTAGTTTGTTGCAGACAGGCAGCTTAAGCTGATAACTTTCGATTTAAGGTTGTTGTATATATAGTGGACACGAACCCCGAATCGTGTTCTGTCCTTCCTTCCTTTCTTCTCCAGGCCCTTCTCCCCCTTCCCTAGTCGGCACACAAGACAGCAGGCTTGTCGGGATCCAAAGTCTCATACTTTCTTTTTTCCCTCCTTCCCCCTTACCTATAATAATACATCCGTGTAACCAGGAAGCGACACTTCGTCTTCCTCTCCACAAACACCGCCAACATGGTTCTCACCGAGTATACCTACGTCTTTGCCATTGGCACTATGTTTGCCCTCCTCGAGGCTTACAACAACGGTGCCAGTACGTTTTCTCTTCTCGGCTGTTATTCAAAGCATGCTTCTATTTTTTTGGTGTCTAACTCGCGTTTCTAGATGATGTCGCCAACGCCTGGGCCACCAGTGTGTCCTCGCGCTCCATCACCTACCGATGGGCCATGGTTCTTTGCCTGGTCTTCGAAATGACGGGTGCGCTGGCTGTCGGTGCCCGTACTGCCTCCACCATCAAGAACGGCATCATCCCCATCTCCGCCTTCGAGAACAACGCCGGCGTCCAGCTCCTCGCCTTCACCTGTGCCTCCGCTGGTGCTGCTACTTGGGTCATGTGGTGTACTCGCCACAACGCTCACGTCTCCTCCACATACTCTCTGATCTCCTCCATTGCTGGTGTCGGTGTCGCCACTGTCGGTGCCAGTGGTGTCCAGTGGGGATGGAACAAGGGATCTGGTCTTGGTGCTATCTTTGCCGGTCTCGGTATGGCTCCTGCTATCTCTGGCTGCTTCGCTGCCATCATCTTCATGCTCATCAAGGTTGTCGTCCACATGCGCAAGGACCCTGTCCCTTGGGCTGTCTGGACCTCTCCCTTCTTCTTCCTGATTGCTGGTACTATCTGCACTCTCTCCATCGTCTACAAGGGATCTCCCCGTCTGGGTCTTGCTGAGAAGCCCGCATGGTACATCGCTGCTGTCACCAGTAAGTATCTTTCCGCTGATGCATGATATTCCTTAAAACCAGCTGGTCGCTAATAACGAATTCTAGTGGGTGTTGGTTGGGGCCTGTTCTTCCTCTCTGCTTTCTTCTTCGTGCCCTTCGTCCACGGCAAGGTCATCAAGAAGGACTACACCCTCAAGTGGTACCACTTCATCCAGGGACCTCTTCTCTTCCAGCGCATGCCTCCTACCGATGCTCACCTCGCCCGCGTCCCCAACTACGCCGTTGTCCAGCACGACGCTGACGACGAAGCCGCCGGTGTCAGCAAGCCCGAGGCCACCGACTCCATCGAGTACGACGGAAAGAAGAGCAACAACTCCCAAGACGGTGATGTTATTGCCCCCGTTGACAACAACGCCACCAAGAGTGTCGAGCAGACTGAGAAGCGTCTTATCCTGGCCGAGGCTACCCAGGCTGACTACCGTCAAATGATGGCCGAAGCTCTTGAGCGCCACCACGCCAAGCTCCGCAAGTCCACTAGCCCTCTCGGTTGGGCTATGCGCACTCTCCACGATAACCCCATGGGTGCTGGCTCTATCTACGAGCGTCATAATTTGATTGCTATCCTCAAGCGTCTCCCTGCTATGGTCGTCGTTGCCCTCATGTACGGTCTCTACTACGATATCCACACCGCTCAGATCGGTATTGAGGGTACTCCTGAGGGTAAGCGCATGGCTCGTGTCTATGCTCACGCTACCAAATACCCCAACGAGGTCGAGTACCTGTACTCTTTCGTCCAGATCATCACTGCCTGCACTGCCTCCTTCGCTCACGGTGCCAACGATGTTGGAAACGCTGTCGGTGTCTGGGCCGCCATGTACTCTGCCTGGTCCACGGGAACTGCTACTGCTGCCAAAGCCGAGGTTCCTCTCTGGCAGATCGCTGTTACTGCTCTGACCATTTGCATCGGCTTCATCACCTACGGATACAACATCATGAAGGGTATGTTCCGAGTTTACAACCCCAGCCCTTGAATGAACATAGTATAAGCTAACTTGGGTGAATAGTCATGGGTAACAAGATCACCTACCACTCTCCTTCCCGTGGTTCCTCCATGGAAATGGGTGCCGCCATTACCATCTTAGTCTTCTCCCAATTCTCTCTCCCCGTCTCCACCTCCATGTGCATCACTGGTGCCACCGTTGGTGTCGGTCTCTGCAACGGAACCCTTAAGGCCGTCAACTGGTCCCGAGTCGGTCTCTTGGTCTTCTCCTGGATTATGACCATCCCTATTGCCGGTCTCATTGGTGGCTGCACCATGGGTTTGTTCCTCAACGCCCCTCACTTCGTCCGGTAAATGGATGAAAAATGTTGAGTTTACTCCACAACCCTCTAGATTATACGACGCTCTTTGGATACCTGCATCTTAACCGGATCTGCTTTTAATTAATACAGTTATGGAATTTTTTGCTGATGCCGGATTGTGATACCCCCGGCTTTTGGCTGCATGTGGAGGAACTACAGTGATATCAGATATAGAAAATGGGCAGGGCCTAGCACTTCGTGTACAAAGTTCTCCCCTAAATACAACGTGTTTGTTGAAAATCTTCTCCTCCCTGTCGTAAGCTCTGGTGCTGAATTGATGTCGTTGACGTTCTCCAGTGGTTGCGTGACCACTTGCTGTTCTCATCGCTTGGCCTTTCTTGGCCACTTGGCACGCGATCGTGCTCTGGGGTCTGCATATGAATTGGTGGATACAACGTTGAATCCCCAGAGGAACTTCGCCAGCATGGAAAAGAACCGCTGCTCGTCTGACTATGGGGACTTGAGAGTAATTTCTTTTTCTCCCCCGCTCTTACTCCTCCTTCCTCTTCTCAACCTGCTCCTCGCTAACGATCTGCCAATGGCAATGAATCACCTCTGTCGGGCGATTTGGACCCTAGGCAAAGATGGACAGGAGGCCGGTACAGGGGAGGGGTGGGAGAAGCAGAATGTGCCGGGTTTCCCGACCTACCCGAGAATAGTTACAGGGCCCAGACAAGACCCATCGACCTAATTCGGATCGGCCATCTTAAGCTTAAACCTATGAGACAACGTAGTGGGCCCACGTGCCCTCTGGGAGAGATCTCCTTGGTCGATCTCAAGTCCTCCCACAACGCGGGATGGAGAAGGGAATCGAATGCAGCCAAGACGGCATTTTTCCCCTTCTTACATTGCTGCTAGGCACAGAAAGGGAAATACGCCTGTACGGTTTGTCATACCCAACTTCAGTTGGATTTTGTAAGAGCGGGAGGCAGCCCATGCCGAATAGCCGTGTCCCTCGCCTCGCCCTCCCATTTTTCCAGTCCCCCCGTTGTTTGGTGTTCTTTGGGCTTCGTTAACCTTAGATTCAACCTTGATCATTATTTTTTTAGAATTATTAGTATCTACGTTCCTGCAGGGCCTTGTTTGTTGGAGTAGATGATTCCTGCTCACTTATATGCAGATCAGATATATACTTACCTTACATGGTGTTTTAGAGAGGTAGACCTTTAGATTCCCCTCCCAGCCCTATGCCAAGAAGAAACCAATAAAGTACCTAGGGAAAGGCGTAACCGTCGTACCAGAAATCTACTGATAATTGATTTGATACTCAACCATTGGAAAATTGCTACCAGGCCTTCATTCGCGTCACGCCAGGGATTGTCCACCCCGTTCTCTGCGCCCCATTGGTCTGAGACATACATTCGTAATATCCTCGAGGCTGCTTGCGTAGCATAAACCCACATTGCCTTGAAGATTGGAATTCGGTTGGCACGTGCTGGTCCAGTGGCCGTATGCCTCATCTACACGAGGCACCTACACGGGACTATCCACTGGATGCAGTTTCTTGCTCAAGAGGATCTCGTTTGTCAATAGATCCCAGGACTAAAAACCCAGGATGAGCCTGGGATGTCCTGCGCGTATCCAGAATTCATACACCCCTCCCCCCCTTGTCTTTTATTCCCTCTCTTCCTCGGTGGTTCTTCTTGACCCTCCCCTCCCCATCACGCTCGACTCCATGATCATGCATACAAAGCCCATAGTTTCCGCTAACGCGGTGCCCACCCGCCCGGTTTGTTCTGCATGATTTCTAGAACGTCTCACGGAGGGGCTGGAGAAGGGTGTGAATGATCGTCAAGATTTCGAGCGCAGCGAAACACCCGGGATCCTTGCCCCCCGCTGGTCGCCTCCGTGTGACATTGAGGTGACTTTCGAGGTACTTGCCTCCAGATGAAAGAAGGGTGCACGTGTCCATGGATTTACAGATCCAGTGTAGTGTCCAAGCTTCAAATACGATGGAGTAGCGTGATTCAGCTCCCCTCAGCCGCGATGTGTGGTTTTCATGCATTTCACGGAGCCTCTGTGCCTTTTTCAGCTGAGCCCGCCGGATTTGGCAGAGATATTCGATTTGTCCAATTGAGTACAGTTTCGGATGGACCGGAGAGCTTCATTGGGCTGGAATGTCTGAGTTGTCTGCCCCAAAGAGAAACAATCGTGAATGCTGGTTATTGCAACTCGGCTTCTGTTCCCGCGCCTGCTTCTTTTGGGCGCCATCAAAAGGTCCCTCGTGCAGCTGAATATGCGTAGTATTGATGAACATCTGACAAATGCTACAATTCTCACGTTTTAGTGAAGGTTTATCCCCTGGAAGCGTCGCCTAGACTACACCGGCTACGCGAGTGATAAGCACCGACTCTACATTAATTGAATCGCCTTTTTGGTGCTGTGATACCTTCGACAGGTGGGCACTCGTTCTCTTATCCTTGTACTTGAAACTTTCTTGAATGATCATGTTATTTTACCTTGTAGGACGGGTGCTAAGGCAGCGCAATGGTTGCTTCAGGCGTGTGGATGCAGGAAACACGGCAATCGTGGAAGTATGCTCCCACTTTAGAAAGAACGAGTCCAAGAGATATTGCAACGTGATAGCACGCTGTCAGCTTGCTACCATATCGCACGGGGATTCCTTCCTTCTTAGACTAAAGATAGAGAAGAGGCTTGTCGTTCTCGTCACAGTTGAGAAAGCTCTCGGAGAACTTGTAGTAGGTATTTCTTGCGACTGCTAAATTTGTTTCCTCCATAGAATCTAGCAAATAATCTGGAGCGATAAAGTGAACCACCTTCTCCAAATCTCAAGATCACGTACCGATCCTACAATAATCGTCGGCTTGAAGACGAGAGGGCCGCTGATGAACAACCACAAGAGGCATCCACTACTTTCCCCAATGTTCTTTTGCGCCTTTTGTGTTGATATATATCATAGCTCGTTTTATTTGCCTCATTAAATTTGTTTTTAGTTCATGTTAAGAGAGATTCCAGAGGTAACAAGTTGAAATTTAATTGATGGCAACATCCTTTGATGCTCAATGCACTCTATGTATCCCGCTCTAGGTTAAGTCGAAGGTCTCGTCCCCGTTGATTCCTGCTGACTAACACTAGCGCCAAGAAATTGATAGTGCATTGCACCCTAATCACACGTGACCGCACATGGGTCTCTCAAATTGACTTTCAATATCACGAACTTTTTTTTAGTTCGGAGGTTTGGAGATTCACCATCGCACCAAGGTTACCTTCGACAACCCGACAACCCGACAACCACATCCAAGATGGCCCGTAACAGCAAGAACAAGTCCAGCGACACCCTCGGTCAGCGTCTGGCCCTCGTCGTCAAGTCCGGAAAGATCTCTCTGGGCTACAAGACTTCCCTCAAGTCTCTCCGCAGCGGCAAGGCCAAGCTGATCCTGATCGCTGCCAACACCCCTCCTCTCCGCAAGTCTGAGCTCGAGTGTAAGCAATTGACTCCTCGCCAATGGTTCAGAAGGAAGATGCTAACATAATAATCCAGACTACGCCATGCTCAGCAAGGTCCCCGTCCACCACTTTTCGGGCAACAACGTCGAGATGGGAACTGCTTGCGGTCGTCTCTTCCGCTGCGGAACCATGGTCATCCTCGATGCCGGTGACTCCGACATCCTGTCCGACCAGACTCTCAACGGTTAAAAAGCTAGTTACGAGCTTCACTTTTTTACGTCCACGGTACGTAGCGTCCCTTGAGCTCGGCGAAAGACATTCTGCGAAACATGTTGATGTCGATGAAAACATGTGGAGAATGCATTTTTTGGACTAACACCCAACCCTCCAACAGGTCAGCTTACGGCGTTTACGGTTATGTTTTTTGACGAACCTTGATAACTCGGGAAAAAATGTGTCTTTGCCCCCACTCCCATCGGATATGTAGTAGTATTCGACACCGAGATGCGTAGATATCGGGACTAAAAAGTTGGGTAGCTAGATCTTTATGAATAGACCTGGCCAAGCCACCGTGCTTTCAAAATCGATGAACATGCATTCTCATATTGATTTGCTTCAACACGGCTACTGTGATCTGTCTGAGTGTTTATGACTGTGCTGCCATCACATTGCCTGCCCTTGCCTTCGACCAAGTGCCGAGCTAGGATGGGAGACTGAGGCGGATAAATCATTTCAACTATGAAACCCAGTCCCCAACTGTAGGTCTCAAACCATATCGTCGTTGGGAACACGCGGTTGAATCATGTTCAGTATACGCAAAAGGTTTCTGCTATGTCTATATCATTGCATTTACACATGCCTCTTTCACATACGACCATACCTATTCGAGAACACGCGATCCCGTCCGCTCTCGCCTAGTTAAACGGATAAGGGGCCGATTAGTAGTTGGGTCGGTGACGACCAGCGAATACCGGCTGTTGTATGTTTTTTGCCTTCTTTTTTTTGGTTGATGAACTTCCTGTTTGAAGCCCAAACCGTCTGTCTTTTCCTCTGGTTGTGTTGTTGGTGACTATGTCAGCCTGTGTTGTGGATTCCTACCCTTTATAGTAGGGTTAAATTAAACGAACTGTTCTGTAGGAGAAAGCCAGGTATACGTGCTTTCAAGATAGCCAATTTTACCACATTTTTACGCAAAAATTCGGCCGCTGCTGGGTCGGCGTAAGGTGGCAGAGGATATTAAGGCTTGGCGGAAGTTAGCGGGGGCTGATCCTTACTCGGATGCTTGGGTTTCATGCTAGTTCAAGTAGAGAGGAATTGCTTCGTCGCTTAAGTCGACTAACATAGGGAGTGTTTGATTGTTACTTCACGCAGATCTGATTATGGGAGAGAGACCTCTGCTGAATCTAAAACTACTCGCCCACTACTCTGCCTGGGGCTGGAAGATTCGTAGGGAAGGAATGTTGAGGAACCAGGCCCTGTGAAGGTCAAAGGAGAGGAGAATCAATGGGAAATTGAAAAGATTGTAGCCAGAAGACTCATCCGTCCGAAAGGAAAACCACCACTGGTCAAATGCTTGGTGAAATGAACAGGTTATAGCAACGAGTACAACGAGTGGAAGAAAAGAAGCGAACTGATCCTGACTGCACCGAAAGCAGTCGAACAATGGGAAGAAAAACCCCCAGCAATGGAATAGCTCAGAAACGTGGTGATCATAAGATCAGAGCAATTTGAGACCATTCCAAACACGAATATCGAGGTGAGGTTGCCAGCAAGGAAAATCTGAGTGCAGGAGGGGAAGCATCAGGAATAATACCTGGGGAAACTCATAAATTTGTTGTTCGTGTCTCTCCTTGCCCCTGAGAAGGGTGCGCACTCCTCAACGAGGAAGAGCGGCCACTGAACTTGGAATCGACAAAGAGAGAATTGCATTCCTTACATGATCTAAGATCCATGAATGAGTGACTGCCAAATTTATAATTGAATCTGCTAATGTAGAATGTAGATCAACATGCCTCGCACCGCGCGGCAGCCTGAACAGCTTACACTAGACGCCGCCGTTCATTATCAAGTTCATACCAGTACCGTCTGATGTTACTGCATCGGCCTAATAAAAACCGTAATCAATCGACTGTACCTAAGAGTTAGGTATCTATATGCCCGTGTTATGCCATGGAGGATGATATGAAGTTGTACCCCAGATCGCTATGCTTAGCTTGTGTATATCAAATCTAGTTACAAGAATTCTGTTGGTTAATAACAATGACCACAATAATAGGAAAGGATTAAAACTTGTATAAATTTTTATCTACTACGTTTTGTGTTACTTGTTCTTCGAAATTGTGCCTAGAATCATGAGTCAGAGATCTTGTTGTGCCACCTGTCTTGCTCAACACCTGCGGGGTTTCTCTCGAGCCGATACGACGAGATAACTCGGCTACGAAACTCGAGGATAGTTAGGTGGCTTATAAAAAATAGCATTAAGATGGCTGGATGCTGCTACCGCCTAAAGCATTCTGGGCTCCGTCCAGGTTCCCCGCGAGTGGCGAGGATAAAGTCTTTGGCCTCCACCATCCTTAAGAATCATGCCCCTCACCAGTTTCCAATTAAAGGTACAGATCTGCGCCGTGTTGCCTAATAGATCATCTTGCTCTCGGCTACCTCGATCTGTTTCCCGGACACCTCCTCTAGACGTGAATTCTGATGTGATAGGCAACGGGACCAACCCTTAGGGCCACACCCCAAGGGGAGAGTTCCGAGATCTCCAACCATCTGATCGGCACTTCCAATATAATTTAAGGAGACAATATCACCAAAATCCGAACGTACCTTGGTGCGCATCTTGGGATACCATGCCCGTGGGGGTAGCTGCCGGCCTAGAGCACTAAACCACTCATGAAAACGGGTATGCTATGACTGTTGTAAGTTACTTAACTCTCTTTATCTATGTTCTTATCTAATGATCCTTCAATCGCACCTAATTCAGCCCTAGTAACCATGAAAATGGAGATAGACCTGCATATGTCGCACCTGCGGGCGCTTTCATCGACGTCCAAGTAACCACGCACAACGCGTCTCCTGATTTGATTTGAGAGATAAAAATGCCTCATCTTCTAGGCTCGGCCTATGATAATCTGCGATCTTGGCTGCCACTGTTCTTGGATTTTGTACCAGACGTATAGGACGAGCCTTTCCCTCAGGGTCTGAATGTGGGAAGCACTGAGCGGCCATAGTGGACCAGAAACATCATCGTCGTCCGAGTTCATCGAGGAAGTCCTTGAAAACTAGATCATATGGAATAAGGCGTCTTCCGAATGTAGGTTGCAGGTAGTTTTCCGAACGAGGCGGTAGAACCACACTTGGGCATTCGGAATAAGTGTCATGAATTACCAAATACCTAGTTCACCCACTTTGATGAAACAAGATAATACTGAATCGATCAATTATTTCAAGACAGAATTTGCAAATACACTATCATCAAAGACATATCAATTCTGGAAATACCATATGAAATTTTTAATCCGAGGGCCGAAGGCTATCGCAAAGATTTTTTCTTTCCTCAGGCCAAGATGCTATTACAAAGAAAACATGATTGCGACGTCAGATCATCACTTCTTCGTCTCATATTCGTGCGCCAACACGGCTCGCCTTGCATGCCGTCCACTGCTTCACAGGCTCAGCTCAACCTTCATGGCCTCACGGGTGCCCTCCTCAATGGCAGCAACCTGAGCCTTTGTCAGGCGCTTCAGGGGTTGCCGAGGGTATCCTCCGTACCCGTAATATGTCTGAATAGCCTGCTTTGTGCCGGCAATCGCGGCCTTGGTCAAGGGCCAGTCGCCCTTGCTCAGTACCTTTTGCAGGGCGGCGGCCTCTTCCTTCTTACCCTCGGCGTAGAGATCCCAAATCTTGGTGCAGAGCTTGGGCATGACGTTGGCACCACCAGCGATGATTCCACTACCGCCGCTTACGAGGGTCTGGACCGTGAAGTCGCACATGCCACCGAATGCCATATACCCTGATCCTTGCTGGAAGGGGGTCTTGGCGTCTGTTGCTTGCGCTACGCGGGTGAGCTTTCCAGTGTTTCCACATGTGAACTTGGTGCCCACGATGTTAGGGTGTTGAGCGAGTTCAATCAGGGTGTCACTGTCCAAGTCAGTGCCAGAAACGGCGCCGGGGTAGTTGTAGATGATGATGGGCAGAGGGCTCCCGTCGGCAACAGCTCGGAAGTAGTTTACTACGGCCTCGGTGTCTGTTTGGGCTTTGTAGTAGGAAGGGGGGAGAAGCATGTTGTAGTCGGCTCCGTTCTCGGCAGCTAGCTTGCTCAGCTCGATGGTGCCCTTGACACTGCCCTCAGTGCCTCCGAAGATGATGGGCGTTGATTCGAACCCGGCGGCGTCGAGTGCTTCACGCGTGGCCTTGGTAACGGCAAGTTTCTCTTCACGGGTGCAGTGGACAGCCTCGCCATTGGAGCCGAGGGTCACGATACCAACGAGGCCGCTGCGTACTAGGCGTTCGGCATGCTTCTTTACTGCAGGAATATCAACCTCCTCAGTCTCCGGATCGAAGAAGGTCATGACAGGTGCGTAAATGCCACATGGGAGGGGGCGGCCGGTAGCGGCATTACCGTTGCCACTCTGGTTGGTATTTAATGAAGGCATGGCCGTTGAGAATAAAATGGCAATTGGTCGTATACAAGAGGGTATGATAATGGTGGTACGGTAAGGGTATCTGAATCACGGGTACACAGGTGAGGAAACAGGCCTGAAGAAAAGAAAAATCAAAGGGATGAAGAGAACAGGGGCAATTTTGCTCTCAAGGAACAAACCCCAGCTTTTATATGATCACCGCAAGTGACTAGTCATCTGTACCAACTCGCAACTTCGGCCGACCTGGGAGACGTCCAGTGCCCGGCTGGGTGCAAGCATTGTACCGAGATCCTCCACCGCGCTTCTATCATGGGGACGCTTGGCTTCCGTCGGGATTGTGAGGTGCACGCTAAAGAATGTGGATGCAGAGGGTGTGGATTCAATGGATCCACGCTTGTTGAAGGCATGCCCACCTCGGGGGATTTGGGGGAATTGGAGGCAACGGCTACAGAAGACTGCGTCTCTCATTAGTCTGACGGATGGGAGGGCCATAACGCAGGCCGAAACTCTGCAGGAAGCCGCTTTCAGGAGCCAGAAAACAGTAAAACGAATAGAATAGAGGCCGGGATGTTGGTGATGTTGCATTGTTGTCATCGCCTCAGGTTGCTCAAAGTACGAAGGGGCAACGTCGAGCCCCGTATGCTGCATGCACCTGGTCAGAAACCACATGGTACCATGCCTTGAAGAAAAAACGAAGAAGAAAGCTAGCCCGAAGCAGTAATAAGCGTGGGATGAGTTCGATATGGGGGTCAGCCATTGCATGGCCCAGGCTCCGGAAAGCAAGACCACTGTCTGCAAGAACGTTCTCGCTAGCTCTCCAGCTGTCTAATTCAGGAGCCTTGGCGTCGAGATCGTCGGCCGGGGCCTAGAAAGCGGAATGTACAGCGTATCAAGAAGGTAGGTTGTCTGGTTTAGGAATTACCAGATATTGCTCATGGCCCTGTTTGTAAGCCGGATCGCAGTAGGAGGACCGATCCTGGATCCGTATCTACGATCGAGGGATGCTTCACATCGTCCTGGCATTGTTCCGAAGCATATAGCTGCCAGCGTTATGCATTGCTGGGCATGACTGAAAGTCCATATTCTCTACCGAGGGGTGGAGCGGATAGGTACGCCCGGGGTATTGTCTTGGGCCGTGTGATATCGCGAGCATCAAGCCAGAGAGCTCCTCGGAGTGGTACAGGGAGGTCAGGTGCGGGCCATTAGTCACGGCAAGGGGGGGAAAAGATTTTCTTACGAGGGCTGAAGCTCTCATAGAAGGAATAAATCTGCACATTGGATGGCAGCAGACCAGCCAAGCCAGCTAAGGGGAGCGCTTATTTGCTGGAGAGGACAGGGGCGTGCTCGAGTTCGACGTTGGGCGTTGAAGCTCAACGGGGACCAAGGAAAAACAACCGAATTCAAGTACCAACGGATGATTTTCGCGGGTGTTTTTCCACCAATCAGAGCGACGGCAAATTAGGTAAGTTTGACGGACAGATAATAATCCGCGAAATGGAGGGGCACAGGGCGAATCCCGGCCGAGAATCGGAGTGACGGCATGGGCCACGACGGCTGCATTGGTGAAGGTATAGCCTCAACTGCCACGATCTCTTGAACTTGAAGGTAGAAATGGCTCGCTGGTGAAGACTGAAGATGGGTTTCTTTTGAGTGTGATTGGCGAGAACTTGTACTGACCCTTGCTGGAGCGGAATCAGTACTGCGAACCCCGATGCGGGGTCCTGGCTTCAATGACGTGGGGGAGGGGCAGCAGGCTGGTGCCAGTGCGCTGGGAGTGCTATGCACGGCGATTCAGCGCCTCGCGGGCACTAATTTTTACTGCACCTATCCGCTATTTCATTCGGAAGCCTCTCGGAGCGCCTTTCCCCCGGCGCCGTGGGACAAATTCCTGCATCGAGGCCGTTGGAATGCTAGTGCAGCACTACTGCTGCTCACATCGACTCGGTAGGGGAGTTTCTGTGCACGGAATTGGCGGGGTCGGTCCAAGAAGGATATGACCGCCGGGTGTGCCCCCATTCTACAACGCCATCTGCTCCTGGGCCATGGTTGGGAATCAGGTCATCCAGACACAAAGACGCCATAAGAACAGCCATTCCCCTGTTTCAGCTAGTAGATCAAGGCCAAGAAACAGTCGTTCACGTAAACTGGAATTATCCCAGCCCCCTCGCTATTGCCGGAGCTCCTACACAGCACGTTTTCCCTCCAATTGTCGTGTCGGAGAACTCTCTAGTTTCTCCGCCCAGGCCCAGAGCTTCCCGATTCTGGAGCTCCCCAAAGCCGAGCTACGAGCAGCAGCCGCGCATTCACCAGCTTGGTTTTAACCACGGCCGGCCGCCATCCCAATTGCAATTTTCGCTCTTCCGTAACTCGTATCTCACAGAGCTCTGGTTGCTCATTCTACATCCTCCAGTCAATACAAGCTACCTCCAGCGACAAGATGGCTCCTCCAAGCGTGCTCATGGTCGGCACTGGCGAGTACACCACGGGATTCGTGGGTACCGGCGCCTCTGGCTCAGACAAGAAGGTCGGCGTTGTTGGCCTCACCCTCTTTGACCTGCGCCGACGCGGCAAGGTCAGCAACCTGAGCATGGTCGGTGTCAATGGCACCAAATTTCCCGCTATCCGTAAGTCTGAATTGGAGAGGATGAGAACCGGACCCCGGCGCAGTGAACGCACACTTGATCAGAGAGGAATTGGTAGGCTAACAAGCTTGTCTCTCAGGTGAACACCTTCACAAGAATATCACACAGGCATACAATGGCCTCGATACCTCTTTTGAGTCCTATCCCGCCAATGATACCAAGGACCCTGATGCCTACAAGGCCGCAATCGACCTGCTCAAGCCCGGAGACGCCATCACCGTCTTCACCCCAGACCCGAGCCACTACCCAATCGCTCTTTACGCCATTGAGCGCGGCATCCACGTTCTTCTCACAAAGCCTGCCGTCAAGGAGCTTGCCCACCACCAGGACCTGATCGCCAAGGCCCGCGAGAAGAACGTCTACATCTTCATCGAGCACCACAAGCGCTTCGACCCCGCCTACTCAGATGCCCGCTTCAAGGCCCGCACTCTCGGCGACTTCAACTACTTCTACAGCTACATGTCCCAACCCAAGTACCAGCTGGAGACTTTCAAGTCCTGGGCCGGCAGGGAGTCCGACATCTCCTACTACCTCAACAGCCACCACATCGACATCTGCGACTCCATGGTCCAGGACCGCGGCTACGTCCCTGTCAAGGTCTCCGCCTCCTCCTCCAAGGGCGTCGCCACCGACCTCGGCTGCGTCGACGAGACCGAGGACACCATCTCCCTCCTCGTCACCTGGGAGCGCAAGGACGCACCCAGCAAGCGCGCCATCGGCGTCTACACAGCCTCCTGGACCGCCCCCCAGCGCGCCGGTGTGCACACCAACCAGTACTTCCACTACCTCGCCGCCAACGGTGAGGTCCGCGTGGACCAGGCCAAGCGCGGCTACGACATTGCCGACGACTCGGTCGGTCAGCTGCAGTGGCTGAACCCCTTCTACATGCGGTACGCCCCCGACGAGGACGGCAACTTCAACGGCCAGACCGGCTACGGCTACATCTCGATTGAGAAGTTCATTGACGGCTGCCGGGCCATCAACGACAAGACCGCGACGCTCGACGATCTCGATGCCAAGGGTCTGCCCACCCTCAAGAACACACTGGCCACGACGGCTATTCTGGAGGCCGGACGACGAAGCATTGACGAGAAGCGGGAGGTGGGCATCAAGATCGAGGGCGATATCTGGACTCTGGTATAAGTTTGTCTATATATTTCAATTGAGGAATCTGAAAGAAAAGGATTGAAAACGGGTTGTGCAGGCAAAAGGATACTGTAATCAATCTACCTTGGATAAGAATATAAATCAAGTAAAAAATAAGATGAAAATGAGCAATCCGTCTGTATAACCTCCAGTTTCTACCTTTCGATCCTGTGAAAATACTTTGAGGGGCTGATTCTGGTGTGGATCCTACGAACTATCACGAATCACACATATAAACTCTGCACACACATTGCGCTACACCGACAAAAAAAACCAGCAGAGTTCCAGGACAAATTCAGTATCGCAAACGCTCTGTATAAATAATTTCGCCAGACCGAGCGATCCAGCTCTGAAAATGTCCAACCCACACTACTCCGAGCTCATATTTCCCACCTCGGAGCAGCCGTCCATCTCCCACCTTCTGGCGTCTCTCAAGCGCAGCACGCTCTCTATCCACAACCGCCTCACCTCGATCCGCGCCGATGCCGAATTTGTAGCCCGTGTGACTGAAGCATTCAAGAGCAGGCCTCTTGTAGCCAACGAGCGATGCGGCAGCTGGTACGTCCCGCCAGAGCGCAAGGACGGGAGTGCGTACTTCAAGAGTACGGATGGTCATGAGCGAGCTTGGAAGTTCAGCACCAGGAGGCTGAATCTCCATCTCATTGACATGATCGAGAAGAACGACGGGTAATTCAACTCTATGATCCCTTCTACGCTCACCATGGTTCCATAAAATATCAGCCGTGATGCCGAAATGAGAAAAGTGAACAGTAGACTGACACATATAGAATTATCATCGTCGACTCTACCCGCCGAGGCAAACGTACGTATAAAACATATCTATCCACACTTCTCAGAGGGTATCTATAGCAAACTGACGAACGATCCAGGCATGCCGGATGCCCTCTCCACCACCATCCCCGTCTGGTGCAACGTCCTCAACCTCGCCCTCCTCCCATCCAACCCCAACTCCCACCGGCTCTTCCTGCCCCCTTCCCTCCCAGCAACAACCCACGCCCAGATTTCCGCCCTCATCCCCCAGTTCCTCTCCTCCCTCCACGACCTCAAGATCGCCCTCCCCACCAGCCTCACAAAGCCCCTCCGCCCGCTGTGGATCACCCAGGAATCCTCCCTCGAGGACCTGGACGGCCAGATCTTCGACGACTTCAGACCCGTCGTCTGCTGCACCGCCAGCCGGAGGGTGGTCGGCAGCGAGGTGGACGAAGGGGGGTACATCCAAGGCGCCGCCGACGACACGGAGAACTGGGCACACGGGCTCACCCCACCGGTCTTCTGGCACAACGCATCCGAGCTCCTCGAAGCCCCCGAGGCCGAGCTGCCAAACCTCATCGCCAGGCTGGTAGCGCAGCACAAGGCGGACGAGGAGGCCCGGGGCGGCGAGAGTGACCGGAGACACCGCCTCCTACCGCAAATCTCCGTCTCTCCGCTGCCGCTGAGTTCGCAGGAGCCGGCGGCGGCGGCGGCGGACGAGTGGCACATCGCCCTCACCTCGGAGACCACCCAGAGGGACGCATGGGTCAAGTCCCCGCGGAGGATGGAGGTCGGCGTGGGAAGGAACAAGAACGCCAGCAAGAACCTGCGCCTCGCCCTGCCCGACATCTGCGATTTCGCTGCCAAGTGTTTCAGTGCGCCTGGCACCTCGCCGGCCCAGATCGTTATCGGCTGCGAATCCGGGAAAGACATCTCAGTAGGCACTGCCCTCGCTATCAATTGTTATCTGTTCACAGATGACAACAAGTTCCGCGTCCCGGATCAGGATGTATCATTCACTAAGACACTGGTTAAGACACGGCTGGGCCGCATCATGACCGCCTTCCCTGCTGCCAACCCCAGCAGGACAACACTCCAAAGCGTCAACAGCTTTCTCATGGACTGGCGAAAATGAGCGGGCCATGCACGAGTGTGACTCGGTGGCTAAAAACAGGTTCTTTGCATTACTACATCAGGTCATCAACGTAAAGCTCTCGACAAGTCTAGCTCGTCTAATCCCAAATCTAAACGTGTGGGACAATCTCTCTAGACGCTACCGGCCTCGATCTTCTCTAGAACAGACGGGAACTCGGACCAGTCCTTCATGACAATAACCGCACCGGCATCCCTCAGCACCTGCTCCATCTCGGCCTTCTTGTCGTCGGCGTAGGGGCCGACGTACCCGACGACCTTGATGCCCGCGCGGGTCCCGCTCAGGGTCCCGCTCTTGCTGTCCTCGATGGCGACCGTCTCCCCGGCGGCCCTGCCGAGCTTCTTCAGCGCGTGGAGGTAGATGGCCGGGTCGGGCTTGCTGGTCGGCTTCTCGAGGCTGGTGGCGGCGGAGAAGACGACGTCGCCCTTGAAGAATTTGTCCTGCCCGACCTTCTCGATCGACGCCCGCACGCGGCGCAGGGCCGACGACGAGACGACGGCGAGGAGGTACTTTCCCGAAGCCTCGAGCCGCTCCAGCTGCTCGTCTACCCCGGGGCAGGGCCGCAGGGACTCCTTGAGCTTGGCGATGACGGCGTCCTCCTCCATGAGGACGTACTTCTCCATGTCGTCGGGCGCGATCTCGATGCTGTACTTGCTCTGCAGGGTGGTGAGCATGCCGCGGAAGTTCTGGCCGACGAACTCCTTGATCAGCGTCTCCCCGCTGAAGCGGGCCTCGACACCGCGCTCCTCGCAGATTGTGTTGATGAGGCCGGCGCACGCCTCAAAGGCGAGCTCCTCGGACAGGACGAGGGTGTTGTCGCAGTCGAAGAGCAAAGTGGTGATCTACATGGGTTGCAGGTGATCAGCGTTTCGAGGGCGGGCTAGACTGCGTGGGCCGGATTGGCTCCAGGTGATAGGGCACTGACCTTGGCCATCTTGATTATTTCTATTCAGTAAGCTTCTAAAGGTATGATGGGTATAGAGCTGGCAGGGAGATCAGAGGTCAATGACACAGATCGACCGGATGAGAGAGGCACGGAGCAGAAAGAAGCGAGAAAGCCAACAAGAAGGTTGCTAGGGAAATTTGGGTTACTTGCGAAGGTCGAGGATATGCACAATGGAGGTGTCAAGCTACATATAATAGCTGTTTAGCTTGGGAAAGCTTGGAGACCAAGTGGGTGGGAAGTGGGAACTGTCCTGCAAAACGACGTAATGTCCTCCGGAGAGTGGGAGGGGCTGAACGAGGGGAGGAGCGAGAAGGAGGGGAGGGAAGGAGATGTCACGTAGTGAGAGTACCAGTTTGGCCGCACGGCTCCGTACGGTCGTTGGTACTTGCTTATAGTTACCTTACCACATGAAAACAGAATATCTTCGGGCCTTTACTCCCTTTTTCCACTCATATATGACCAGAGAGACGGGCGAAAACCCCTCAATGGCAGCGATGCCTCGCTGGCTGGATCAGTCTCAGTCTCCTTGTCTAGGCCACAAGCTTTCCCTGTCCCCGCAACGAGGCCCAAGTGACAGGTCTCTCATTGAGGTCCTTATTCCCTCGAGACCTCAATTAACTTGAATGGGCTGGGGAGCCACACCATCCGGTATGCACCCTATGTCCATGTTTGGATTTGGCTGCAGCAGAGGTGAGAAGTGTGGGTTATAATGGGAGCAAACAAGCAAGCAAGCAAGCAAGCAAGCAGCACAGGCAAACTCTCGACCTTGACTTAGCGTACCTTCATGCATGAAGGAAACCAACAATTGGATTCATCCGTCGCTTCGTTGCTAATCTCCAGCACAAGGTTGGCCGCTGAGACAAAACTGCTCCTCTCGGGGGGTACAGGCCCGACTTGCCCCTAAACCAGGTCCGCCTCTGCCCCTTTCAGGGCTGTTAGCGGGAGCCGACCCGAGGCTAGGCGGCCTTGGCCCCTGTCACACAGGCTCTCGGTGTCATCGGCCCAGTGGATCGCACGATCGGCTGTCTTCTTCTTCCTTCTCTGTTCCTTGCACGCAGACATGTGCTTCATGGAAAAAACCATATGGATTCTAACGGCAGTTGTGCGGGAATATGGTAAATCGGCCGCTTTTTCCGCCGCCATTATTCCTTTGAGACATATATCCAAAGCTTCCCAGAGCATCTGCAAGACATGTCACCTGGTGTGGCCGCGTGCAATCATGATTTGACGGAGCCGTCGCGAGGTCTCTGACAGATCATACTCGAAGTCGGTGAGGCAGAAAGTGGCAGAAGTAATCATGCACTATGGTATCAAACGCGGAGTACTCACATGTACACAAGTCCTCGTTGGACCCGAATGCTCCCCCCCCCCTTCACCCAGGGGGTTACAGATCGCATCTCTCACCACAACGTAAGGGGTAGGGTCACATTACTTATGCCATGCTTCGTCATAGAACTCATTTCCTCTTATGATGCAACCAACTGGCTGCTCTGGTGTATGTGAGTAATTCCGCGGTATCATTCTTGATGCGACCATATAACATCGGCCTTTTTCACACCCTAAGCCTGGGAGGGATCGTATTGTGATACGACGGCCGGCCTGTCAGCAAATGATGTCCTAGTGGAGGTGGTTTAGCTAAAATATTGCCAATGAGATTGGGTAAACGTAAATATTAGAATACAGTCCGACATCAATCCTACATATTCGCCTTAGGGTAAGGCGAAAGTACTCATTCTCAGCCATCACATAGCCCAGACGTCTGTCCGCTTTAGAAAACCTCTCGCGTTGCTATCTTAATTTTTAAGCGAAACGGTTACGTTTTCTATAAATTTCTTGTTGTTTAGATCATTTTCAGTCACGAAGGGGCCAGGCACTAAATTTATCTTTACTTTTTTATTATTCTTTCTACGCCATGTAGTCCTGGATAGCATCTAGATGACGAAGCCTTGAAATTAACACACCAACAACCCCATCATTCGTGATACTCATCCAGTTCTTGCTCGTCCCAGGAACCTGTTCCTGGGCTTGACATAACATAACATAGGGCTCAAACTGTCCAACGCCCAAACACCGTATTCCCAATGTATCATTCATCAATGCTCAATAAAAATTAAAGGATATCAAGATCAAACAGTCTCCAACGCAATTCGCTTCGTCGCTTAATTTAAGAACATTCTGACTAGCAGCCCAAATTATTCTGCAACCGCTTCAGTTCGTATGACTCGTGTGTTTTTCCTTGGCTGTTTCGACGCACGATCCGATTATAGAATCTCGCGAAGCTTCTGCTTTTGGGCTGCCGTTAGACTTGATGGGAAGTTGACCTTGATTCGAATGACAAAGTCGCCGCGCTGTCCCTCGTGCTTGGAGATGGGCATGCCTTGGTGTGGGAAACGCTCCTCGCTGCCAGGTTGGGTGGGCCCGGCCTTGTCCAGGTTGATCTGCCTGCCATCGATGGTTGTGACAGTTCGCTTCCACCCGGTAAGAGCTTCCTTGAGATCGAGAGTGATCACATGGACAAGATCGTTGTCCTCGCGGGTGTACAGTGGGTGTGGTTTCTGTGTCAAAGTTAGCAAAACGTTCTAACCAAATATCCGCCAGATTTGGTAGGTTAACATACCTCTTGGATGACAAAGTGCATATCCTGGCGACCTCCTTCGATCTGGTCACCTACGCCCTTATACATGATTTTGGAGCCCTTCTTGATTCCGGCCTTAACAGGGACATCAAGAATCTTGTCTTTAACAATTTGCTTCCCTGAAGCATCGTATGTCTTGGATGTAACCTTCATTCGCTTCTTAGTGCCGTGGAAGAGCTCCTCGAGGGTCAACGGCAGTGGTCGCTCGACCGACAAGACCTCTGGGTTTGACGAATGCCTGCGAGGTTCACGGCCGAAGCCGCCTGACTTTGTGCGGGGAGTGTGACGGCCTCCGGCACCGCCAGGGAAGGAGGAGAAAGCATCCTCCATCCCAGTGTCGCCGCCGCCGCCATTCATACGCATGAACTGCTCGAAGATATCATTGGCCTGGCCAAAGTTGAATCCTCCAGCACCTCCGGGACCACCGCCGTTGGTGCTGAAGTGGAATGATCGAGCGCCACCTCCGCCGGGCATTCCACTGAAGTCGAAACCTTGGAACTCGGGAGGCACACCGCCACCACCGGCGAAGGGGTTGTCACCTTCAGGCGCTGCGCCGCCACCTCGAAGGAGGAATTCAAGACCATACTGATCGTAGACTTGTCGCTTCTCGGGATCGGAAAGGATTTCGTAGGCTTGCGAGGCTTCCTTGAACTTCTCCTCTGCCTTCGGGTTGTCCTTGTTCTTATCGGGGTGGAACTTCAGAGCTGATTTTCTGTACACAGTTGCATGTCAGCAAAACGTTGCCATAAGCGAATGCTAGTGTCGGATCATGCGTCCGACTGAGGGGAATCAAATAAATGAGAGCCAATTTACATACCTGTAGCCCTTCTTAATTTCGTCTTGGGTAGCATCGGGCTTGACGCCCAGGGCGTCGTAGAGCTTCGTCTCTTTAACCATTGTGAGGAATTGGGTTGAGACCTGAGCTCAAGTGGGGGATGGAGGGGTGGGTAGAGAGATGGTAGAGTGAGGGTGGTAGGGAGAAAGGAAAGAAATGCGAAAACGAATCATGCAAGTGCAGTTCGTTTGAGCGCGGAAGGTACAGTAGAGGATAATAAATACGCAGAGAAGGAAGATGGGTAGAGAGAGAAGAAAAAATAGAGAACAAGTTCAGGTTCGAGAAGCCAGGCCCAGCCTCGAGTGTTTGTTCTTGAGGGCACTCGCCAGTGGCCTGAGAGCATTCGTCGGGTCCCTGTAAAGTGGGCCCGACAGGACCTTGTGGAAGATTCGGTGGTTGTGACGTAGCTCAAAAGAAGCAGCGGCCCACTGGCGATACAAGGCAGTACGATGGAGGCAGGGGGGAAGTTTCGGTGGGTGAGCACGCGCGCAATTATAGTCGCATCTCTAGGAAGGTAAATCGGAGTAGTTCGTAGGAGCTAGTGGTTGAGACACCATGCGTGACCTCTCTCTCCAGAGGCTGATCTACGATTATGCCAATTCTCAGACACTACAAGGATGGCCGCGTACATGTTGCAACTCTCAATGTATCACAAACGGTTCAGCGCCGCTCAGATTCTGCATATTGCCGTGCTGTGGCCAACTGAAATTCGCTATGACGCATTGACGGCGACGGCTCCAGCGCTGCTTAGCGGGGTATTGTACAACCATGCATACAGAATCCCAGAGCGGGTGCGCCGATAGTCGGGTTTGAGAATGAAAATCCCACGGAAAACAGTAACGATTCCCAGAGGCTGGACTGCTCCATATTGCCGCTATAATTCGTCTAATAATGGCCAAAATGTACCTGGATGTACACGATAGCACTTAGTGCATTCAAGTCCCTTCTTTCCCATTCCTTCTGCGATTTGTCAACTCAATTCTGGGCATGGAAGCTTCTGGAAGGTTCCATGCCTGAACAGCCAATCATGGCTGTTCTCAATTTATCTTGCGACCCAATGATAATGATTCATTCGTCTTCAAGGAAGGAAAAAACAGTTCCTTATTGCATTTAAAGGGCTTGACCAATTGATAGAGACAAAGACCAAGTTGTGCGGGGCGCAGATTAGGATACTGTCGACTACTAAGTACGTATCTTGACCATAGTCCGCTCGATTTAGAATAAACTCTTATGCTATGACCAACCGCTTTCAAATCAACGCAATGCTCATGAAAGCCAATTCTTCAAGGACGCTAGTTTGTGATTTCTAGCAAATTTCATCATCATTGCTCTTAGTATAAAATATGTGTAGAATGATTCGATAATTCCCCAGCTTGAGAAAAGTGGGTAGCCAACTACTCATGATGATCGGGAATCGACATGTCCGAGACTGTCGTTCCACCTTTGTTTGAATTGCCATTGGATGACATGAATGCAGGCGGCCTCGCCAGCTCTTGCATTTCGGGCAACGGGGGCTCAGCCGTTTCGCTGTATGGTGGTGGCTCAGATGACAAAGGAGCTGCTTGGACATGAGGTTTCGAGGACAAAGAAGTAGGTTTCGGGGGGATGGGAGGCCGATCTGGCAGCGGCGGGGGCACCTTTGTGCCTTCTCCAAATCCTGCTATATCGGAAGATCGCACGGAATACCCGGCTTTGGTTGGCGACATCTGGACCATTTGCGCCATCTCAACTGCGGGACTAGGGTCGTGGTCCTCGAAACCATGATCCTCAAAACCACTGTCCTCAAAGGGGCGGTCGAAGAAGTCATTATCATCGCTACCCAACGATGCCCGGTTGCTGAGCATAGAATCGGGACTGTCTGAACGATGTTTTCTCTTAGAAGGTGAGGCCATTGCATCGATCGACCCCTGACTAATCTCTTCGCGAGCCTCCCGTTCTTCGCGGCTTAGCTCTTGGGCAAACACCTTATTCTCAGCCTTCACAAACCGCTCGAGGGCCTCAGGAAGGGGGTCAATGGGGGTGTCGACAGCCATCTCTGTAGCATAGACGAGCATAGGAGGCACATTGTCCTTCCATATGCGGACGCTCACTTGTGCAAAGTCAAGTTTCTTTCATGACACTTCGGTTAGCAAGGGAGTTATACATATGGAAGTGGCTAGTAAAAGGGTACACTCACCTCGGCCTTGACGGGTTCGTCAACATCATGTGCCACATAAGCTAGCCGCCACCACTGGTCTCGTGACCGAGGGCCATCCTCAAGGTCTATTAGTTGTTCTGGTTCTCTTTTGCACACATAAACAACATCTGGAGATGTTGCAATTCCTCGAAGTAGATACTTGTTACAGGCCATTGGCTTGGCCCGTCCAAGTACATTCGGGTCAGTAAGCAATCGTCCAAGAATGCGTTGCTTGGCTCGAATCTTCTCTAATTCGGCATGTAGTGCTACACATCTTGTGGTCAGAGAATCATCCTAGAAAATACCTAGAAAGAAGGACAAGGGGTACAAATTTCGTTACCTTGTACTTTTTGTGAAACATCGGTTAGGAGGCCCTTGGTATAGCTGATCACCTCGCCTATTCTCTCATATTGCTTCTGCTCCTCCTCCGTCATTTGGGGCGGAGCAGAACGGTAATCGGGGTGCTTGTGCGAGTCGAAGCCTGATTCTGCCACGGTGCGGAATTTTGAGCGGCTTTCAAGATATTCCCGATATGCTTCCCACTGCTCTGTCGCTTTTTCTGCCAGGACTCGTCTATCATGGATGATCCCAGTTTCCTCGTCCCGAACTTCGTAGAGTCTCAGCTCGGCGGCTTCCAAGATGCTGATGGCCCTTTTCGTTTGCTCCCACGACTTCATCATCCGCAAGGCATCTTCTTTGCGATTCTCAAGCCATCTCTCCGGATAAAATACCTCAGGGATCTCAAAGCTGTTTGGATCAGGAAGGTCCCCCGTCATGTTGATAACGAAGATTTCACCCATTTCTCGGAAGTAGGCAATCTTCGTGCCCTCAGCGGGGTCTCCCCAAGCGAGAAGATCTCCCCATATTATGTGGTCTATCGATTCATACAAGGTCTTGATGTTTTGAAACTCGCTTTTCGCATGCTCCACCTCGAGAAGTCCAAATGAGACCTCTTCGTTTTGGTCCTCTCCGTCTTGAACTTGGCTCAAAATGACCTTTGAGTACAGCGGCTGGACTGCTACTGGGTTCCTTTGCGCAAATTGGTCATAGAACTGTTTCTCGGGTCCAAAACCTGGGAACGGAATCAGGTTGAAGAGTACGCTGACAGTCCCATAGCTCCGATCGGTTGAATCCAGGAATGCCATCAATCGATGGATTTCCTCTTCAAAGACGGGGCTCGTCTCCGACTTGTCGGCCAAGGTAATCTCACCAGCTTGTAACCGGGCAAGGACATGCGGGGCAAGGATCTCCTGCCCCCGCCACCACTCGCTATTGTGCCCGTACGATGCCGCAACACCGCCTGCTTCCAGTAGGGAATTTCTAGCAAGCGGGATTTCATGAAGAATCGTCAGAAGACCACCAAGACGATGCTCACTGACAGAAGTGTCGCCCTGGACCAGAAAGGCCGGCGCGCCATCCACTCTTTTCCTTGACGATGGCCCGGGAACGTAGTCGCGAACAGTAACCTCTGGTTTTGTTGCGGGGACCATTGCCCAGTTGTTGTTATCATAGTCGTTCCGGTTGGCAGGGCCGAAATAAGGGCCCGGGGCCGAGGCGTTGATCACGCCCGACTCCTGGGCAGGTACACTGATTCCGGCTTCTTGTGCTGATTCTCGCAGTGCCCGCTGCAAATTCTCATCCTCCTGGTCGTGGGCAGTTGGAGGTCCCACTGGAACATAGTTAGCTGAGCTCGGTGAGGCGGGGATGGCAGATACGCCTACCAGATGCGTTGACCGTAGTCCAATCTACGACCCTAGCTAACGGTGACCTATTATTCGTTCTTGATGGAGGGCGAGACGGCGCAGTTAGCCCGTGGGCGTCTGGAGGAGGAGTTGCGCCTGAAACAATGTCGTTTTGGTTCGAAGATTCGATATGGAAAGCTGTGCGGCGTCAGCGTTTTTACTCTAGCAAGACAGCATCTAGGAAACATACATATCCCGTTATTATAATTCGAGCCATCTCTGTCGGCCTGGAACATTGACTCGTCCCACTTATTGGTATACTTCTGTCGAAACTGCAGGACCAATCAGTATGGAGGAACATGAAGAGATGCTGCGACAAAGACAAAACGTACGCCATCACGGTCTTCGTACCAGTTAAGAATGACTGTTTGAGCATCGCCGTTGTTACTCTGCCACGATATCCCCTCGTTAGCCCAAAGTTATCTCGGGTTCGATACGTTGCCACTGCACCTTTAACGCCTGCCTGACCATATCCCGGTCCTGCACAGGATCCAGCTCAGTTATCTCGATGACTGTGGAAATAGCATCCTCGGAAGGTTCCAAAGCCGCCATCGCGGATATCCTGTGACCTCCCCGGTCCTTCTAGTAATACATATAAGACAAGCTCCGCGACGTTGCAAAAGCAAGTCCAATTTCTCGGTTTGTACGCGCGGTCTGGATTGCCCGTGGAGATGACCTCAGCGAGTGCAGCGTCGACGGGGCAGGAGTTCTGGGGTTCTCTGTGGCTTAACCGGCTCTCGAGTGGGCTTCGTTGCTCGGGAGGTGACGCAGCGCGGCCGATTTCGAATCCGGGAGATAATCTGGTCGAAATTTGAAAGGCTTCAATGCTGACTAAATGCTGTTTGCTTCTGACGGGTTTGTAGATGAAGCGTCGTAGTTGTGGTTCGTCCTCAGCCACAAGCTTCCCACGTACAATTGAAGCTCCTCTTCTTGGACTGCAAGCCGAGACGAGCCACTGATAAGATAAGCCGCCCACTTGTCAACGTCACACCTCCCACTCCAGACATGTCTCTCACATTAGCACTCTGAGCCTACATCAAGGGATAACCCATATAGCTATTGATATGTAGATTTAATTTTTTAATTTGTTTTTAAGTTGGCTGGAGCTCAGCCTCCAGAATTGACGCTCCAGGCTCTAGTTATGATTGCTGACCCATGACCGCTGGTGAAAGCCTTGGAAAGCACCCAAGCATTGAAGCACCTTTGTCACCATGCTAAATTGATATGCGATTATGTGAGCATGTCACCTCCAAGCTCTCAGAGACGCTTTTAGCGGGGAAAGAGAAGAATTCAAGATACACGAAAAGCGAAAATCAAGTTGCTAATATTGGTCATATGTGAAGACTCTTGATGTAGCCAAAAGGCCAAATGATGGACGAAGCCGGGTAAAGTGAGGGGGTGATTGGGGGAGTGTGGTAAATAAGCAGCATGAAAAGTGACGGTGCATCTCATAATTCAAATATCTATACTCCAATGGTCCATGAGAAAAATGAACCCAACGCTATCGGCGCTGCGGTCCCGCTGCCGCTTTTACGTTTTGGTAGGTGACCAACAACGCTCTCAACGCCCTCTAGTGGAAAATAACAAACATGAAAGGAAAGGAATAATAGACACAACCAGCGCTATGCAGTAAATGTGTAGAGAAAATAGCCTCCCTTGAAGTGATATTTTGGAGAACAAGCTGGGGAAAAGGCGATGAAAACCAGAAAACCGCAATAACTCGAAAAAGTGATATGACCGATAACCCGAGCCATTTTGAATAGAGCGGCGCAGACAGACGAAATTTCACTTATCGGTTTCGTCTTCATCATCGTCGTCCTCAAAGTCGTTCATATCGCTATCACTAGCGCCAAAGTCATCCTCCTCGTCAGTCATGTTCCAAAAATCCGGGTCATCGTCGACCGGGTTGACGGGTGCCGCGGTAAGTTCCTTTTCCGTGGGCATCTCCAAGCCTGCGGGGATGTCCTTCTGGGTAGATGCTACCGTGATCTTGGCCCGGGCATTGTAGTTATCGCGGTGATCGCGGTACATGACGCTAGCGTCGACGTTTGCGGGGGAGTTGATCTCTGGGTCATCCATGAGGAGAAGAACTGAGCGGAGAACTGACTCAACGCCGTGGAGGACGTTCCATCGCTCGCTAGCAAGCTCTCCAGATTGGGCATCGTCTCCAGGCTTATGCAGGATGGAGATACACAGGTTTCCGTCCGGGTAGATATTAGGGTGGAAAATGTCCTTCGTCGTGAAGCGGAAGGTCGGGGGCTGGTACGGGTAATCGCTTGGGAACCGCATCTCGGCCTAAAGTCATTCGTCAGTCTACCGCAAAGAGGCAGCGGGGAGGAAAGGCGAGGCGGACTTTGAGAAAGGCACCGTGCCAGACACTCTCGGGGTTGACCACCCAAAGTCCCAGCTTCCATTTGAACAAGTTCGCGTCGTCAACCTGCAAGAAGATACTTTAATTAGCACCCAGCACCGAAGAATGACAAAGCACTTCTGTCTCCTACCTCAATGTGAACCCATTTCTCCTTCTGAAGAGGAACGAGCTCCTGCAGCAGCCGCTTCTGCGCCATGGTGATGGTAGGATATGAACTAAGTAGGCCGGCGGACGAGAGGTCGAAAAAGTACTGCGAGAAGGACGAAAGTCTACTCGTTCGGTATGCACGTGGACCAAGGGCCGCCGGTTAAGTCTGGTGGTAGTGGGAGCAGTGATGATCGGTCGGGCGTTTTAAGAGTGAAACGAAACAGGGTCGGTCAATGCCGTGCTGGAGGTACCAAGAAAAGGGAAAGGAAGACAGAGGAGGGCGGAAGGAGGTGTAGGGGCGTCGAGGGGCAAAAAATGAAGCCGGAGACGGCGAGATGCGTGAGAACTTCACACCCGAAAAAAGGTAGGGACGGAATCGAAATGCTGGGCTGATTGAGTCAGGTTAGTTGACTGATCGCACTGCACCTTGATGACCGAATTCGGGTCCTGTCAGCCGCCCCTCAGGTCACGTCACACGCCAACTCCGCCCGAGAGATACCTCCCCTGTACAGCCTGTGACATGCCGGCCATCGACCCAGCTGAGCAGGCGGTGACTTAAAGTGAGACCCGACGACGCCACACTCAGCCTCGACCAAGTTAGTAATCACTGCACAATCCAGACATAATCAAAATTGAATATGTACACTTCGCCTCGAGCAAGAAATGGCGTACACAAATATTCGGAATTTCAAACCGCTAGGTACGTTTGATATGCCATATCGGCGACCGTGGGCGTTTCCTTTCTCATGTCACGGCTGGCTCTGTCCATTAGGCAGATATGTACGCTTGAGGCGCTAGTGAAACTAGCTCCATTTTACTCGATCATTCTGCCGCTACGTTTTCTTGGACCCTTGACTGCCCGTGCGAACACCGGTGGAGACAGGTCGATAAGTGTCCCAAACCAATGATCTACAGGCACATCTGTTCACCGCATATATTAGCTGTCACACAGTACTGTGACTATACCCAAGGGTGTCCCTCATGATTGTTATGTACTTGGCCAAGGCTGCAAACTAATTTGCGAACGATGTATGGATATATGAAGTTGGTATATTGTGTCTCCGCTTGAATCCCGCTATCTATCCAATCCCTCAACTGTTTCGCTCAGATCATGCTGCGAGGTCGTAGTACAAACATGTCCCAGTCCTGAAGTGATAAACAAAAGAGTGCTGGCAGCCCCCCTTCTTCTCATATGCATAACGCCAGGTATCTAATTGGTCATGTATCTCCCGGACATACTTCTTCTCTGAAGTCGTAACTGCATGTTCCACCTTCTTCCAACTTTCGGGATCAGAGAGCTTTGTCTCGCGGATAAGATCGATAACCTGGTCACTCGAAGTTTCGACGGCGAGGATCGGCCCATCAAGGAATGATTCCATCAGGCTGGCTGCTTTGACCTGGGCCTGCTCCACCACCGTTCGTCGGTTGAACTTCTTGCTCCTGGTTTGGCCGACAAGAACTCGTACATCCTGCTCTCGCTTGGAGTCGCCAGCTACCTGAGGTGATTCGACTGAACCTCTCAATCTAGCGAGCGCTTTGTAATCTCGATCTCGCATCTCAGACTTGAGCCAAGCTAGAAGTTGGCTTGCTGGGATGTCTGCGTCTTGAACATCCTTCCTTCCCATGGTTTTTATTTTCAGCATAGCCTCTGGCTTGACGACTATGATCCAGGAGTAGGACTCATCTCGGTGCTTGCCTATCAAGTCTTCGGGCGACCGAGAGTCCTTAGCAAGTTCAGCACTTATCTCGTGTGCCCAGAGAGTTTGCAGCAAGTCTACCCCGGCCGCTCGTAATATGGCCGGGTCAAAGCTGGCAACAAGCACATCACAACGTTTGGTGGTGAAGATCCCATTCTGCTCCTCCTCTGCTTTTTTCAAGAAGGCCTTCCCTGCGTTTTTAGGAATCCGAGCAAGGCGCTCCCAGGCCAAGCTGAATCCGACGGCATGCCGTTCATGAATCTGGCCACCAATTCTTGGGCGTTGCTCTTTGATGAGGTGGTCATATCGACCTCCTGCTGCGAAGACATCCTTGAGTTTCTTATCATATAGACATGAAAAGAGAAGCCCTCCTGTGTAAAAGCCTTCCTTCAAGCTGTTAAGCGGATTGACGTAAATCTTAGTCCCTACTCCAAATCGCTTTGAGTATTCAACAACCTCTTTGATATGTGCGATGGTGGCTGCTGCTCTTTGATACATCTCACCTCCCTCAAACAAGTTCTTGAGTTTAGAAAAGGCTTTGTTTGGGGAGTCTAAACATTGTTAGCGACCATTCTATTTAAATCTGATGATGAGATAATACGCAACGCACCTCGGAAATCAAACTTTTGAAGCTCGTCAACGCTCGTGGCTGAAATACCCACAACTGGACTTCGCAGTTCAATTCTAATTTTCTGCCAAGTGTGGCCATGGATGTTCAGTTTACTCAAAACATCAGCTGCCCCTCTTCGTAAAGCGGGCTCTATCCCACAATGTTCGAAAATCAGCTGCAAAAGATCTGAGTGTCCAATGTGAAAACACATTTGCAAGGATGAAAGCGACGGGAAATTGACAATGATCTCGTCAATGACTTTCAAGACCTCTGCCTCTTTAAGCGCAAGGTCCAGTGCGTCAATTGTAACGATGTCAAAATCAACTTCACCAAACATCTGTGGATGACCAGTATCTTGTTTGTCTCGGAATACACTACCGAAAGTGAATGTGCGCTGCACTGCGGGGTTATGAGACGATTTTGCCAGCATTCGCGCGTGGCCCATTGTCAAATCGTACGGAAGCTGTAAAACAGTTCCGTTCGAGTCGAGGACGCGGAACACATTGTCGCCATAGAGTGTGGATTTAGGATAGATCGACGTCCTGGCCAACTCCAAAGCGCCATGCCGTCGAAAGATTGAGATCAAAGACTGCTTCACGGTGCTCTGGTGCAACAAATCTGTTGCATTGGGAGAAGTTGCAAACATATCCCAAGCATAGTCTCGTGTCGTTTCAACCGGCCTGGAAAATAGGGTCGACAACATTTTCTGGTAGTAAGGGGAGTTTGGATCAGATAGACCAGCCAAAGTACGTCTGATTGTCTCGCTCTCCATCTGCACAGGGAGCTTGCCACTCTTTAGAAGTTCCGCGCTCGAGGGGCGCTCCTTGGGGTTATGGCTGACAAGAGAAAGTACTATTTCCGACTGTACCTTGTCGGCTGGCTTGAAATCAGGTGGCAGCACTGGCTGCTGCCTTCGAAGTTGACCGATGACATCTGCCTTTTGCATATGCATCATGGGGATGTAACACATTTCGAAAAATATGATACCCAGAGAGTACATCTAGATGGCATGGTGGTTAGTGTAGATCACATCAGCGGTAAAGTGAAGTGTAGACTCACATCAACCTTGGTGCTATACATGCCATTCGCGGCTGATCTCACTTCGGGAGCTGAGTACGAAGCGGTCCCGATGCTTTTGGTCAAATCATCCGTATCAAAGGTATTTGCCGCAGCCTTGTCAACTGAGAACTGTCCGCTTGTCGCAAGTCCGAAGTCACCAATCTTGACATTGTCTACCCCGTCGGCGCCACTTCCGATGAAGATGTTCTCTGGCTTTAAGTCTCGGTGGACGATACTGAGGCTGTGGATGTGCGCAAGGCCCTCAAGAATTTGGCGAAACAGTCGCCATATTTCAGGCGTATTTTTGTATAAGCCACGGCTTATGAGATCACGAAGGGTCTTATTTTTATCAGTCTTGGTACGGAGCATGAAGAGAAATCAAACTTACTCGCTTCTCGCAGTATTCCATCGAAATGTACATTATCGTTCTGAAAGGCCTGTGGAAACGATCTCGTCGATTGTTGATACCGATTGGTCTGATTTTCATCGAAGACCCGGACTGGTCATCTACTGCCTCGTCATCTTCATCGGTTGATTCCTCGTCTTCAGTCTCGTCGTCGTCGCCTTCTTCTGAATCATCATCGTAGCCAAACTCAATGCCAGCATTTGATGACATGAAATCCAGGCCCCCTGTATCCGTGTGGAATTGTATGTCGACACCGTCCGATCCAGTTTCCCGGGTCTCATCTGTGTATCCCTCGGTCGACGTGTCGCCTTCGATACTTCCAGTGTCAGGGACCTCTTCAACCCAGGTATTGTAGTATCTGACAACCGCTGGGTGACTAAGTTGCGACAGCAGCCGTACTTCTTTAAGAATCTCGGTCAGACTAGCATGAGAGCGTTGACTGATCTTCTTAATGGCATAAATCTGGCCATCCAATTTCTTTCTTGCCTTGACAACTTCGCCAAAACCACCCTTACCCAGGCGACCTTCCTCGACAAAATCCTCAGTGTAGCGAGATGCAACAGTGCTTCTGGTTACAGAGTCGCGTCTGAACTTTGCTGGCATCCCTTGGACTGAAGAGCTTAGCAGTGGCGCACTGGATACAACAGCGGAAGATTCTTCAGCGAAAACTGGGGCATCTGTCGCAAGGAACTCGCTAGATCCAAGCTCAAACGCACGAGGGCGCTTATTTTTGTCCTCCTTGAAGAACCTACTGACAAGCTCAAGCAGAGAATGAGAGAGGGTCAGGGATTCTATCAAATTTCGGGGGGAGGAATATGTGCGTAGGACATCTAAACCAAATATCATCTGCGTAAACACGATTCCAAAGTCCCATATATCAGTTTTGTATGTATACTGAGGCTTCGAGGCACCTGCGATTTCCGGCGGAAGCCAGTAGGCTGATTTAGCCGAACCGAGCCCTGGGAGTCCGCGCTTCTGAGCACTCAGATTGTGCAGCTCGCGCTGGAAAGAAATATCGGAAATCTTCGGAATCACTTCACCTGTTGACTCCCGGAACAAGAGAATATTGCCCGGATGAATATCTTGGTGGGCTATGTTCTTATTGTGGAGATAATTCAGGGCGTCAAGAAGATCGCGAGTCCAAGATCGAACCTTTCCGATGTCCAAACGACCGGCAAGCTCCAAAAACTCACCCAGTGACCCCTTGTCAGCGAGCGGTGTGAGGATACTCACCTTCCAATTACTGGAAGTCGCGGAGTGCGAGGAGCTATTCTCAACCTTGAAATCGAGGACTTGGACGAGATGTCGATGCTGGAGGGCCTTGCTGTGCTTGAGATCTTGCAACCTTGATTCCAGACCTTGGATAAGCTTCTTAAGATCCTTTGATTCTTTGTTACTAGCCCTCAGCACCGCTTCTTTAAGCGCCATGGTATAGCTCCCCTGCCCGTTCGAAAGCACAGGCCGGACGACATAGACGACGGAAACTTGTCCTTGTAAAGGGTCGCATTTCCCTGTCACCGACCGGAAGGATATCGGATTCCCAGACCTATCGGTTGTACTACAGAACTGGTCAAAATCGAGTTTTTCGATATCCGCATCCTTGTTCTCGGAAGGCTGGGAAGGGGTGGCGCCGTTGATGCCTCGGCCGGTTTTGGATTCCTTTGCGCTCTGCCGTTGGCGATCAATCTCATTCTGGAGCATGGCGGCCATCACTCGTTCTTCCTCCTTGCTTTCCTGCTCCCTCTTTCGTTCCTCCTGCTCCTTTTGCTCCTTGGCTAGCTTTGCCAGGTTGCTTTCATGACGCTCCCGCTCCTCCTCAAGGGATGGCAAGTTTTTACCGTTCGCCTTAGCCTGAGCTGCGTCTTCCAGAATATCTCGGATTCCTTCCACAATCTTGTCAATCATTTCCTGTTCATCTTTGGCAAAGATTTTGGGCTGAGTCTCAATGAACTTCTGGATCTTGAATTGGGTAACCTCTCTGAGGAAGTCATGGTGTTTGATAGTCAAAATAGGAGGTGACTTTGGATATGTAGCAGTCATTACAAACCCAATAGTCACCGAAAAGTCATCATCGCTCCATGCTCTGATGTGGATGTCGAAAGTTGGTTCAGATTTCTACAGATACATGTGAGTCATCAGTGTTTGGACGAAATAGGGACAGCCAATATGAACCTTCCAGGCACCCTGATGATCTTTGGTATGGTTCTTAAAGTCTTCGCCATAAATGGCCTCGAGAGCAAGCACTTCATTCTGTTGGAGTTCCTCATATTCGATCCGCGGCGTCGTGACAGATGGGCTGGTGGCCTGGAGGCCCGGAAAGCTCAAGTCTTTCGGTGCTGGGATTTTATCTAATTGAGGGGTCCCCCGAGCTCTAGATGGGTTCCAAGCCATGATGCTCAGATGTTCCAGAGGAGTTATTGCCACAGCCAGAGCCGTGACAACTCAATTAGAACTCATTTTAAAGCTTGAATACTGTTGAATATAATAAATCGGTGAATATGGGATGTCAGATGGACAAATGAAGATGCGACTCGGCGGAGGGCGTCGAAAATGGTAATCTAGCGGGGCAACAGACGTCACGCTTCTGGGCGCTAGACACCAGTGAAGAGCGGTGTCCAGCTGGGCTGTGTGCTGTGGCCGGGTGGCGTATTAGAGGGAGGGCGTTGTTGGGTCGGGTAGCGCTACCAACTTACACCTACAGGTGGCTCACAGGGGGTTTCCATCTGGTTGGCGCATTCAAGTTGTCTTGGTCCGTGGCACTGAACCCCTGCGGCCGCCGCTTTTAAAATGGGGGACCTCGCCTAGAACAAGATATTCGCACACCAATGAGCGCAAAGGCGGCGCTGCGGCTAGTCTTATAGAAGACAGGCCACCTGAGGCGCCCTAGCGTTAAGTCGGGTGCTGATCCACTCAGCCCTTTATGGACATCAAAGTAAACAAACTCCACGACCCTCATCGCATGTTGGTACACGCGCATCACCTCTACGAGCGTGACCACACCCATGCGAGTTTTTTGCCCAGCTATCTGTTGCATTCGTGCATAGGGGCGTTCTCTTCTATTTCGCCTTGATATCTACTTTCCATATTTTATATTCGAGACATCCCTCAAAATGCTTGGTTGGATGCTCAATCGCGGCGAAAACGCCCCCAATGGATTGGACGAAGGAGGTAAACTCGAGCTCCTATTTCCCATTCATACTCACAGACTAGCTAATATGAGAATATCTATGGTCTAGACACCACGCAAATCGATCAACCCGACACCCCTGCGCCAGTGTTTGCGGCGAGAGCTTTCAGAAATGCCCTGTTTGGAACGCCCGCGAATAACCGCGAAGAGCTACGAGCGAGGCCAGCCAGGTCCGTCACGATATCAGACAAAGGATCGCGAACGCCCAATTCGAAACCCCAGGGGATACTACTGACCCCCGGGACTGGAACGTCACGACCCAAGCGCGTGTCGTTTGGTCGCGATGTCGGAGGAGGGAGCAAACTGCTTGAAGAATCAAGCCAAATCGCTATCAGGGACATAAATGTGCCAAAAAGCGCCAAATTCGCGACTTCTTCCGAGACCGCCAAACGAGAACAGGCGGCAGGAGCCGGCGGAGATGTGCCTACCTCTGACGACGATTGGGAGGAGGACGATGACGACGTTGACCCCGAGAATTACTGCAATCACGACATCACAGTTGACCTGAACGAACCGCATTCCCAGTCTGGACAGTACTGGAAGCATGAATTCGAAAAATATCAACAGGACGCGAAGGCAGAGATGGAGAAGATGCTCAAGTATAAGCAACTGGCAAAATCCTACGCTCGACAGAAGGACGCCGAGGCTATTAACCTCGCGGAAAAACTGAAAAATGAGCAGCAGAAAGTGATTGACATGGAAAAGAAAATTACCCAGAATGCTTCACAAATTATCTCACGATTCGAGAACAAGTCGGAGAATGCTTCGCCCGAGGTGCTGGCAAACCTCGCAAAGCAGACTGCTCTTGCCAAGGAATACAAGGAACAGGTTCAAGACTTGGAGAATCAGCTGGAGGAATTCCTTGAGGAAAGACAGGATACCGCGGAACCTGCTATTCGACGAAGGAGAGTAGGAACGTCGCCCCGTACCCAAAGGACCCTTCTGGAGACACAACGGGAATTGCGCAAGGCTAGGAATCAAGCTAAAGAGCTCAATGATCTTCGTGATAAGGTCTCATCGTTGAAAGAAAGACTCAAGGCCGCGGAAGAACGAGCTGACCAGGCAGAGAGCGGGGCACACGGCGGAGATGATCTGCCAAGAGCTAAAGAATTAAGGGCACAGCTCCGCCAAGAGCGAGAAGAATCACGAAGAAAAGATGAAGAAATACAGCAGCTGAAGAAGGAATTCGAGGCCTACAGAGAGGAAAGTCAGGCCCAAGAGAAGGATAGGAATGATGTCCTTCAGAGGGCGCACACCAAGATATCGGATCTTAAAAAGGAGATCAAAACCCTCAAAAGTGGTGGTGCGGATCCAATCACAAGACAAAATACCGACAAACAGGATGCTCTAGAGTCTACAACTGGCACGGATATGGCCAAGCAACGTTCAAACTTGGCAGAAATGAGAGCACGGCCTTGGCAATCTGGAGCCGCGACGCGAGAAGTGCCAGACGAAGTTATTTCAAGAACGCCCGAAGGCTCCCCTGGTAAAGGGTTTACTTCTACCAGGCATCGAACTGCTCGAGAAAAGCCAGTGAATGATGAATTCAAGCCTCGAGCAGCAGCCGAGGATCCCATACCCATCGCCATGTCTGGTGCGCTCAATAATCGACCAAAACTGGACAAGCCTAGGTGGCAGCCGTTCGTACCCAGGTCCCCGCGAAATAGAGCTTACCTCGGCGATGAGTTGGCTGATCGTATCGAGAATGGCGGTGTCACGGTGACAACAAAGCCGAAGGATATCAAAGCCCCGGATCTTCCTGCTCTTGCTGAGCTGATTTCACGATCTGAGAGGCCGCCATCTAGATTAAAGACGGACGCAGGCATTGATCTGTTGCACGATCGCTTTGCTAAGCTTGGTGCACCGGAAGTACGCACTAATAAACAAGAGAAGCGACAGAGTGTGACTCGCGATAGCTCCAATAGCAAGCTCCCACCAGAGCGACGAGCTGCTGCTCTAGCGCGGATCGAGAAGCGAATCGCGATGAAGAAAATGCAGAAGCAGAATGATTTTGACAAGGAGAATGTACAGCCGGCATAAACGGCGTACTCGTTATTTGTGATTTTGGTCAAGCGTGGGCGTTAAGGATTGCATTGAATAGTATCTCATCATCAATTTATAACCAAGAAATTGACTTGTTCATTTTCAAGTCCTGCCGTAAATCTCCATATTTGAGTTAACTTGTGATTTTAGAGCTATGGTGATAATGATAGGTCTCACATTGCACGTAGCCTTATCAAGGTGGGCATGCTTCAATCTTCAAACCTCCATTGATAACTGAGCGAGATATGGCTCTGAACGCGGCGACCAGTGACGCAGTGTCAATCACCGATGAAATTGAGCAGCTAGAGGCCCAGCTTGAAGATGCCCGTGCCAGACTGAAACTATCGCAATTGAGCACCAAGGATGGAGATCCGACGGCTACCATTTTGACGCGTGAGTACCAGAGCTTCATTAACGACGAACATTAACCCGGCTAAATAAACTCACGCCCCAGCCTCGCCATCATCATCAACTCACTTTCTTCTTCTCCTGTCGGATTCGGCATTGCCCCTCGGCGCATTTGCCTTCAGCAGTGGCCTCGAGTCCTACCTAGCTCACAACCCCCGCTCATCCACCTTCTCAGAATTCCTGCCCTCGTCCGTCTCGTCCTTCGCCTCCACAACGCTGCCATTCGTCCTCGCTGCTCACCGCGATCCAAAGTCCCTCTTCGACTTGGACGACCAGCTTGACGCGGCGGTCATCTGCACCGTGGGCCGTCGGGCAAGCATCGCCCAAGGCCGTGCGCTGCTGAGCGTCTGGGAGAGATCGTTTCGATCCGCGGTGTCCGAGGTGCCGGAGCTACAGCTGCTGAGGGAATTCTCGACGCTGTTGAGGGAGAGCAAGGGAGAAGTTCCGGTGGTATCTGCGCACCTGGCGCCGCTCTTCGGTGCCATCTGCGCCATCGTTGGGCTGAGCCTCCGCCAGGCGGCCTACGTCTTCATGTTGAGTCACGTCAAGGCGCTCATCTCCGCAGCGGTCAGAGCCAGCGTGTTTGGGCCGTTCCAAGCCCAGAAAGTGCTAGCAGGAGAGCGTGTACAGAGTATGATTGAGTTGATGATTGACAGGGAGTGGAACACGCCTGTCGAGGAAGCTGGGCAGAGCGTGCCCGTGATGGATCTATGGATTGGTCGACATGAGCTCCTTTATTCGAGAATATTCAATAGCTAGGTAGTTACAGGCAATCATAACAAAAATTTCATGCAGTATTATCGCGAATACCAGATTGTCTATTAACAAAAACTCCCGGGGATATGATGCTACTAGAAAAAAAAACAATCCCACTATTCGTCATCGCTGTCGCTGTCGTAGGCCACGAGTGGCCCTGACGAAGCAGCTTTTGGCTTTGCTGCAATCGAAATCTTAGCCTTGTTCAACGCCGCAATAGTGTTCCCGGAGAGAATGCCGGCTGATTCTCTAGGGCCTGACACAGGAGCTTCAAGCATTTGCTCATTGGCCTCTGGCACTGGACCATCCTCAATCGCCAGGGGCTCCTGGTATTCCAGTTCGAGTTCTTCTCGTCCATGCGGGTTCACTGCTTGCGCTCCCCGGGCAAAGTGGACCTCATCGGGCGCCTCATAGCCCTCAAGCCCATAGCTACTCTCAATCTTCCTCCGTTTTCTAGCTTCTGGGTCCTTCCCTTCAATTTCGGCAATAAACTCTGCGGGGAGAGCACGGCGAACTGCCTCAGCGGCTTGCTCCTCGATTCTCCTAGCTTCTCGTGCCTGAGCCATGGGATTCGGGTCAGCGGTCGCCCATCTCACATTGAGAATCTCATCGTGGTCAAGCGACTGGTGTGCCATCGCCTCTTTTGCGAATTCGGCGTTCGCTTCGTTGGTGTAGGTGACGAATGCCACGCCACGGCTGTTTAAAACACGAGCTAAGCGCATTGATTAGCATAATTCAATAACAAAAGCGCGAGATCAACCTACTTCGCTCTATTTGTCCCCATTCTGCAAAGTGGCGGGCGACAACCTCCTCTATATCATCCGTAACGTGTATTCGCCCAATGTATATTGTTCGGTTCTGTCGCATAAACGATCCCACGCCTCCCATATCATCTCGGTAGCCTGCGAATTTATCTCTGTAGGAAAATGTTAGCCAATGGATATCAAGAAACAAAGGGTACGTCAGTCGAAAGACAACCCAAGATCAAACGTACCTGCCAAAGCAATCCACATTCGGAGGGACGATGTCGAAAACTCCGGGAATCCTATGCAATTTCGAGCAAGAAGGCCCTCTGCTACACAGCCCTCTGGCAAACATGAGGCAAAAGTAGCTCCCAGTCGTCCCGTCTGCCTCCGTGTATCCGCTGTCCTTTGCGACATTGCAGCGGCCCTTCGACTTGGTCTGCACGAGCTGGTCCTTGTCGCCTCCAGCCCATTTGTTGTAGTAGATGTTGTAGATTGTTCCCGTCTGCGGCGGCGGCTCCGAACTGATGGTATCTGGGTCGACTTGAACGCGCGCAGGTCGTCTCTTCTTTCGAATAATCTTCTTCACGACTTTCTTCCCCGTCGGCGGCGCGACCTCGGTGTTGGTCGCGACAAGTGCACCGGCCTCATTATCAATCTGCTCAGCAGCCGGAGCCGTCTCGATCTGCGCAGTCTCGTCGGCCATTGTTGCGCGGTATGATTTCAAATGGTGGTCTCTGATGAGGTTTCGCGGCTGATCGCGCCAGCATCAAGAAACCTAGGATCCTTATCTTATCGACTAGGCAACACTGGGGAATATTCCAGGAAGTCGAATATGGTAAGCGGTGTGGCGAGCTTTGCTCCACTATCAAGGTGGCATAGTAGAAGGCTCTAAACAGTGATAACCTAAGTCTACCTTTCTAATTTTCCAAATAATATAGCTACCTATATATTATTAAGTATTAATTGGGAAAGCAGCATTACTCAATTAATATAATATGTTTTCAGTATATATTACAAAAGAAGTTGAGAATTATTAAAGAACTTGAAGCCTTTATACTCTACCAGGCTTGATTAGATTCGGCAGCTGGCCCTGCCTTACTGTCTTCAAATCAAGTGGCTACCTAGGTATCCATCGCGACAGCTTATAGCTGGAAGCCCAGCCTAGCTATCTTCTTTTCAGACGAGTGATCGCTAGAAGCCGGGTCTCACCGTCGGTTACTGAGAGTCAATTCGTAAACAGCTGCATGAAGCCGATGTGTCGTCAACAACGTTGCTGATCATTAAATAAAATATTATATTCTACTTACCCTACATAAAGCAGGGGAAACCTTGAGTTCTTAGGTTACTCTTCCTCAGTTGATTGAAGTCTGTTCTCATCAAAAAAGATATCCAACCTGTAGTTATCACCATGAAATATGGTGTTCATAATCTCGTCTCTCTTTTCGCGCATCTCTTCCATGAGCTGTCCCTCAAGATCTTTACGAAGGCCGTCAACCAACTCTTGGCCATCCTTGCTGAACTTCTCCATGAGTATGTTCATCTCTTTTCGGAAGTCATAAAGTGCAACACTAGCTTTGTTGTTTGCATCATCAACATCGCTTGTTATCCAATGAACCCTCTGTTCTAGTTTTTCAATGCGGGAAAGCAGAGATTCATCAACCTGTGTCCTGCTTTGACAAGGATCATCAAGCCCAGTCTTGGCCTGCTGGTCTGATCGCTCTAGTCCCTCTCTTACGCAGCCTTCAGTCTCAACCGGAGGCGTTATGACTCTCTGACACGGAGAGATCTCCTTTTCTTGGTTGTGCGGCTGCTCTAAGATCCTATGGTTAGAGAGAATAAAACCGACAAAAGGGGGAGAGAAAAACAAGGAAGAAAAGAGAATCAAAATAAAGAGAAAGCGCGCTTACTTTCCACCTGGGTTGGGTAGGCGGGTGGTGGAGCTTGATTGTCTGCACCAGCTTCATTGACTCTAATAATCTGCAGCGGACCATGGGATCGGAGCAGATCCCCCATGTCGTCGGGATTTTTATCGAGGCGTATCAAGAAAGAGGTAAGGCGAGCGAGTTTCTTTTTGTGCCTAATAGGCAGAAGAGCAGAAACCCTCATGGTCGAAGCCAACTCCTTCAGCTCCCTCGGTACTTCTGCAAGATTTATAGTTTCAGGAACCGACTTCTTGGCTAATATACCAGGATTCATGAGATGAATGTTGACGGTACACCATTTTTTGGTTCGATGGTAGTGCCCGGGGATGCCCTTTATATCCACACTAAGAGCGGTTGATATTGATTCAACGTTTCCCAGAGGTATAATGAAGAGAAATGTCTCTTTTTTCACCTTGATGTGAAAGTAAATTATTGGATTTTCTCGTGGAGGCATACTGACGGTTGCTGTAAGGGACCAATTACTAGGTAGAACGCTGCACTCATCGCCAGCATCTCCGCCATTATTCCGCCAATATAGCAAGGTCCGTTCGTTCTTGAGTTTTATGTCGATGCTCTCGTCCTCGTCATTTTCATCTTCGCGGGCCTTGTCCGCCAGATTGCCAGCCATTGCTAATCAAGATTCTAGCTTTCACAACCAGACAAGTCGAAAAGTCAGCAAGGTAGCATAAAAGAGAAAAACTGGAAAAGTAATATGAGAGAAGACAGATGAAGTCAGCAAGAGAGAATCGTGCAGAACACTGAGCCATTAGCTAATAGTGTTAGTGGAGATGTGAATAGCAGGTGCAAAGGAGGTCAAACAAGTTCGGAGTCTGTATTGATTGGTGGTGGCTCTGGCACATATCTCGCTTACTGAAACAGCTCGCTTGTTGAACCGTCTCACTTACATGAAACCTGATTTCCTAGCAGGGAACAACTCAGGATAGACGGCTGCTCAATCAGCTGTACGCTACAGCCTCCGACTCACTGGCAGAAGGAAGCTTCTGTTCAGTCAGGTGTATCTCTAAAAGACATATCTGGAGTAATTATCCGCCTTATTTTAGTTGAAGAAGTTCAACTTGATCATTACACATTATTCAAATTTCTCATTATCATCCCCGGACATTGACAATGTCCCAGAGTCCCCAATCAATAATCACACAACATGGAGTCGTAGGCTAACATCATGGACAAATAAAGTGTGAGAAAAGCCAAGGCGAGGATAACTTGTGTGATCTGCAACATACTTGTGTATAAAAGTAAAACTTGAGGCCTAATATCAACCAGGCCTTTGGACGCTGGTATGATGTCCTTTGTCTCTACCAACTCCATCATGCAGATACTTCTATTCGGCAGTGATAGGGTTCTCCTTGGCATCTTCGGCTTATCTGATAGTGCCACAAGCCGGAAAGAGATCTTGTAAATGCTCGAACAGTGGCTTCCAAGGGCCAATTAGACACGCTGCTCGTCGTGATGACAAGGTTCTCCTCCAATGCTCCCATGACAAGGATGGTAAGCATAAGAATAACGAGGATGAAAATGAGGCTCTCAAAGGAATCGGTGCCTCTAATCCTCTGGCCATCTGCATGAGGTGGAGCTCCGATACTGATCAAGGCCCCCGAACTACTGATCAACTGTATGTCTCAAGTGAAACTCACACTACTGTGCCTCGAGTGTGCATCCAATTTTATATATAGCAATTTCCCCGCATGTAAGATCTTGCATTTGTCGGTATTGGTAGGATTGGCATGGGTTGATCCTCTGCGACCCCTTATCAACCCTTACACGAAACGGTTCTATACTCGTGCAAGTATAGCGTGCACATAACATACATCTATTGTAAAAAGTACCCATGCCTGTATATTCATTGGCCAAACTTGAAAAGCCATCGGGTACAGACAAGTATGACGACGAAATCCGAGTATCTTCGCAGGGTTTTTCGCGCTTTCACTCCACCCTCCTGTGTCTCCATTGCAGAGAAACATGACTGGGGTTCCTATGAAGAATGCTTTCAATAAGCTCATCCTTCCAATCTGCAGCCATCCTCTGCAGCTCATCCTTCCAGTCGGCAGCCATCTTCTTCAGCTCCTCCCTCAATTCATCTGTCTTTTGCTCTAGTATATAAACCATCTCTTTCTCGGTTTCCTCAAGTTGAGTTTCCTTTAGGGAGAATGTCTTATTGAGAGTTTCAACTTCCTTTTTGAGGTCATGAACCTGGTTTTCTATTGTTGATCCAACCTCCTCCAGCTTGGTATTCACTATTGTGAGTTGGGATAGAATCTCAGTGACCTGATTTTCACAAGTAAGTCCTGCAGGGACAGGCTCTCTTTCCCTAGGTTCGGGTTCGTTTGAGTAGTCTTTATCCTCTTGCTGAGCGATTTGATCGGTGTTGTTGCCGAATCGGCGGCGTTTAAGTCGATGTGGAATCAGCTCAGCGTCATCTGAGTTGTCGCTCGCTTCTAGTTGGGCGACTTGGTCAGGATCATTGTCGAATCGATTATTTAGCTCAGTATCATTTAAGTTGTTGCTCGCCTCTAGTTGGGCGATTTGGTCGCGGGAGTTATGTGGACTTGGGGAGTGGGAATTATTGATAGCCAGTTCCACCACTTTTTCTCCAGTGCGTGGCGCGTTCTTCATATTCATAGTTAGCCCTGGTGTTTTGTAGCTGGTATATGGATAACAAAGGGTGAGATGATGGAAGTAGAAGAACAGGAAAGGGGGGCAATTATACACAACGAACACCTTGTGGACATAATGAGGCTAAGCTTACCATCAAATCCTATGGTCAAAACCTTGCTGGGTAAATGAAAAGAACAACAGAAAAAACAATGGGTAAGGTGTTTGCCCGGATACTACTAGCAGCACAATCAACTCTTTAATTGTAGATAAAACAACAAGCTGTAACTAGAATTAGTAAATAAAACTAATTGCCTAAGCATCGAGTTTTAAAATAAAATATGCTTTTTTCCCTTGGTCAATCGTCTCCATGTTTCTTGTTTGGCCTGCAGTACCCATGGCGGGCTCACGCCGCAAATAAGGAAGAGAACAGCAGCGGCTGGAAGCGCAGCCTAAGGCGAGGTAAGACGAGGCGAGAGAAGGAAGGCGAATTGAGGAAAATGGTCGACAAACTTCAACTACTTGTACTTGAGAGCCTTGTTTTGCGCTTTTGCTTTGCACACTTCCGGGAGCGTTTAGGCAGATAAAGCCGAACGGTTCCATGGTCTACAATGCGACATCAATAGCTGTATCACCACACATTGTGTACATCAGCAGGATGTTTGTTGGGTAATCTGCGCACCTGCCTCACTAAATGCCTAGTTACTTCATCCAAGGTGGTGCTAGCGAAGGAGAATAGTGACGTTGCGGCTTGCCATGGTCTTTGTCTTTGGTTGGTAATTGGCCTGCTTTGGGGGGGAATGAATATCCGTCCTGTAACGAGGCATGGAGAGAAACCCCAGTAGAAATTTCAGTTTTGGTGAGGCTGGCTGGTGTGACTGTAACTTGGGGAACAACCATAGGAAGTACTAGAAGAGAGTCACCTGCACAGGATATGAAAAGTAAGTCGAGCACTAGGAGTGACATTTTCTAAAGTCTCATTCTATAAATGCAGACTATTTACAAAAAACCAATTCACTTATAAACTCTAATCGCATTTACAAAAACCCCACACATGGTGAAGTGCTTTCGCAGTCTCCTGTGAAGATGCCGCAACATGCGCCTGCCTAAGATTAAAGCAGGCAGCCGTGGTGGTACAAACAGCTGACCCACCTCTTCACTTGACTCTTCTTCCTTCAGCTTTTTCTTCACTAAACCTTTCTTCCTTCAGCATTTTCTTCCTTCAGCACAGATCACAGCCATCCTCTTCATCTCCATCATCACACATCTTCGTCATCAAAACCTACCTCTTCAGTCATCCTATCTGGCCACAACCGCTCTTTCCCTCTTTGGCTGGGATTCCCATTCTCCTGGTGCAGCACTACCGCTGACTAGCGGCAACCCGGTGTAAAATTCCATGACCTACTCATAATGTACGCATTACGAAAGGCATGGGGGCTTGTGACAGCTAGTCTCCTCGAGTAGTTCTCGAGAAGTGGCATCTAACCATCAGGAAATGGGCATCTCTTGCCTTGCCCCTTCCATTATCTTGGTGCTGCACTGCCGCCAATCTCCTGCAGCTAGCGGCATCCCGGTGTAAAATTCCATGTCCTACTCATAGTGTACGCATTATGAAAGGCATGGGGGATTGTGTCAGTTAGTCTCCTCGAGAAGTGGTATCTAACCGTCAAGAAATGGAATTTCCCCCTTGTCCCTTCCATTATCCTGGTGCTGCACTGCCGCCAATCTCCTGCAGCTAGCGGCATCCCGGTGTAAAATTCCATGTCCTACTCATAGTGTACGCATTATGAAAGGCATGGGGGATTGCGTCAGCTAGTCTCCTCGAGAAGTGGTATCTAACCGTCAGGGATGGATGGGGCATTTTCATTTCTCTCCTGACTATTCTCCCTCTTTCACTCTTCCGATCTGCTTTTCTCCTTCTTTAATCTTATCCATTTTCTTCTCTCATCTATTATTTCTCCAAGTCAAGGCTGCTTGATCACAAAAAGCCTGGGTGGGCGGGATCTTGCTTTTCTAGCAGGGGCTTTCTCTCTCTTTTGCTGTTCAATCTACTCCTTAGGTCTCGCAAAACCAGATTTATCTGACAGGGAGCCACAACCAGGTACGTCATGTCAGTAACAAAGGTATAAGCACTTACAAGAAATGATCAAATCTACATGGTAAGTGTGTTCTGTCGCAATAGAAGAAATCCAGACCTCAGCAGAGCCGAAGCCACGCGGAAAACAAACCATAATCAATCACAAAGCACCAGAAGTCTCTTTGTCCTCATCAACCAAACATCTAGTCCACGCAAACGCTTTCTCGATTACTTGATAAAGAATCTTTCCACGGGTAAGAAGATACCCAAATACCGCATTGCCTGGTCCACGCCAACCTCTCCCGCAGCTGTTCTAGCCATCCAGCAATGAAGGAAGCGACCAAGCGATCAGACGCAAGCATCGACACCGTCATCCGTGACACCACCCATAGATGTGTTTTCGGCAACACCATATCTCATCGCTAGGATGATGGAGTCCAAGTCTTGGGAACCTAAAGGGTCACTACACGCGGATGCGAAACCGAGTTTGGTTAAATACTAGGAGGCCCTCGAAGCTAGCGGGCCACTTGATACCGAGCAGCTAGAACGACTCCAGATCTTTCTCTACGGAAGTTAGCCTTTGCCCTGGACAACCCTATAGTCTCAGTTGAATGGACTGGCTATGAAGAACCGACTTGGGAGCCTCATTGGATGATTTTGGAGGCCATTCCAGAGCCACCCAGAAGATGCCAGGTAGAGAGCGATCACGGTGTATAAAAGCCCATGAGCGCGAGGAAGAGGCAGTGACCGAGGGCGGATATCTTTGTTAAAACTAGCATGAGTTCGTGGATCATAAGCTTTTTTTCCTGTGTGGGCTTTCTTTAATCAATTTCTTTGTTCAAATAGAGAGTGGATGGAGAATTAGTAGAATCGCCACCAGGTGATGTATTGCGAGGTTGTCGTTTGAGACTAGCTGGACATGAACATATGAGCATCTCTAAGAACATCATCACGGCCATGCGCGACGGGTTCCTCCATGAGTGACTAAAAGTCCAAATGCCCTATCACGGCCCTGACGCCGCACGAGCAATGGGTAGGCAGGATAGCGGCCTTGTTGGCATTGTTGTCCAGCGTTCATCAACTCTTAGGTAGAGCCAATGCTATAGTTAAGGATACAAGGAACAGCTATTGGCATATTAAATTCCATCTGATAAGGATTAGACTAATTATAAATACATCGCCTATAGCTTAGAAATGCTTTTCATAGGTAGCTGCTGCAGCTGGATGAAGCTGTCGTGGTCGGGCTGTTCAATCGCGACAACTATTGAGGTCAGTAAGAATGCTGCTGCTGGAGGAAACTGCTGAGTTGAGTTGGAAAATAAGGTCATGTGATCTAGTCCTGGAGATAAGCCCCACCACCACCTGAAATCTACGAGTCCCCCACATTGGTGATGAGGACGAGCAAGCCATCCTGCCCTCATCAGCAAGATCGTCATTCGTGGCTGGAGTTATACGATTTCTTTTTAGTTGTAAGAAAAAAGACGGGATACCGTCTATAAAGATCTGACCTCAAAATGGTCAACATTACAGAAAAGATCAAGGAGTGAGTCAGCTGATCGTCTTGAATGAATCGTCTTTTTATTAACTATGGATGCAGGATTGAGGATGAGATGAGGAAGACTCAAAGTAAGCAACGGCTATTTTCCCCGGTATTTTTAATTCGTTCTTTAAGAAGTCTCGGTTCCATCATTATACAACAAGAAGACTGTCTATGTGCCAGTATAATTGCTGTATAATTGGAGGAAGGACAAAGAAGTCGGGACAGTCTCAGATTTGCGGTCTTATTCTTGCGAGAACTAATTATCGCATGTATTTTAACCCTGGTAAGACATAATAACTAACAACATACCTGAAATACAGAGAACAAGGCCACTGGTAAGCGACAATATCACACTCCCATTGTTAGACCGGCTTACTGATGTTGTTCCTATCTAGAATACCATCTTGGTCTGCTAAAAGGGTATGTGAAATTTCCTGAGGAATGGGGTTCCAGATCCGAACTCCAGGACCGAAACTCAGACCCTTCATGTCTCGGCATCTGGCCAAAGCTCCACCCACTCATAAGACAGTCGTCCAGATGCTAACACGGATGAAGAAAACTCGCACGCTTACGAGCTCAACTCTTGGAGCCAGGCCCAGGTGCCGGCGGCGGCGGTGGCTCGGGTTTCGACGTCAGCAAAAGTGGTGATGCCAGAATATCCCTTGTGGGCTTCCCCTCTGTGGGCAAATCAACTTTCCTATCAAAGGTCACCAAAACGAAGTCCGAGGTCGCCTCTTATGCCTTCACCACTCTTACAGCCATCCCCGGTGTGCTTGAATATGGCGGTGCTGAAATCCAGCTGCTCGATCTGCCAGGAATCATCGAGGGTGCCTCCGAGGGCAAGGGGCGAGGTCGGCAGGTCATCTCGGCGGCAAAGACAAGCGACTTGATTCTGATGGTCCTTGACGCTACGAAGAGAGCAGAGCAGAGAGCACTTCTAGAGGCGGAGTTGGAAGCCGTCGGCATCAGGCTGAACCGAGAACCACCGTAAGTTGCCACCATTCCTCACCTCTTTCCGCCTGCCGCCCTCTCTTACTAGAAGCTATTGTAGCAACATCTACCTAAAAGCCAAGAAGGCAGGCGGCATGAAAATCACATTCCAGACCCCGCCCAAGAATCTCGACGAGAAGATGCTCTACAACATCCTCCGCGACTACAAGATGCTCAACTGCGAGGTCCTCGTGCGCGACGAGAACGCGACCGTGGACGACTTCATCGACGTCATCATGAAGGACCACCGCAAGTACATCAAGTGCCTGTACGTGTACAACAAGATCGACAGCGTGTCGCTCGACTTCCTGGACAAGCTGGCGCGCGAGCCGCACACCGTGGTCATGAGCTGTGAGCTCGACCTCGGGATCCAGGACGTCGTGGACCGGTGCTGGCAGGAGCTGCGCCTCATCCGCATCTACACCAAGCGGAAAGGCGTGGAGCCCAACTTTGACGAGGCGCTCATCGTGCGGAGCAACAGCTCCATCGAGGACGTGTGCGACTCGATCCACCGGACGCTCAAGGACACGTTCAAGTATGCGCTGGTCTGGGGGGCGAGCGCGAGGCACATCCCCCAGAGAGTCGGGCTGAGCCACATGGTCGCGGACGAGGACGTTATTCACATCGTCAGTGCATGGCGAGCGTAGCGGAAGTAAAAACCTGGGATTTTTTTTTTAAGAAACAAAAGGAAATAAAATATCTTGGTATTGTGAACGTGAATCCCCCTTTGCAAAAAAAGCATTTCCGAAGCTAATCAATAAGTGTTTTCCTCTCCCTTAGAGGCCGCCACCCTTCCGTTGTTGCATCAAGTCATTACAAATCATGTTGTACACAGGAAATTGCAATGCGCCGACGCCTGTAAACATGAACCCAAAGCTCCATATTGAAAACCAATCTTCGATAGAAGGAGCGAACAAATGATCATCTTGTTGTTTATTTTTTAAGATGATGGTAGAAACTCATTTCATAGCAGAAGCCTGCTCGCCATGACTGCAATATCTTCCAGCAGGACCTGTTCAGGGTCGTGCAGGAGTGGCGCCAAGGGCACTCTCGCCTTGCAGCTTCTTAGCGCTGGCTTGGGCGAAGAGGGACTTGGGCTTGGCCCTGGAGGACGAGGGAGGTTAGCTTTCATATAAACACGAATTGGGGAGGGTGAGACGAACTTGCTGGCGTGCTTGTTGCGCAGTGCGTTGAGCTTGGCACTGCATGGGCTCATGATGTTGTCGGATGGGGATACATATTGCTTGGAGGATCTGCAGGAAGTGGAACTGGTCAGCTCGAAGTGCACAATGAGTGAAGGAGAGAGAAAAGACGACAAATGAGAGGCGTACCGTTCTTCCATCTTGGACTTGAGGACCTCGCGATGGTATTCCATGCTCTTGATGTCCTTGGTGCGGAGGGCCTGGTCCTGCTCCGACATGATTGGAGCGTTGATGTCCTTGTTGCCGAGAACGTTGGAAGACATGGCGTGAATATGAACCTTGCAAATGTAATACTAGCAAGGAAAGGTTTCTTGAGTGAAGTTGCGCGAACTGATTGATGGTGAAGAGTGAAGATGCGCAGGTGTAGCAGAGATGTTGTGTGAAGCAGGAGGCTCGATCTTGATCTGGGCTGGCAGCAATCACTTTAATGTCGGATGGCGATAAGGAACCGGCTTTTTATTTCATTCCATGACGTCCCAGAGCTTTGTCTGGGCAGCCAGCGACCACCAGAAAAAAAAAGTAAACGGATACCAGCGGTTGGAGGGGCAACGGCCGTGCTTAGATGACCAGTGTAGGATCGAGTGGAGCCTTTTGGTGTGTTGGCACCACTAATAAAGTTGGGGCCCATGTCTTCATCAGACGGGCACGACGGGTCCAGATTCACCTGTCAGAATTGTGACACCGAATCTGCATTGTGGTTTCCCGAACGGGCCTGTTGCTATCGGCACATCATTTTAGCATGACACAGGCCCCAGGCCGTGAATTGAGTCACCGCAGGGGTTGGGGACGCGGCTGGGCGATCCATGGGGGAGAAGAGTCATATTGGCACGGCAATGGCATGGCCGCATCTCGAGGTCGCAGGCACTCAATGGCTGGGAGTTGCCCTGGTCACCAATGCTATCCATTCAGGTTGATATATGTCAAATGCTATGATACAGCTATAGTCACTAGCCCTTCATCCCCTTTATGCCTTCGCCTAACTGTGCTCGGGCAGTTTAGAGCTTGGAGTGCTTGATGTTGCTCCCGGGCTGCGCCGCAGTCACCCCGTACTTCTTGAACAGCTCTTCCGACTTGGCCTTCTGGCGCAGAATCGTCTCCGTAGCCTCCTTGCCCCTCTTGTTCTCATTCTTGCCCATCTGCTGCAGATGCACCTCATCCGGGCCGTCTGCGAGCCTCAGCGTGCGGATGCCAGCCCACATGTTGGCCAGCGGGGTGTCCTGCGACACTCCGGCGCCGCCGAATGCTTGCACCGCGCGGTCGATGACGTTCAGTGCGGTCTGGGGCGTCAGCACCTTGGCCTCCGCAATCTCCTTGAGCGCCTTCTTGGGGCCGAGTTCGTCCATCTTGATGGCGGCGTTGAGGACAATCAGACGGGCCGCGTCGATCTCGATGCGGGACTTGGCGATCCATTCGAGGATCACGCCGTGCTCGCGCAGCTGCTTTCCGAAGGGGGTCTTGCGCTCGTCATTGATGCGCATCAGCATCCAATCCAAAGCACGCTCGGCCTAGCACAATTGATATGTTAGAGGAGATTCATACAACCAGGATTCGAAGTAAGATAAAGTGAGCAACTTACAGCGCCAATGCTGCGCATAGCGTGGTGGATGCGGCCAGGTCCCAGACGACCCTGGATAATCTCGAAGCCACGGCCCTCACCCAGAACCATGTTGCTAACGGGAACTCTGACGTTGGTGAATGTGATGTGGCCGTGGCCGTGGGGAGCATCATCGTAGCCGTAGACCTTGAGCATCCTCTGGATCTTGATACCGGGGGTAGTAGCCGGTACCAGGACGACAGACTGCTGCCTGTAGACGTCCTTGTTGGCAGCATCCGTCTTGCCCATGACGATGTAGATCTCGCACCTTGGGTCGCCGGCACCGCTAGACCACCACTTGGATCCGTTCAGGACGTACTCGTTGCCCTGTCGCTTGATGTCGAGCTCGATGTTGGTCGCATCGGAGCTGGCAACGTCGGGCTCCGTCATCAAGAAAGCTGAGCGGATCTTGCCCTCCATGAGCGGCTTGAGCCACTCCGCCTTCTGCGCAGCGTTGCCATACTTGGCCAGGACCTCCATGTTGCCGGTGTCCGGGGCGGCACAGTTGCACGCCTCGGAGGCAGATCGGGAGCGGCCGAGCCACTCAGCCATCAGGCCATACTCGAGGTTGGTCCAGCCGGGCGACTCAGTGTAGTGGCCCTTGGGGAGGAACATGTTCCAGAGGCCGAGCTCGCGGGCCTTGATCTTGAGGTCCTCGATGATGGGGGGGTGGCTCTCCCAGCGAGCGTCGCCAACGCCAATCTGAGCTTCAAGAACGGCATCGGCTCTTGAGAGGGGGGATGCTGGGTTTAGCAATTGACGTTCAGGTCACATCAGGCAGAGAGCGGTGCTTACGGGATGCATTCCTCCTGGACGAACTTGGCGACAACATCGATTGTCTTTTTCGCGGCGTCGCTAACGCGATCCGAGACCTGGTCATCAATTAGTATCATCGAACGCAGCCATCCAAGCTCACACGTGGACGAGTGAGCAAAATGAGCTTACAATGGCAGGGATTTGGGCCGACATGATGTGAGTGTACTCCGTGTCGCTGCTTGAGAGAATGGGGGATATGAAAATAAAATAAAAGAGAAGCTAGATCGACAAGCTGTAGATAAAAAAGATTTCAATTAGATGGAGGGATCGCTCAATGCCCGCTGACCTCTGCTGCAACCCCAGTCATCTAAGTAAGGGATGCGATGGATCATGGAGCCGAGGTCTGGATGGGCAACAAGCCGCTGCGAGCTGCGCCTTTGGCTCTAGGCTCCAGGTGGGGGTGGTGCTTTGCCGGGGGAGTCTGGGGTAATGGTGTGGTTTGAGCCTCGAAGGTGGACTCCGGCGTGGGAGGAACCTCGGCGCCTTTCGGGCATCAGAGCGAGCTGCGTAGCCCCCGCTTGGTCTCTCACCGATGCAGCCAAGATGGTATTTCAAGATGCTTATTTCTATTGCTGAGCTTGGCTGGATGCTTCCAAGAACAGTTAAGTACCTTCCCGGTGCCAGACCTCGTTGCTTTCTCTGATTGTAGCTGCAAACCAATTCACGCAACATACGGTTAATTCTAAATTAAAATATTGGTCAAAGCATCGGTTATCATATGCTCTCCGAGCCGAACTGTCGTAAGAATCGTAAGTTGCATACGGTATTTGGACCCTCTGCAACAAGGAGAAAAGAATCCCACGGCGCTGTCCGAGGCGCGCGCTTATTGCCTACCGAACCAGGACTGCATCCCCATTTGTCATGCTTCTTCGAATCAACCAGGCCAATATATGCATAAGACCGTGTCAAAGAAGCAGCATTTCTATCCTCAACGGTGGTATAAAAACTGCACTGTCCTGTATGGAAAAAATGCTAGATCTACTGTGCAAAGCCCTTCATCGATGGACGGCAACCGATATCTCAGTCCCTTGTCCTGTATTCTTCTCATCCTCCTATTCGTTCTAATTCAACTCTCCATGGCAGACCAAACGGAGTCTTCCTCACCAGTAAAGAAAACAAAAAACCAAGATAATCTGTTGAGGATAAGAAAAGCGCAAACAAACCCACAAACACAAGCCACTCCAACAAGCCCTGGCCGATGAAGGATAAAAAAAAGAAAAAAGGTTCAGATACAAAACGCCCTGCGAGAACTAATCGCGCCCAGGAAAGCGATACTAGCCCTCTTGGTAATTACAGAAGCACTCATAACCCGTCCAACTTTCTATTTAACAAGCGCAGCCTTCGTTGGGGTTGTCGATACGAATGTTGATAGGGTCGTCGAAATCTCCGCTAAACTCCTCGGACTCCTCCTGTGCCAGGGCATTTCGTGCAATCACTAAGGGCCCAATGTTAAAACGGGAGTTGGGTAGTAGATAGATATGGTAATTCCGTACCTTCAAATGCCTGGTCGATATTGATGGCCTCCTTGGCACTGGTCTCAAAGTATGGGATGTCACCTTTCGACTGGCAGAATGTCATGGCTCTCTTGTTTGAGATCTATAACAGGTCAGCTAGCTTACCCAACGCAGGACGAAGAGAGGAAATTACTCACAACTCGCTTGCTCTCCTCCACATCAATCTTGTTGCCCAGAACAACCTAAGGGACTTGTTAGTCGATCCGAAGGATGCAGTAAAGCAAGAGTCCCACATACGAAAGGGAAGTTTGGTGGGTCACGAGGCGAGGCCTGGATCAGGAACTCGTCCCGCCAGCTGTCGAGGGCCTCGAAACTCTTGGCGTTGTTGACATCGTAGACCAAAACGCAGCAATCGGCACCACGGTAGAAAGCCACACCTAGCGACTGGAAGCGTTCCTGACCAGCAGTATCCCAAAGCTAGCAATCACCCCTACGTCAGCTCCTGTCTCTTGAACTGCCAAAAATCGGAGTCGGTGTTCTTGTACCTGCATGGTAACCTGGCGGTCATCGACCATAACCTCGCGTGTCAGGAAGTCGGCACCGATAGTAGCCTTGTAGCTAGCGCTGAACTTCTTGTTGACCTAATAACACCCAGAAACGTCAATGGGAGCCTTCGAGAACTGGCTGACTGGGCGTACGCACATATTGGTTCATCAAACTCGTCTTGCCAACGCCGCTGTCGCCGAGAATGATGACCTAGATAACACCAAACCATCAGTTCATCTGCCTCACCGAACCACTATAACATATGCAGCTGATTGATTCCCTTCGCACCTTGAGGAGAACCTTCTTCCTTGAAGACATGATGGGCTACCAGGTGCTTCGATGACGTGATAGGAACGCAGTGGAGGGCTGCTTCGCAAGGGCTGCTTCAGGCAACGACGGGGTCTCGTTTCGGGAGTATAATCTCGGGAGCGTGTGTTCTCCTCCAGGCTGTAAAACTCTCCAAAGCCAAGTCGGGTGCCGTTGCTCCGTTGGGTAGCTTCGTCGAGGCGGCGGATGTTGTTGTGGGCTGGCAGGAAGGGTGGTCGTCGATGAAGCACGACGGTAATTACGCTGGTTAGAGCTTCGCTATCTTAAGGCGCCGTCGTTAGAGGTGATGGCAAAGCTCACTAGCCGTTCTGGGTATGGGCGCATGCATAACTGCGAGGCCTGAGACGGGGGTGTGGCGTCAGGAGTGGGCCCCACGTGACGGTTATCAGCGGGTAGCTTGCCAGGATGACCGTCAGTTCGCAGGCCGACATCTACCCAATTCCAGGCAGTAAACAACTGAGTGTGATGTGATGTGCTGCGCTGCACTACGACCACTCACACAGCCCCGACTGATCGGGGACTTACAGAGCTGAGATCCACCAGGCTCGGTCATGGCGGATGGCAGCCTCATTGGCAAGGTCCAAGATCTCAGCGACCTTGAGCTGGCCCTCCTGATCAGTCTGGTCAGCCAAGAACACTGTCTGATTAGCACCGCTCCAGACGCTCTTAATGATCTGGTGGAAGAGCTGCAGCTGGTATGGCACAGGCCATTTCTCTTACACTCAACCAAATTGTAAAATACATCTTCGTTTCTAATCAATGCTGTTCCTCGCTTCCAGACCGCTACCAAGACCTTTGGCCTCAGCCATGTCGTGATCGACTGCGATGCCAACACCACACTGAGTAGCTTCACCTCAGCCCTCCTCGTCCCGAAACCTCAATCTCCCACGCGGGCCCCGTCACCGTTCAGCACACGCACGGAATCGTACTTTGTCTCCCGACCGAAATCACAGTCCTACCATCCTAGCAAGCCTCTGTTCCCCGGGCCTTCGGTGTACATCCCCAATGTAGTGTTCGCGAAGAACTTCGACCAGGCGCCGCACGCCGTCCAGATCCAGGCTTTGGAGCTGCTACGTTCGAGGCGCATATACACCCGTACTTCAGTCCACACGGCCCCGAAGCAGTTCCTGTTCGTTCCCGTGCTGGGGGCGGAGAGCGGAGGCCAGGCCAGAGTCACCAAGCATCTGAATGACTTTCTATTCGTCGCACACTGGCACGACCCAGATGATGGATACATAAACCTCGAGGAGGCCGATGGGGGCGTTGATGCTGAGACAGCATCTACAGGCAGCGTTGTTAAGAAGGCGTCGCCTCTAGATACCCCGGCTCCGTCAGAGGTTCTCTTCTCGGAAAAGGTAAGCATATCTCTCGATGATATCAAGAGGAGGGGAATCAGCTAACAACCTGGTGGGGAAACAGGACATTAGCCAGATCGCCCATCTGAGCAGAGAAGTCGACGTGGACGTCGAGGTTACCAGATATCTCATGAACGTCGTATCATTTCTTCGATTGCATCGTGCTGTAGCGGAGGGAGTCACCCCGACTGCGACAAAGCACTTGGAACAACTCGCACGATGCCTCGCACCACTACACGACCTCACATTTGTCACCCCCGGTCTGGTCGACTTGGCTGTGCGCAAGGTCTATCTGCATCGCATCAGCATCGTTACGCCTGAAAAGGAACGGAGCATGCAATGGGGCAGCAGGCTTAGCGCGGTGGCTGCAGTGTTGGAGGATGTCGGGCCAGAAGACGTGATCGAAGATGTTTTGGAAATGGTCACGGCGCCGTTATAATATTAGGCTTGCTATATATATTAATCTATAATACACTTCTTCATGATAAAATGAGTCTCGTGTCTTCTTATCTCTCCTGTTCCTCGAGAATCTTAATAATGATTCTCGGGACAGGAGATTCGTGTCATACCAAACCAGGGCCTTAACACTGCGCATACCCACCCCTTGCCGCCAGAATGGCCGACGCTCTATAGTATCTCAAGTCCGCTGGTAAAAGATGCCAATGTCCTTCAGAGTGACCCCAAGGATCAAATTGGCCTCCATCATTAAAGGTCTTGCGCACCGCGCGTTCATTTAAAGGATCTTCTTGATCTTGCATTCCCAGCCAGAACGGGGAGCAAGCAGGGGCAGACTACAATTTCTTATTAGCAAGGTCGCTCAAATATTCGAATGGCTATCCTGGGATTAGCTTACCTGGCACCGAGGCACCAACCCAACTCGTTGCCCTTGATCTTCTTGGCAATCTTGACTTCACGGTCGATGGGCATATCGTATCCGGTGTGGAGCAGGGCCAACATGAAGTTGAGATCCAGGCAGTGCTCAGGGCGGTCCTCAAGCTCGTGGATAGCACCGGGAATGCTCTGGAAGACGTCCCAGGCCTTGGATCCCTGGCAAACAGTGTGGGCGAGATCGTGCATCTCCCTCAAAGTGAAGGAGTCAGGCATGCCAAGGGGCTTGGTGCGGTCGTAGAAGTAAGAAAAGATGTAAACATCCTCCTTCGCAAAGGTCTTAGCCAGGGAAGGCTGGTGAACACCGTTGAAGGAGCAAGGGGCGAGGGTGCACGCGGCATCCTTCTTGAGGATCTTCTCGGCAAGGTTGCGGCACTGAGCAGCGGAAGCCTGGGTAGGTCCGGTGAAGTTGAAGGCGGTATTCTGGCCCTCGAATTCAACCTCAACTTCCTTGGTCATGCCGGGAGCAACGCAAGGGTGGACGACGGGCTTGCGCATCCAAGACTTATCCTGGCCCTTGGCCTCGGCCAGCTCGGAAAGAAGAGTCTGGTGGATGGACTCGCGGGCAGACATCAATCCATAGCCAAGGTGAGAGTGCTGGTAGAGTTCGAACTTATGGCCGCCGAAATCGAGCTTGTACTTGTGGTCGCCCTCAGCGAGATGCTCAGGCATACCGCCATCGGGAACTCCCTTGAAGTTTGGTTCGAAGACAATCTGAGTTGAGCCACCACCAAGATCGAAGACAGCGGCGGGTTCATCAACATCGGGACCTCCAATCTTGCCAAGGAGATAGTTGGTAGTAACCCAGGCATAGACACCTTCGAGAGATCCGTCCATGATGACAACACCATCATTCTCCTTGGAGACAACAGGGAATGGGTAGTCGTTCTCGAGATGCGTGCGAACCTGGTCGAGGATTGCTTGAGCGGTGTCCACTCCGAGCTTGCGAAGACCGGCGGTGGCCTTCACTGCGACAGGACTGCAACTCTTGTACTCATCAGGGACGGTATCCATAGCGACCTTCATCAAGGGGTCGAGACTGGCGGCGGCGCCGACGGGGTCATCCTTGAAGGAGCTGAGTCCGCTTCCTCCAGCCCTCTTCTCGGTCATCTTGAATTCTTCATGCTCGAGCTCAGGGGTGGGGCCGCAGTTGTTGAACTTGTAGACGTGGATACGGCTTCCAGTGCTGCCGGCATCGATCATCAGAACGTACTGGACAAGAGGCTTGTCCTTGGAGAACGGCTTGGTGCAGACCGCAGTGGGACCACTGGGTTCGCTGGGAACCTGCCCAACAGCTACATAGAGTCAGCATCGGCCATCATCAGAATCAAGCTTCCCCGCTTGCTCTCAAGGCGCTCTTACCACCTTTACCAGGCTGGACCTGGACACCACGAGGGGAAAACCAGAAGAAAAGGCAGACGATGCCAAACAGGATGGCACCCGTCTTCATCCATCGCGCCTTTTGCGACTGGGATACAAAGACCTCCTTCATGATGGAAAATAAGCTATGATCTTGTCTCCTGGGGAAATATCGGTCGGGTTTCTCGTGCGGATCGCGGATGTGTTTGCCCTTGCCTTTGCTTTTAGACAATGGCGATCCGAACATGGGCGTTTTGCGACGACGGCGAGATGCGTTCTAGGAACCTACACCGTACTGTTGCATTTGGCGGGAAGATGTGAGGCAAGATGGAAAGACCAAGAAGAATAGCCTTATCAAGCGAGTGACGGGAAGAGGACAGACAGATCGTCAATTAAGAGAACAAAAAAGTTGGTCAAAAGGGGGTTTGACGGTTTAGGCCTGGGCTAGCGTCAAACGAGAACGGGTAGAATTCTTAGTTTACTGTGCTTTTAGGGGCTATCGAGATCACATCCAGAGCAAGGAAAATAGGGGAGGGGACCGCCAAAACGCTGAAAACAGCTGGGGGAGCCAATCGGAATCGCCACATTATCCACTAAGGACAAGACGCCGCATCGAAACGCCCCTGATAAGGATAACGGAGTAGACTATCAATTCGGGGAAATGAGCTGGATGAAATTGGACGGAATCAATCAAGACGGGGAAGCAAGGAATGCCTGCGGCTCTGGTCGGAGACGGATGTCTAGGTACGTGCGTTTTTCCAACTCTGACAAGCATCAAGGTTATCGCTTTGTCGAAGTCGGCTCTACCGTATGCAAGGAGGTGTCGGAGACCAGATCAGCACCGCCCACCATCTAGAGGCCCATTAGGTGGCCCTTGGCTGCCTGTGATTACATCGCCACTATTAGTCTAAACGATTCCATGAATAAGCCACAGCTCTCGCTAAATAACTGTGCAACATCCATTTCGCTCAGCAAAGAAAAATAAGGTGTTGTTCGCCGTGTCATTATTTTTTCTTATGCAGCGACAACCCAATTCATAGCTCACATCTCCACCCTACCACTATGGATGTCCAGCTGCTTGTCTACGACCTCTCAAGAGGTCTAGCCAGACAAATGTCACAAGGCCTTCTGGGCTTTCAACTTGATGCTATATACCATACCTCTATCGAATTGCAGGGCCGTGAATATGTATACGATGGAGGTATCATCGCCATCACACCAGGCACATCTCACCTGGGCCAGCCCATGGAACGGCTTCATCTAGGCAAGACAAACCTCACCATGGATATTGTCGAGGACTACTTAGAGTCCATACGCCCAATATTCACTCTAGAGGTGTGTTCAACTTCCAATGTTCAACCAATATCTCCAGATCTAATAAAAGTCACCTAGGCATATGACCTGTTTCATCACAATTGCAATAACTTCACGGACTCATTCTCAAACTTCTTGCTTGGAAAGGGAATCCCCAGTCATATATCAAGCATGCCACAGGCCGTTTTAGATTCTCCCATGGGTCGCATGTTATTGCCTCAACTCACACAGGGTGTCAATGGGAGCCGACAGAATGGTTCTATTCTCGGTCTTGAACAAAGCGCTCGACCTGTGACATCTCGATCCGGAACTATCGGTGCATCCACCTCAACCAGAGGAGTCAAAAATATCACCAGCGTAATAGAACTCGCGCGCCTTCTAGACGAGGCAAAGGATTCATGTGCCGCCATATTTTTTACCTCGGCCACCTGCCCTCCATGCAAGACCGTCTACCCTCTTTATGACCAACTTGCTGAGGAGTTTCATGGCAAAATGACACTAATCAAGATTGATATCAGTCTGCCTGGGGCGCAAGAGGCGGCGAGCCAATATTCTATTTCAGCCACACCAACATTCATCACATTTCTCAAGGGACAGCAAGTGGAAAAGTGGTTGGGGGCCGACTATGGCAGTCTGAACGGAAATCTTCGACTACTGGTCGAAATGGCCTTCCCTTCCCATCCACACATGAATTTAAGGCTGCCCAGCTTCAACTCAATCAACCGCAAACCAGTTCTCTACGGCAAAGTGCCTCCCATGGACAAGCTATTAGCAAAGCTGGGTGAGGAACTCGCGCAAACATCCGAGGTGAAGGCGCTTCGTCACTACATTGAAACGCGTGAGAAGCAAGGAGAGGTGGATGCTATCCTTCCCGATCTGGCCCAGTTTGGCAGCTTCATCCAAAAGAGTCTCCATGACGTACCACTTGAGAAGCTGTTCATTATTGTCGATCTTTTTCGATGCACCCTTGTCGATACCAGAGTTAGCGGTTACTTTGCTGAGGAGAATTCTCGTGCAACCATCTCTCAGGTCCTCGAGCTGGTGAATAGTCGCGACGATTCCCCATATCCTCTGCGATTAGTTACTCTCCAGATGGTGTGCAATATGTTTTCCACCCCGCTCTTCCCTCGGGAGATTCTCAAGGGAGGAACGGTGCTATCACAGATCACCACTTTAGTGTCATCAAACATGCTGGACGGCAGCCATCCGAATCTCCGCGTAGCTGCTTCATCTCTTTTGTTTAACCTGGCTTTGGAACACCGGAAAGCAAGGGATATCAAATCCAATTCTCTGCTTCCCGAAGCGGATCAGATCGAGTTGGGGGCATCTGTCGTGGAGGCCATTAGTCAAGAGAACGGATCTGTGGAAGCTCTTCAGGGCATGCTTTCTGCTCTCGGACATTTATTCTACGGTGCTGACCTAGAGGGAGAACTGGCGGGGCTGCTTCGAGCTCTTGATGCTGAGAGCACCGTTCTAGGGAAGAAAACAACGTTTCCAAACGAGAAACTGGTCTCGGAAGTTGGCGCGGAGCTGCTCGGGAAAGGTCTCAGGATGCCATAGAGGAGACCACATCATCATTTATAGACAGCTAGACTCTTTCAGGATGACAAGCCAAACATGCTTCTGACCGAGATATTAATTTACATATATAGAACATTGCTAAATCTCAATTATTTGCACAGAATCAGCAGCGAACTCCTTCTAGGTCAGCTTAATATTTGTTGTCTCACGTCAATCCGAGCCCTCGTCACTTCAAAAATCAATGGCAAAAAAAAAAATCAGAAATCCCTCACGCCTAGCTCATTTATGGTGATCAATTCTCTCCAAGTATATCGCCAACTTCAGCAAAAAATGAACATCTCGAAGAGCGGAGTCGAACCGCTGACATCCAGATATGCTTTCGAACGATTACAGTCTGGCGCCATAAACCAACTAGACGACTTCGAGTTGTTTGCTTCTGGGGTTTGCGACTTTGCAGCTGTCCCTCATAAGCAGTCCAATCAGAGCGCCTTCAGTTTGGCGGACTCAAATAAATATTGTATTATGTAATCCATAAAAATTTCCTCCATTGCTGCCTTAGTCAGAAAAGCTTATGCCTAAACAGGACTAGCTCGAGTTGAGTCCTGGCCTTTATCAACGCACGCGGCTGCCGAAAATCTTTTTCGCTTTCTTTTCCTTTCTTCTTTATCAAAAAGCCAACTGAGCTGCCACGACCCTCACCTATCTTCCCACGGTGTTGCGTTGCCTTTCCCCTCGTGGGAAACGCTCAGAAGAGTAAAACCCTTGTATATAGGAAATCTTCCGCCAGTTTGTTGCTTGCAACGAAGACTGTAGGCGGTACGATGCCAAGAAGGGGGGACATTTCTACCTTGTAGAAACCTGTTTTGAAACACATGAATCGGCACTGCGGCGCGCACTTGTGCGACGGCAATAAATCGTAAACATGACATTAATGGCTTGCTAGACGGCAAAAGTCCTGGCTAGTCTACCTGTTTCAATCTGCCGCATGGAGAGACTGTCTCTGTCGGCAGTATGAACTTTGATTACTCTGTGTTGTTCAACTCTCCATCCTCGGTCTTGCTTCGATGCTGGTCCCTGATGAAGCCTTCAATCTTGTCATCATGGTCTGGCCTGTGAGGCGGGCCAGGAATGTCTGTCCCTTGCTTGCTGGTATCGGTGTTCTTTGATCCAGTGCCCAAAATCTTGGAGGCAGCTGGGATAAGCTCCGTGACTGTCACCACGGATAATTAGTCAACAGCCTGAGATCCTTGATGGGGAATACAACATACTCTTCTCCACAATCGGATTGGTATTTGCGCCTTGCTGATCTTCACGTCGTTCAGTTGCAACACGGTCAAGCTGCTCCTTGAACGATTGATCTTGCAAATCGTCTGTTTGTTTGTCGTTGGCAGTCATCTTAGAATGTTGTAGCTGTAGGGTAGCCTCTGTCGTAGAAATTCTGGCTGGTCACTGTTAGAGGAACCAATTCGCTTGGTTAGAACCAGTTTTAGATTCGAGATTGGGGAGAATGAAAAGGCTTTCTCGAGATGCGAAAGATGTTTTAAATCATAAAGAGAGAGAGCTTGTTTTACACAATCGAGCGCATCGACACGCGTTCTCTTTCATGACGTCAAAAACCAGCCCCACCGCGGGGAGCATTAACGTAGGTTTTCTTGGCGACAATCATCAAGCCGTTTGCGTTACTGATAAGATAGCGGTGGAGGGGCGCCTGTCTTCCGATCTTTAATTGACTTTAAACTTTTTGGCCTTGTTTGACACTGACTTGGGTCAGGAACCTGGAAGCATTTGTCATATTCTTGGTATTTCTCTTTTTACTTGATTTCAGCTGGATGATCCCCAGCGACCGTGTGTGAAAAATGGCGCCCATACCCATCACCATCATCACCGGCTTCCTGGGCTCCGGCAAGACGACCCTGATCCTGAACCTCATCCCCCAGCTGCGCGAGCAGAACCCTTCCTACAAGCTCGCCCTCCTCAAGAATGAATTCGGCGACCTCGCCATCGACTCCCAGCTCGCCTCCTCCTCGGCCATCTCCGGCGTCCAGGAGATGCTCAACGGCTGCATCTGCTGCAACCTCGTCGGGCAGCTCAAACCGGCCCTGGAGGAACTCGAGTCCCAGGTCTCCCCCGACCGCATCGTCGTAGAGACCAGCGGGTCCGCGTTCCCGGCCACGCTCGCGCTCGAGATCAACAGGCTGGCGAGGGACACGGGCAAGTACGTTCTCGATGGGGTGATTAGCGTGATCGACGTGGAGAACTGGAAGGGGTACGAGGACACGAGCTATACTGCCAAGATCCAGGCCCGGTACACGGATCTCATCGTGTTCAACAAGTGGGAGACTGCAGGGGAGGACCGCTACGATGAATGTCTGGATAGGGTGGCCGATCTTGATGTGGACGTTGCGCGGGTCAAGAGCGACAAGGGCTGGGTGTCCATGGGTGTGATTTTCGGAGTGGACGGCGGCCTTGCCAAGGAACTCACGGATTCGGAGACCAATGGCGCTGGACACGACAACCACGATCATGCTGGAAAGGACCACAAGCACGGCCACCAGAGCGAGGTCGAGGTTCTCTCGATCGAGCTCAAGGGTGATGCTGGTGCCGCCGTCTCCACTGAGAAACTCACCAATTTCCTCCAGGCCGCGCCAAAGGACGAGATCTACCGAATCAAGTCAGTCTTGACCCTTTCCTCAACACCAAAGAACTCGGACCCGGATGTTCCTCAGCCCGCGGCACACCCTCAGGGTCGCTATATCCTCAATTGGGCCTTTGGGCGCTGGAATTTCACGCCAGTGGGTGAAAATACCTCAGAACATGATTCAAGCAACAGCATCACCGTCCGGATGACGATAATTTCAGGACGTTACGAGAGTAATAAATGGAAGAAGAAGATCGAGGCCGGCGGCCTTGTAGAATTAGACGGTGTCAATAAAGGAGAACTTGTGGTCACCAGGATATTATAAAGCATGTTTTAGAATAGATGTATGTATAGAATTAGAGCTGTGGAGATGATGCTGATGACGATGACGATGATGCAGACGATGCTTGGCTAGACCCCTCAAAGAGATAGAAGTAAGAACTGGGCAAATAAGATATCAACAATATCCAAATGTAAAGACAATAATGTAATAACTATGCTTTCCGAAAGAGTATTATGTGACTGGAAACCCCCTGCTATGAACGAAACCTCAACAAGAAACAGAAGAATGTGAAACGTGGGCACATATACATTATAAACTAATGGTAACGGTCATGTTGTTGCTCAGCACCATCAAGGTGGGTGGCAACTCGTTACAGAGTAATTCGATATTCGATAGATACTGGATGGTGGCGAGTTCATCCTGACTCGTCCCCTCGGCTGGGATCGGTAGTGTCGTGAGGAGGACCGCGGTGTCTCGCGAGTGTCTCCGCATGAGCTCGTTGATGATGAGATGCTGTGCTTTGCTAGGCAAGTCGTTGAATGAAAGCGCTACTTCGCTTTGCCCCGAGAAGCCTGAACTGCTCTCATTTACGGGGCCTTGCTCTGCTGTTTGGGCATGATCGACAACGTCTGTGGATTCAAGAAGACTCGAGATGTCGACACTTATGTCGCCTTCGTAGGGATTGTCGTTTCGTGAGTTTTGTCGAGAATGGGCTCGTGAGGGCTGACGGGAATGGGGACGTGAGTTTTGGCGAGACTGAGTACGTGAGTGTAGTCGCGAGGGTGGAGGCTCGTATGCAGGTTGTTCAGCGAATGTGATCATCCCAGGACTGACATCATCCCCAATGACTTTGGTAGCTGGGGTCGGACGACACGAAAATTTTGCCTGTGTATACGATGATTGTCTCGAGGGAGAGGGTCGTGATGCATTATCTTGGTGGAGAAATGCTGTGGCTGCTGAAGACCCAGACTTGAACACCTCTTTGTATAGAGAAGAGTTCAGCGGTAGATTTGGTCGGGTCGAAGATCGAGCCACAGAAGACTGCCTGGATGTTTCTGACCTAGTAGGAGTAATTCTTCCACCACGTGGAGTTGTGGTGCCTGATCTTGTTGTTGTAGGGCTCTGAGAACCTTCTCTGTCATGTGCACTAGATTGAAGACCAGGGCCGGCGGAGGATTGGGCTTCATTTAGAGCGAGCGGCTTAATCTGAGTCCCAAATGCTTCCAGGTCTCTTCTGGTGGCGATGGAGGTTTCCTTTGGATATGGCCTGTGCGCGATGCTGGCTGTCTGTGTTGGAGCTGTTGATAGAGTGCCATAAGCTGGGCGTTCATATGGCTCAATCTCAGGCTCTTCTGGAATAATTCTGCTTCTCAAACGCCCTCTATTGCTAGTAGGCCCGAATAAAAGTGGCTGACTTTCTGGATCGAACGAGTGCCGACGTTTAAGCTGGCGTCGAGGGCCAGCATGATCATAATCGCTATAATCAGGCTCGGAGCTCTCACCTAAGTCATCGTATTCGTCATCGGCCTCAGAGCTAGCTCCGGAACTGTCATCACCCATGATATCATGATCAAGGTGATTCGTGTGTATGCCCATATTGGCCCCCAGCTTTGTCAGGTTCCCTACGTTCTGAGCGTTGGCCATGCCTAAAAGATCAGCTACACTGGCACGACGGCGAGGTTTGGCGCGTTTCTCATGGGGATTGTAACCTCCTGGCCGCCCAGACGTAGAATCCAAAATGTGCGCGAATTGGGCTCGTTCTCGCGTTGGAGAGATGTCATCATACTGTCCCCGGAACATCTGAATATCATCCCACCACTGCTCATCACGCAAAGCCTCATTAACCATGATCTCACAATCTATATCATGAGATTGCCCGAAAACAATGAGTTCGTAGGTGTTGAGGTGACCAGAAGCCAGCCACAACACGACTACTGTTGCCTCAATTCGAAGCTTGTCCAGAAGTTCTCTGACTCGAGTCCCCTCGGCTTCCACTTCACTCTCCCACTCGACGAAAACCATTACTCGAAGCTTGTATGTCTGTTTCCAAGCGCGAACAGTTCTCAGAATATGACCAAGCTGTAGAATTAGAGTATCTGTTCATTGTCAGCCCTAGCTCCCATGCTCAACTAAGCAAAATGATGAGCATCCTAGGTTTATGTAACACTTACAGGTGTCAAAATTGGTCGTGAGAATATTCTTGCCTTCAGATGTGATTTCAGCGGACATCTGGATTGGCCATAGATCGATGTACTTCTTCGTACTTTTGCCAGCCTTGAGTGGCGTTTCGATATTTTCAAACCCATATCCCACCGCCGTGTTGAGTCGATAACGAAGAGCCAAATCCTCAACAATAGTCATATACTCCATTGGGGTCATCATCTTTTCCGCACGCATCGCATCTGTGGGTAGAGTTCCCTCCAGTAAACGAGTTGGGGTGTCACGATATCCATTCTTGGGCCGTTTACCTTCTGCTTTCGGTGGATTGTTCATTTTAGAGGCAATAGATGTAGGTATATCGGGAACGGGAACAGAAGGGTCAGAACGCCGAAGGTCGTCCATGTTGTAGAAGCCGATAATGGCGATATTGGGTCGCATACCTCCTAGGCCAGCTGAGAGGATTAGGTTCCGAACCCCCCAAGTTATAGAGGGCGACATGGTCAGTTGCACAAAGGCCTTGATCCGAGAGAACTCCAATATGTAATTCGTCCAGGCTTGTTGTTGGAGCTTCGCTTCGTGGACGCCTGAATTGAAATCATCCGTCACAATGACATGCCCCAATATATACAGAGAGCCTTTTTTCAGGGAGTTGCAAAACCTGATCAGCCGCATCTGCTTTCGGGGGTTGTTCACAAGGAGAATGATATGAGGCCGCCAGAACTTGATATGTTCAGGTTTCAACCGCAAAAGATATTTCCTTGCTTGATGGTATATGAGGTTTTGGGACACATCTCCCCAACGTTTGGGCGGACAAAGATAGTGAATAAGACTAAACAAGGCAATCAAGACGCAAATAGCAAGAGCAGCCCAAGTCTCATCGATGAAGAACATCGAAGCCGTCGTAGATAAGCTTCCTAGGGCCGCTGTTTGCCAGCTGAAGAACTTGAATCGGGGTCGGAAGTTCGGTGCTGAGCCAACTTTCAGGAAGAAACAAGCAAGGTTCATTATCAGGAAGGTCATCTATGAGACATGTTGTCAGCATGCTAGGTAGCAAATATGGATTTTGCCTTCCAGGAGAGCAGTGAAATTGCGAGGCTTCAAGACCCATTTTGTCGACTTACCTGGAAACCGATGGAAATGAGTGTTGCAATGTGATTCAATTCGGCAAGGAGGGCTACCTGGGCGATAAAATGGACAAGCAAAAGCGCCACGATGGGCACATTTCCTCTGGAGAGGCTCTTACCGAAGATCGACAGTCCTGGGAGTAACTTGTCCTTGGCAAGAGCCCGAAGCAAACCGGCAGCGCTTTTGACCCCCATCAACGCCGAAAACAAGGTAACCGAGCACTCTCCAGCGAAGATGAGAGGTGAGGCCAGGCTTGTGATAGAAAGCACATTGGTGTTGGCTAAGAGCGACGAATGGGTTGTGCTGGCGGCTAAGGAGAGGATAACTGTGAAGTAGACGATGAAGGTGCAGAGAGTTCCCCATAGCGTACCCTTGGGGATGGCTTTACTGGGATTTCTCAAATCTCCAGACATTGAAGCACCCGCCAGAATACCACCGGTAGCCCTTTTCCACCATCAGTAATTGTCATATGAAAGGAGAGAAGAAAATACTCACGGAAAGAGGATCCCGAAGAGATCTCGGAACGTTGCGAGACCTTGGTAATGTGGACTGCTTGTATGAGGTAGGAAATTGCTCGTCAAGGTTTCTACATTAATGCCAGTGAAATGAACACCGAGGTTATCGTCTCGGAAAGGCTTTTTGAAGATGGCCGACACAGGAATGCTAACCACTGAAAGGGTAAGGATCAAGACGAGGCCGTTGGAAGCTTTGGAAAAGGCATTCGCGCCAGACGCGCACAAGACCGTACAAAACACCAGGGTAGCTGTCTGTAAGCCATATCCAGCCCAATACCCCGGAGGGAAATTGGGGCTAAGATTAAGCCTTATGCAGTCAATGAAACCCACGATGTTCAAAGCTGCATTGAGAACCTGAGCAAGGAAGAAAAGCAATCCGATGGAACCACCAAACTCGGGGCCAAGAGAGCGAGAAATGAGATAGTATGGGCCTCCTCCCTTGACCTCTCCGTTGGATGCGATGGCTGATAAGGAAAATAAGGTCAGAAAGTTGACTAGATAGGCAATAAACAACAAGCCTACACCATATATGATGTTAGTTGATAAGCGTACTCAAGCAAATGAACCCAGTCTTGCTGGATGGGGTACGGTACCTAGGATTCCTACAAAGCCGACCTGACCAAGGATGACGCCGAATCTCAAATACATGAGGATGCTGAGGATATTGAGGCAGACTGGGATGAAGACGCCGCTGACAGTTCCAAGTTGGTGGTGGCTGTGCTTCCTCCTCCCCGGAGCCCCTGGCTCTCTCACTCCATCTGGAGATGCCATCCTGACGGCCCTCCAGAAGATAAGTAGCGGGGATCGATGATAGCGATGGTGAAATCAGATGCTGCTGGTTGGGTCTGGGGCCGAAGCGCCCTCAACCCGCCGGCTTGTAGTCGTCAGGGTGAAACGGTGAGACAGGCGACGGCAGTGCTTCATGAAATGACCCCCAGGTAGACGGCAGGCAAACCCAAGAAGAAGAAACAAAACCGACAATGAAAAGACAAACAAATAACAGACGACCCGCTAATTGAATCCCGGTGCAAACGTGAACACATGAATGAAGGGAGCAAGGACGAGGTACGTCACGGGGCAGCATATCTTATCGGCTACAGCGGTTGCGAAAACGGATACCCGCTGCGAACGGCTAATTAGCAGCCAGCTCCAGCACGTAGCAACTCCCCCACTTTCCTCCTACCCTATAGCGACGTCTCGCCTGGTTACAGGTACATCCTACTTACACAGGTCGAGGAGTTCCAATGTTCTATAAGTCTAAGCATTGATACCTGGTTTCGTGACTAGAGCTTCTAGATGGTGCTTTATAAATAGCCTCTGGCTTTTGGACATAAGAAAAGTTTGGTAGGTTGGATCAAAGTGGTGCTGGCGAAGTACACTACAATTATTAGATTCACCTTGACGGTGAATTGGCCATATGACATGCATGTACTGAGACTGCTTTCCTTTGTACAGATCCTCGTGGCTCTTATCTGGAATCAAACTTACTTTCCCATAGCAATGCACAGCACTAAAACAAGACATGGAAACTTTAATACTTACCATATCAGCACCAGCCACCTCATCTATTTAGCAGGCTTGTTCAAAATCAGGCATTCTACTTGGCCCAGCCCCCTGAGAATGCCGGGGGAGATGTGGAAATACGTTAGGCAGAGACCTACCATCACCCAATATGTGAAGGTTCACTTGGATTGAAGTTAGAATGCCCTTCTCAACTTAAAAATCCCCGTTCGAGTGTGTTGCTTCTCGCATTATGAAAGTCATCTCCTCTCCCGTACGTCTCGTCCTCGTTTCGTTAGTCTCTCACTTCGTACCGTCGTTTTTAACCCATGAAATCACAGTCTCGTGCCGAGAAAGTGTTCTGCCGATTTAAGAGAGAACATCTATCGGCACGAGCATGTTTGGTTGTTTAGTTGCGATGCTGAGGTTGGCAATTTTGACAATATCCTTGATCCAACTACACTTGAAAAGGGTGCGAGATTAGTGTTGAAGGTCTGCCCATTACGCATACCTTAGCATTCACTCGTGGCCTCTAACTCTGGTTCGGCCACACTCGCCGATCCGGATTCACCATAGATTTATGTAGTTTTGGTGTGGTTTCCCAATGAGACTAATTCTGGTTAATTCTATGACATTGAGATCAAGACTTTTTGAAATTGGAAATTTTACGTAGTTCTATATCATTCAGTTTGAATATTAAAGCTCTTCCTCAGAGCCTCTCCCCACCGCCTGATGGCTTCCTCCACCTTGTCAAGCGGTGCAGCCGCAAATGTGATTCTGAAGAACACCTCGTTGGCAGTCTTGCTTGGCGCCGCGGTAAACCAGCTACCGCGGGCGACAAGGGCACCCTCTGCAAGCACATCGTGCCACACAAGCTCCTCGACCTCCGTTGCCGTCTTGCCGGCGGCTTGGGGATGCTTTTCCCAATCCAACTTGACCCACAGCTAGGCCATCACGTTAGCAAGAATACTACACACCACGAGGGGCAAACGCCGAATTTGTTAATTGGTGACTTACAAACATGCCCGCTTCGGGAACCGACCAGCTCAGGAGGCTCTTGGGAAGGTGACGCTCGCAAGCGTGGGCGGCAACGTCGCGACGTTGTGTGTACTCGCTGCGCAGATGCAGCAGCCAGTCGAAGAAACCGGCGTGGCCCCACTGCTCGTCGAGGAGTTTGAAGAGGGCAATCTGGCTGAGGCCGCTTGGACTTTGTGTCGAGACGTCGGCATGCTTCTTGTACCGTTCGATGATCTGCTCGGGGGCCGTCACCCAGCCTACACGCAATCCCGGGCTGATGACTTTGCTGAAGGAGTCCATGCGGATAACACGGCCGTCGGTGTCGAGGGCGAGGAAGGAGGGCACAATCATCTTTACCAGGTCGGCCGCGGATGGCTTGCTGGTGGGAGTGTCGTTGGGTTTGGAAGATGGGTCGAACTGATCCATTTGGAGGAAGTAGTAAGGGTCATCCTCGCAAATGAGGAGATCATGCTCCTGAGCTACGCGGTAGATCTCCTTGCGGCGCTCAGTGCTTTGCGTTGAACCCGTTGGGTTCTGTCCCGTGGGGATGGCATAGTAAAGGAAGGGCTTGGGTGATCCTCCGTGCTCAGCAGGGTCCCAGGTGTCTAGAATGTGCCGCAAGCTATCTGGGCGGATACCTTGGTCGTCCATTTCCACGCCGACGAACTTGACACCGAAAGGCGAAGCTGTCTCTGTTGCCGAGGAGAAGGTGTAGGCATCGGAGAGAACAACATCGCCAGCCTTTGTGAACATACGGAGAACCATGTCCCAAGCAGAGGTGTTGCCAATGGACATGGTACACTGCCAATCGGCATAGCGAGGGTTGTGGACAATCTCGACGTGCTCAGTGATCCAGCGCAGGAGCTGGGCTGAGCCACTCCCTTGGCCATAGTTGAGAGCAACGGAGAGATCAAAAACACTCTGGCCATCTCGGAGATCGTGCTTGCCGGCGTACGATTCCAGCTTCTTTTCGGTCACTTGACCATTTGCTACCTGAGGGTTCACAAATCCCACCTTGTCAAAGGGGAAGTATTCGCTCAGAGGAAGTCCTCCACCAAGGGAGATGATGTTTGGGTTTTGTAGGTGCTTGAAGGCACCCTTGAGGGATGAGCCAGTCCGGCTGGCGGATTCATGACTTAGGCGATCTGGATAGGGTTAGTTATACGAAGGGATAATGGAGGAAAGAGGGAATGCTTGCTTACCAGTCCAATCTCTTGCAAGAGGTTTGGATTTGTTGCTTCGGGTCTTGAAGGTCTCGCTGCTACACGGAGCTGCCACACCCCATTGTGTAGGCTTCACCTCTTGACGCAGAGGTCGGAGATCAGCTAATTCAACCTTTTCGGCGGGCATATTTTCCGATATTGTTATAGAAATAGCATTCAATTCAAGCAAGAAATGATAGAACGACGAATTGATCAGAAGGGGAGAACTTTGGGTCTGGGCCTACATGTATAGGCAAAGGAAGTACTCCTGGACAGGATGGGGCACCACACCCTCCTGCATAATGCAAGCCGCCATTGGACGTGCTTATCCAGATCGTGTCCCGATCTAGCGAGGGGGGGCCGAGAAAACTCTGTACTTTACTGGCCAATTGTCGGAATTGGTGCAGGTGACAATCGTGAAGAAGAGTTCCTGGACATCGTCTACGGCGAAATCGGGCACAAGGTCGCTTAGCTTCGGCGTAATGTGGAGCTTTGGTCAATGACGCCCTGCTAAACTTTGGATCTTTCTTATCTGTCTTTCCTCTTGTCTCCTCCGAGTAGGCCGCGTGACCCATTTGGGGTTTTCTTTTACCTTTTCGATGCTCCGTCTTACTTGGGAACCTTGTCTGGTAGTGGGGGTCACGCGAGATGCAGCGTCTGCGAGGCCATGCGATGGAGGTGTGGTTGTCCCATCTCGAGTCCGCCTCCCTTTAAGAACTTTATGAATACCCACCACCAAGAACCACCTGCCTAACCTACACCGACACAATATTGCATTCCTTCTCCGGCTTGAACCATAAACTCATCGCAAGCCACCGTCCATTGTCTGGTCAATGGCCGTCAGTTCGTCCCATGGCAATGCAATCGCTAACGGAACGCCATCTCCGCTGCCCGTCCCGCGCAATCTCCAGCTTGTAACAACCCGGAGTTCCATCTCATCCGCGTTCCGTGCCCGCCGCACACATGTCCTCGATGAAGACCAGATTGGCGGCGTGTGAACCTTGCCGGCGGGCAAAGCTCGCGTGCGGCCATGAACGGCCCACATGTGCCCGTTGCATCAGTCGCCGACAGGGGGATTCGTGCTTCTACAGGGCGCGCCCTTTCCGCAGGCGAAACTCGGCTCAACAAGCCCCGGAGTAAGTTTCCGCTGTCGAGATCGGACTCGGCGAGTCGGCCTTCCCACCAAGAGTGAACGCATAATGCCGTCGTTTGCCGTAACGCGGAATCACATCCATTATCATCAGCATTGCACCGCATTGCAACAAGGGGACTAAGATGAGCTAACCTGCGATCCTTTGCATGATGACCACAGGTGTGCCACCACTACGAAGCCTGCCAACCCCCCTTCAAGGGAGGAGTCGACATCGTCACCGCACCAGAAGGAGAATCAGAGGGAGCGGGAGCGGGATCTGTTGCTGCATCTACCTGAAAGCGAGCTGTCTACCCCCGTGGCTTCTGCCACCCATCGATACCCGAACCCGGGATATCTAGGTACCTCCAGCCATTCCACGTTTTTCAATCAAGTGACTTCCCGCTCTGCACCTGAATCGCCGGCTAAGAATGGGGAGCTGCCTTTCCAAGCCGGGGTGGGTGCACCCGAGGATCTGCTTCAGGATCATGCACTGGCGGGCCGGGCTATCTACACGCTGAGACGCCTGGACCAGCTAGACATCCCCAATCTGCATCTCCTTGTGCGTACCTGGCTTGGAAGAGGAGTCAACCTTCCATTGGCGGAACCGTTTGTTGCGAGCTGTTCTGAGGCCATCGTGGCCCTCGGTGCCATGTTCAAAGAACGAGCCGTCACTGGTACCGATAGTGACAACATGGAGGTCTCAAGGTGGGCTAGATTCATCCTAGAAAACACTCTTAAACCCATGAAGCTGCGAAGGAATTCGACTTTGGCCGATTTCATCGGTCTGATGGTTGGTGATAACTTGCGCTGGGAGACTCTTGGCATCTTCTTCACTGCTGCTAGTAGAGCCTGCCTTGATACGCCTGCCTTCAATGCCCTGTATGCCAATGAAGAGGAGCGGCGGGTGCTGGTGAAAACGTTAACTTATATGAGTGACTGCTGCCTGGAAACATGCCTTGCGCTAGACTACCTGAACGGCTTGCAGCTTGTTCTCCAATATGAAAACTTCGTTGTCCATTCCCAGGTTGACGGCGACCAGAGTAAGTCGACAAGGAGGTGCTTATAGCCAATTCTGAAAACTAAAATAACATGTCTTCTAGGCTACCATTCATGGCGGAGAATGGGTGATCTTGCTAGCTCTTTGTTCGCGTTGGGGTATCATGAGAAAATTGACGAACTATCATCAGATATTCCTGCATTTGCGTCTGAGCTGAGGAAAGCCTGTTTTGCTCGAGTCTATGCCGGTGACAAGAGCCTCGCAATATTCCTCGGCCGACCCCCGCGAATCGGTAAAGAATACTGTTTCTTTCAGATCCCTGCTAACGTGCCGGAGGTGTGGTCTCCCACCCATATGGAGACTGCTGGCAACGAGGCTTCTCCCTATCAGTCAGGGACCGATCCCATCACAAAGCAAGTGCCTAAAGGGCTCGAGCCTATCAATTATATGGCAGATACATGTTGTGCAGCGCTGTTTGCCTTTATCAAGGAGGATATCCTCCGGCTTTTGCGCGGCACCAATTCGGTGCGAGATGAGGAGATTACCAAGTAAGACCAACGAACCCTCCATAACGCCGCAGGAGATTCTCTGACCAGGCATATAGCGAGATACGATTGAGGATTGAAAAGCAATGGCTCGAATTGCCAGACCATTATCGCCTGACAACTAGTCTAAAGGACTGCCGCCGTGCTGCCTTTGAGCGAGATTTCCTCGTTGGAACACGCCTCGACTATCTGCATACCCACTTTCTTCTTAGCTTATCCTCGCAGGCCAAGATATCTGAACCTAGCGAGGCAATGCTCGAGGTCGCAGGCGAGATATTGTCACTCATTGTAGAAACAATAATACTTCGTGACTGCCTTGTGAATGCAGGGACAAGTCTTATATGGAAGGTAGGATTCGTTTCCTTTGTTTTTACCTCCCTTTTTAAAGGGGGCGTGAAAGAACTAGGCATCTGACAGGGAGACAGGTCTCGCAGTACGGTCTTCCTGCTGCTGGAATAATCTCTCTCGCCTTATTGAACACATCTATCCCACCATCGGCCGTAGCGCCTTCTAGGTCGAAGCTGGTGCAAGACTTGAGTGTTCTGGCAGCAGAGATCACGGTGGGGGCATGGATCCAACCGGGAGATCCGAACTTTGCTCTCTTCACACGGGCCACCAAGACAATCCAGAGTCTCTTGGACTCATTGATATCCTGGCAGACTAATCCAGCCCCTGCGCAGTCTGAGCAGCCAATGAATGTGAATTTCATGGGTGACTTGGATCCGAGCTTCAACTTCCAGTCATGGGAGTTTGAGATGAATTTCTGGACAGACCTCGCGGAGCACCCGACGCTACTGAATTGAGCCGTGCAGCTGTAGCTAATACTTCAAGTCTTTTGGTTATCCCGGGCTCTTCGTGTTGCCCGTGGTCTTCGCGGGGCGGGTCGATTGATACCGACTCAGCCACCGACATCTCCCGATGATGCCTTGTCTTGGCTTTTACCAACATCAATCAATGATCGCTTGTAATTCTTGATAAGAACCACATAAAGCCAAGGTCCTTGGTTAGAATCGGACTCTAGGAGTAACGCAGCAGGGGCAAAGTGCAGCGGGATATCCGCAGACATGGTGAAGGAATCACCTCATGTCGGATCGGCGTAGTGTGGAGACTATAGTATCGACAGACTAACAGATATCGACAACAAGAAACAACTAAACAGAAGGAGAACAGATGGTGAGAGGGATAATACTATCGATGTTCAGATGTGTATATATCGAGCCTGATGTCTTCCAAATGATCCATAGGTCTACTCACATCTCATGAAAGCCAACAGCACTGACAACCCATCCCTTCACGAGCTTATACCCCTTTTGCCCTGTTTGTCCCTAAGAAAAGACCTGTCATGGAACATCAAGTGGACCTCGCCGAGTATCTCTTTACTCGCTTGGCTCAGCTCGGACTGGGCTCAGTCCATGGAGTTCCTGGAGACTACAACCTCCATGCTCTCGACTACATCCAAACTGCCGGCCTCCAATGGGTTGGCAACGCCAATGAGCTCAACGCTGGCTATGCCGCCGACGGCTATGCTAGGATTAAAGGCATTGGAGCGTTGATAACATCCTTTGGCGTTGGCGAGCTCTCCGCAATAAATGCCGTTGCTTGCGCCTATGCCGAGATGGTTCCAGTTGTCCACATTGTGGGAACACCCCCTTTGGCCGCTCAGAAAGTCAACGCCTGCCTACACCACTCACTCGGCAACGGCAACCTCAGGGTCTTTGCAGACATGTACAAGTCGGTCACTGTGGCACAGGCCAATCTGATTGATTCATCCAAGGCTGCGCGGTCCATCGACGCAACCTTGCGCGAATGCTTGTTGCAAAGCCGGCCTGTTTATATCGAGCTACCCATTGATATGGCTCAAGCGAAAGTCCCGCGCCCGTCAGCCGCTCTTGATTTAAGCATCCCAAGTCTGAACGGGATCAACGCCCCCAACGAGGACCGCATTGCGAATGTGATTTTCAACAGTATTCGGAACGCCAAGAGATTCATGGTCTTGGTCGATGGTTTCACCAACCGGTTCCAAATCTCGGAGGAAGTTAATGAGCTGGTGAAACTTACCAAGTGCCCTACACTCACAACACCCTTTGGGAAGTCTATCGTGGAGGAGGACTTGCCCAACTTCCACGGCATCTATTTTGGTTCTGCCGGGGAGCCCAAGCACCACTCGTGGGTCCAGAGCTGCGACCTGGCGATCCGGTTTGGCCCGTTGGAGGCTGAGGTCAACACATTTGGGTTTACTGCAAAGCCCCCATCCGATGCTACAATTACTTTCCACAAGTTTGCCGTCTCCTACACTGAGAATGGGGAGGAGATCTACCAACCCGTGGACATCAAGTCGGTCCTGGAGAGACTTCTGCGTAAACTGAACGAAGCTACTCTGCCTACGTTCGAATCCTTTCCTCCCAATAATGGCCACCCCAGGGCACTTTTGAAAGCGCTCCCTGCCCCAGACGAAGCTGCCGTGGTAGATCAATACACGTTCTGGCTTCACATGTCACGATTTTTCCGCCCCGGTGATATCATTCTTACGGAGACGGGAACTTCATCATCTGGCGGCCAGAGTTTCGTGCTGCCGAGTAGCACCACACTCATCAACTCATCCATCTGGCTCTCTATCGGCTACACGCTAGCCGCCAGCCAAGGTGTGAGCCTGGCACAGCGAGAGATGGCCAGAGAGGGATCACGCCCAGACGGCCGGGTCATCTTGTTCGAGGGCGACGGCAGTCTCCAGATGACCGCGCAGGCAATCAGCGACATCATCCGGAACAAGCTGGACGTCGTCATGTTCGTGCTGAATAACAACGGATACACGATCGAGCGCCTCATCCACGGGTATGGTGCTGGCTACAACGACATCCAGCCCTGGAGGCACCTGGACGCGCCGAGTTTCTTTGGCGCTCGCGAGGACGACCCGTCGTACCCCGTGAGGACCTTCCGGGCCAGCAACTGGGGTGAGATGGCGGCCGTCCTGCGGGATGAGGATGTGGCCAGTGGGAAGGGGTTGGTGATGGTGGAGGTCATGATGGATATGAGCGATGCGCCAGAGTCCTTGAAGAAGACTATTGCAGATGTGCAGAGGAGGAATGCCGGTAACAGGACCGTGAATGAGGTGGAGGCTCATTGATTTACCTACATGTTTTACAGCTCGGAGATTTTTTTAGACAGCGACGAAACCAGCCTAGAGTTTGTGAAAAGAAATAGTGACCGATAGATCTGGCATGAATTAGAAATTGTTTATCCCATTCCAGCCGACGCAAGGACATCTGCCACCTGCTGATTGATGTACGAGAATCTGGGGTGGCTGGGGGTTGGCATGATCAGCCCCCGACCCCCACACTGGCTCAACACAGCTGACTTGGATGTTCAGGTGAGAGACATGGCCTGAGGGTCAGCAACCTGGAATCTCCGATCGTTGGTAACGAGAAGTTGGACATATGAATGCCAAGTCAGGTGCGTGGTCTTGTGGCTTGCGGCATTGCTGGTGTAACGGTCGACGGCTTCGTAAGCGATAACCTCGACATTGCACATATGTTGCGAACGATGCAGGATATTTATTTATGCACATGCATGGGGATCAGTAGGTGTAATGATGGGATGGCTCCCTTGAGCGGTAAAGTTGTTTCGCTGGTGGAAGCAAGCATTATGTTGATCCAAAGAGAGCTATCCCTATGGCTCCGAGGGGTTCATTAGACATTAGCAAAAAGAGCCCCTTAGATGCTTTTGAGTTGTAGAATATCTAGGCATTTAAGCAATGACCTCACATGAGGCTTTGGCGATTACCTCATCGTGCATTTGTGCTATGTTTACATTAGTAGTTGTGAATTTAATGAGGGACTGGCATGCTGCTAATTCAATGGATGGGCTGTCGACAGGGCTCGCTTCAAAACCCCAGCAGCACGGCATGCTCCTGGTTTCTTCCCAGTTCAACAGCCGAGAGGACCGCGGTGGAACGTGCTGCTTCGATGCTGCAGAGTGTGGCTCAAGTGGATGCGTCACACTCTGGATTTCCGAGCGAATGGAGGTGTCTCGTTTATTAGAATGTCGCCTATCTGACTGGTCCGTGCTGCCTATCAGGAGGAGCGCAGCTGTTCCTGTACCATGCTAGCATCCCGTGTTTGGGAGATAAGATAGCCTCCGGCGATGCTACTGGGCTACGACAGGCTACCTGTTGTGTCAATGGATTTGGTGTCCGATTGGAAGGCCCCAAGACATCTGTGCCACTCACCGTCCTTGTAGCCAGCTCATCCACGAACGAGGAAGAAGGAAAACCAACCGACTTTGGTTTCACTGGCCCAGCAGGCTAGATATGCATGCTGCATCGCTGCACCGCTCAGCGAAGCAGCTCCGATCGATTAAGCTGCTGCGGCTACGTCAGGTCAAACGTGTTAGCGGGTCGGTAGCAGTACCTTAGGGCCCATGCAGTCTAGTGCGGCGGCAATGAGGGCGTCCCCTTGGGCCTGGCCAACTGGCAGCAGGCAGCCCTCAGCTCTCCACTGTCCAGGGCCTACCCTCCCCATCAGCTGGTACACACAGCGCCGCCACCGCTGGAGTCAGAGTCATCAGCAGGGCATGTCTCAACGAAAGAGGGTCGGCCTAAGCCTGGTCGGGAATCGCTCACAGCGAGGTGATTCCCGCCTCAAAAGTGCCTTCCCAGGCTCAACCCAGACCTTTCCATCAACAGCACAGCTCTCATCGCCTCTTCAATTGCTGCCAGCAGCCTTGCCACCTGACGCTTGGCGTCGCCGAGCCTACATATTCCCCCGCCTCATTGTAGAATCTATATCTCAACCGTACCGGCATCTGCAGTGCGGCGTGCATCTCGTTTGCCGCCTCTCGACGCCCGCTACAAGCAAGCGAGGCGTTCCCGTCACTTCACAGGCCCGTGTGCGACTCGAAGGGTAGCCGAGTGCCGAAGCTAGGAACAGACATAGAAGCTCACAATCATGTCTTCTCAACCGAAAAACACCTCTAACAGCGGTGTGGACGGCGCCGAGGAGCAAGCGCCGCGATCAATTGTTGGCTCAGTCCCGCGGTCCGACGCTACCGCTCGCCTTGCCTCGCCGATTCCATCTTACTCACAGTTTGGCACGCCGCCAGTTCAACGCGGCGGCTCCCCTCGACCAAACGCATCCATTCCGGATGAGCTCGCTCCCCTTGCTGGAGGTGGTCTTGGTCCCCAAGGACCTGGTGTCTCGGCTTTGGCCGCGGCTCTATCCGATTCTCTAGGCCAAGATCCTCCTCGTTACGGTACACCCGCCGGTCGAGTCAGCACACCACCCCCCCGAACACATTCACCCAGCGTCGCCGGGCGACTGACTCCGACCAATTATGGTTCCTTTACGTCGCGCGGACCAGCCAGCAGCACTGGACCATACGAGGATGTCGAGGTGGTAAAGAGACATTTGGTCCAGCCCAATGAAAGCGACAATGCAGGATCCGAAGAGTCGTCCCTTCTTCCCGGGGTGACGAAAGGGAAGCAGCAGGACAAGGATGGTGGTGCGGCGAACGATGCATTTTCGAGCCTGCAGCTGCAGGGAGGAGATGTGACCCGCCCAATCTACAAGTGGACCGAGCAGGCAGAAGCTCGATCGAAGATGCAGCGGAGTAAGAGTTTCAACGAGCCGAGACCGGAGCCCGAGGACGACACGCTTGACATTAACACTATCAAGGTCCCTGGTGGCTTCCGGAGAAACCACCTACGGCGGATTGCTGGTAGTCCTAGCGGTGGTCCTCGTCAGGACATGAACAATGGCGATGAGTCTCAACCTCAGCTTTTCACGTCGAGTTTCCTCGAGTTCCTGTCCATTTATGGACACTTTGCCGGTGAAGAGCTTGAGGAGGACGACGAGGTCCTCGGCCCCAACGAGTACTTTTCGTCGGGCGAGGACAGTGATTATTTCAGCGACGAGGATCACCAGCCGATGGAAGACAGTGCCCTGCTACCGCCCTCGAGGAGAAGACGCCGCAGAAAGACGCGCCCAATTGTTGGAAATAACAGCCCAACGAATGCCTTGATGCTGCTGCTGAAATCTTTCGTGGGAACCGGCGTGCTTTTCCTCCCCCGAGCCTATCTCAACGGAGGAATGATCTTTAGTAATGTTGTTCTGTTGTTCGTTGCGATCCTCAGTTATTACTGCTTCGTTCTTTTGGTTAATACCCGATTGCGAGTGGAGGGATCGTTCGGTGATATGGGAGGTATCCTCTACGGAAAGTGGCTTCGATCTCTCATCTTGGGATCAATTGTTCTCAGCCAGATTGGCTTCGTCGCTGCCTATACCGTGTTCACCGCCCAGAACTTGCGCTCTTTCATCCTGGCTGTCTCCGACTGCAGGACGAACATCAGCACTCCCTGGCTCATCCTCATGCAGATGGTCATTTTCCTTCCATTCTCTCTCCTGAGGGATATTGGAAAACTTGGATTTACCGCCTTGATCGCCGATGCCTTCATTCTGATTGGTCTCGGATATCTCTTCTACTACGACATCTTGACTCTCAGCACAGAGGGTCTTGCCGACATTATCATGTTCAACAAGGACAACTGGACTCTGTTTATCGGCACTGCCATATTCACCTTTGAGGGAATTGGTCTGATTATCCCCATTCAGGAGTCCATGAGGCATCCAGAGAAGTTCCCCAAGGTCCTGTTCATTGTCATGGTCATCATCACTGTCTTGTTTACCGTTATGGGAGCTGTGTCATACGCCGCTTACGGATCCAAGACAGAGACTGTCGTTTTGCTTAATCTTCCCCAGGACAACAAGATGGTCAACGGAGTCCAGTTCCTTTACTCCCTTGCCATTCTTCTTTCGACCCCCCTCCAGATCTTCCCAGCTATTCGTATTGTTGAGACGGAGCTCTTCACCAGGAGCGGCAAGTACAACCCATACATCAAGTGGCAGAAGAACAGCTTCCGCTTCTTCGTTGTTGGACTCTGCTCGGCGATTGCATGGGGCGGTGCGGACCACCTCGACAAGTTTGTCGCCCTCGTGGGCAACTTTGCTTGTATCCCACTTGTCTACATCTATCCGGTATGTTCTGTTCACTCTCTATTGATGTAACTTGTTGACTAACCATATGACCATAGCCTATGTTGCATTACCGAGGTGTCGCCCGCACGCGATTCTGGAAGTATTCCGACATCGTTCTTTGCATCTTTGGATTTGTCGCCATGGCTTATACAACCGCACTAACCGTCATGAGCTGGGCAACTGATGAGCCTAAGGAACCTGGCTACTGTGATAGGAGGGGGCCAGTATTCTAAGAGGGACGGAGTATGAATACAAATTGACTTCGGATTAGAGCGCTAGGGAGTTTTTTCTTCTCGTCTGTTGACTAAAGATTGGTACATTTTCTAGTTGGGTATTGGATATGCATAACACAACACTGAGTAGGTAGGGTGTTGCTACAGCTTGGATTGTTGGATTCTCTTGTGTTCATCGGTGTCCAGGAAGCGTCACTATAGATAAGATTTTGAGTTTACACCAGCATACAAATTTTAGAATGAACTCGACTTGGTTTCTGTCAGTGAGTGCATGCCAAGCGATGAAAAAGTGTTGGACGTTCGGCGGTTATATTTAGGACCTGGTTTGTGGGGTACGTCCATCGCTGCAGCTGCATCTCCGATGTGGGGAAGCATCGAGGGACAAGTTCGATTGATGGAGCTGGCGGGCTATTTTCCTAAGCTTATGACGCATCTCGGCTTCCGACAGCTTCTCGGGTTCGGCCTATTATAGTTGACCTGCTGCTCGCTGCCTCGCAGCTTCTCACACCCACACTCTTTTGGTTCTTCCCACTCCGGCTTTCCAGGACCTGGGAGCGAACAATCGGTCGTCTCTGGTTCTTGGAAGAAAAGAATGCGGGCTCGAAGCCAATGGCTCCTCCGGCCGACCATTGCGTCCATCCCAGCGGCTCGACGATGCTTCGCCGCTGAAGCTGCTGCGGCCGGGTCGTCGGCGCCGCGCAGCTCGGGAGGGCAGAGCGAGAGGACCTCCTCCCGAGTGAAGCCGAAGCCGCCGCCGTTCCCTACGATCCCGACGTGCCCCTCGCCGACCTGCTCGTGCGCGCCCATGCCGGGGGACCTGGACATTGACCACAAGAGCCCGCTCAACGGGGTCATGGCCGGGTATGCGGAGCACGTGCTGGTGTGCACCGGGCAGGACGACTGGGTGTCGCGGATCGAGGAGGAGAACAGCGGGGATAACCTTGCGGCGGACTTGAAGGAGCTATTTGGGCGTGGCGGCAAGTACAGAGACGTGAGTAGCTTGGCAAAACCTCAATTTTGAGGACTGAGCAGAAGCTGACAATGCTGAACATATAGCCGTTCCACAACGTCTCCGTGCTGAACTCGTCGATGCCCAGCTCGATCCCGCCGCGCCGCGAAGTGCAGACCACATCGGCGTACATTCTCCCGTCGTTCAAGTACGTGCCCTTCCTCCCGCGCGTGTCCTTCGAGGCCGTCCAGGCGCTGGCCAAGGGATACCTGCTACCGACTACGCTTCACGCGGCGCACGGGGGACTGTCCCCGATACATCGCGATTTGATGACGCGGGACGAGACGTACAGGAACCTGCTGCCCGGTGTGCAGGACGTGGACGAGGTGCTGGTGCTGATCTGCGGGCACGGCGGGCGGGATGCGAGGTGCGGCGTGATGGGCCCGCTGCTGCGGAGTGAGTTTGAGGAGAAGCTGGGGAGGACGGACGGGTTCGAGGTGCGGACGGGGCCTGTGGTGGTTCGCGATGCGGTGGAGGAGGCGAGCCAGATTGAGGGCATCGTGGGGGAGGAGGAGAAGGTGACGGGGGTGAGGGTCGGGCTGGTGAGCCACATCGGCGGGCACAAGTTTGCAGGCAACGTGATTATCTACCTGCCTCCCAAGCTGCAAAGGGGTGGGAAGCCGCATCCATTGGCAGGGAAGGGGATCTGGTACGGGAGGGTTGAGCCGAAGCATGTGGAGGGATTGGTGAACGAGACGGTGGTCAAGGGGAATGTTGTGGAGGATATGTTTAGGGGGGGTATAGATTCGGACAGGAAGATCTTACGGTTATGAGACTTACGACAAGATTACATTTGTATTATTATAGAGCTGGAAACATATTTGGGTTATTAAGTTATCACCGGGCCTACGGAGTAGAATCTACATGAATTCACCCTGTTGCTACGAGGCATCTGACAACATGATTACTGCTCAACTTCTGAAGTACCTTATTTATAAAGGAACTAAACATGTCTCTTCCTATATGATCTAGAAGGAAAATGTGAATTATGTGCAAAGAATATCATTTTACAATGCGATGTTCTCTAATCGTAGATTCATCTCAGATGCCTTGAAAATAATGTGGGGTCGGGATGGATCGTCACTAATTTTCAGGCCAGTGAAAACCGTTGGTCAAACAAGCATCGAAGTCCCGTTATTATAATTATTACACTTATTTTCATCATGGCTGGGTAGTCCCGCCCGTCGTTGGCTTATTCGGGAACCCGTGAGTCGTCAACGTCACAACCGCCCGATCTCTTATTCGCGCCCTCCGAGCGAGTTGCCTTGTTGGCGTCTGTCCGGCTCAGCTTCCGGATCAGCGGACAGTCACACCCACTACATGCATCCAGCATTTTCACAGTGTTTCTGATCACCTCAACTGCATTTTACTTCGACTGGCCCAAACTTTCGCCTGGGCTGCATTTCTGTCCCAATGGCTCAAACATTTACATGGACGAGGGTCCGGCATGGGGTTGCCACAGGAGCCTTCGAAGCTCGTCTGGCTGAGATAAGATGCTCCAGGGCTGCTCCTTGGCCAACAACCAGAGCACCCTCGCTTGTACTCTCCCAAGGCCTCTATTCCGGTAGAGGATCCTCCAGAGCCTACTCAACTGCTTCATCCCCTATACCACCAAGAAGGTCCAAGAGATCCGGCCGGTTCCTCGCCATTGGCCTAGTGTTCGGTGGCGTCCTGTATTACTACACCACTTCTCCCGCGTCCTCCAAGCAGGTGACCCTCAACAGCAAGACCTTCGTCCCCTACCAAATCACCTCACGCGAAGCCCTCTCTCCTTCGTCCTTCGTGATATCCATCACCCCGCGGAACCCAGACCCCAACCCGCCATACCTCCTCCCCTCCTCCAGCGGCTGGCGCCACCCCCTCTGGTCAGTCGAGTTCAAGCAGCCAGAGGTCCAAATCTCCCGCCACTACACCCCGCTGCCCCCGTCCCTGTCCCAGAACTCGGAGGAGGACAGGACCGGCGTCCTGAGGTTCTACATCCGCGCCGTCGGCGACGGCGAGATGTCCAACTACCTCTGCCGCCTCCGCGTCGGCCAGGACGTCTGGCTCCGCGGGCCCCACGTCGGCTTCGACCTGGTCAACCGCCTCGGCGCCAGCAAGGGCATCGTCTTCCTCGCCGGCGGGACGGGCATCGTGCCGGGTATGCAGGCCGCGCAGGTCGCGCTCGACGGGTACCAGGACACGAGCGTGAGCCTCCTCTGGGCGGTGCGGAGCCGCCGCGAGGTCCAGGGCTCCACCCCTTCATCATCATCAACCGGGCCGTGCTGGTGGGAGTTCTGGAAGAAGGGGGGCGAGCCGACCGAGCTCGGCGTCGACATCCGGGATCCCGGCCCCGTGGCTCGTCAGCTCGCGGAGATGAAGGCCAAGTACGGGTCCAGGATCGACGTGCAGGTCGTGGTGGACGAGGAAGGCTCGTCCTTCAGCCTGGAGAACATCCGCAAGGCGCTCGCCCGAACGACCGAGGACCACCAGCCCTCGGCGTCCGTGACGGGGGCCAGGTGCTTCCTGCACAACCAGAAACTGCACGAGGAGGCGTCCGAGTTCGAGTCCGACAGCCCGCCGTGCAGCTGCGCGCCCACCGAGGGCGCCCTTCCCGGCAAGAACCTCTTCATCGTCTCCGGGCCGGACGGGTTCGTCTCGCACTACGCCGGCCCCAAGGTGTGGCAGGGCGGCAAGCACACGCAAGGTCCCCTGGGAGGGGTCGCGGGCCAGATCCAGAGTCTTGAGCCACGGCTGGCATCTGAGTGGCTCGTGTTGAAGTTGTAATTTTGTACGTTTCACGATACATTGGATTTCGAGGCCAACCTCAAAACATATGGATAAGCATGTAAAGATGACCAGACAGATCATGTACACTTAGTGTTTCTCTTCATAATGACCAAAAATAAACTAGTTTCGCACGCTATGCGGTAATGATAATAAGGAAATTCTAAATACAGTACACTCAGGTGCTTTGCACCTTTCTATAAGACGGCGGCTTCATTGTTCTCCTAATAACCTTAGCCGCCCAAGGTGGTATAAGTGATACCGCCCCAATAGCCAATACGCGCCAAATAAACCCCCTATTCAAAAGAGTCAGTTCGAGTTCAAAGATAGATTACGGGAGAAGGTTTCCCTTACCAAGTGATCAAGAAATGCAAGGGGTAGTAGGCCCCAAGGAAGGGCATCGACCCAACATAAATTAAAAACGTGCCGACAATACTTAGGATCATGATATAATGCCATGTGGTGATCTCGATAGCGACCATGATGAGTTCGTTGAGAATCAGTACGGTATAACTGACAGCGACCATCTTGTCCTGATCGGCATTCAAGACTTGAGCAAGGCCCTGGATTACGCTTCCCTGATAGATGGAAACCAGAACCCAGACGAAAAAGGTGCGGTAGGAAAGTGATCGGCCCGACGTGAGCTCCTTGTACAATTCGGGATAGAGATTAGCCAGATTTTCGTCCACGTCTTTATCAAGCACGAGACTAAGGACCGGAGCAGCAGTGTACACAGTCGCATATCCGACAAGAAGCCAGTCCTATAATGCAGTTAGCCATCTTTTTCTTTTTCTTTTGGCATTACAGGTAGTATCAATCGTGATAAAATACAAAGCACAGGGAAAAACTGACCTTGTATAGTCCTTGAGGCTCAAATTTGCGAGCAATGCTGAAGACAGTTTGACAAACAGCAATGATGAGACCACGGTGAATGACGAATTGTGCGAGCTTTGCACTGCGTTTGTAGCTATTGCGTCCATGCCAAACAAGAAGCTTCACAAGGTGGTAGAATTGATCAATCGAGAAGTCGGCAGCCAGACTCGCCTGCCGGCCCTCCTTGCCAACGATGCCCACACCTACATCAGCCGCTTGGATCATAGACACGTCGTTTCCACCATCACCAATACAGCAGACTCGCTTTTTCGTGTATTCTCGAATGAGCTTTGCGACGTCGGCTTTTTGCGTCGGCGAGCAGCGGCAAGCAACAACAGTTGGTAGAAGAACAGCAACCGAGATGAACTCTGTGGGGAAGTAAGTGAGATAATGCGTCAAGCTTTCGCCATCGATGAGGAGGCATGCATCGAGTTTGCTGTGTAGGAAATCGAGGTTGTCCTGAGCAACATCGTTCTTCTTGAGCTTGGTCACAGTGTGGATATACTGACCCCTTGCCACAAGTTTTGAAGACACAGCAACGCATCTTGCTGTCTCGACCTTGTCACCAGTCAACATCCAGATTTTGATACCGGCATTGCGCAATAGTTCCAGAGAAGGCTTGACATCTTTCTGGAGTTTATCTTCGACACCAGTGACTCCAAGGAGTTCCAGATCACGCTCAAGATGGTGAGTGACAACCCGCTGCATGCCGGCATCGCGCCCTGAAATAGACAAAGATGCCTCTTGGTACTGCCTCGAGAACTCCTGGTATTGCTGATATGAGAGCTTCTTTCTACCCACCACCAGGGTGCGAAGGCCCTCCCGAGCCATGTTTGCAGTCTCCTCGTCCAGCCAATCGTTGGCAGCAACAATCGCACCCATGACGGTATCTGCTCCCTTTTGATAGAACCAAATCTCCCCTGCTGACAGGTCAGGATTCTTAACCCGGCTGTCCGTGAGAAATTGAACAATGATACCCATTCGCTTGCCCTCGGATGTGAATGGAAAGACGTCCAAAATTCGGACCCTGACCACAATCTTCGCATCATCCGCTGTCTCCAGTGTCATACTTTTACGGTCACGCGCAGTAAGTCTCAGGCCAACAGACTCTGTCCACTTGACAATAGCAATCTCATCTGGTGAGGAAGCTTGGTACGAAGTCACCTCCCTTCCATCTTCAATATCAGTAGTAGGCGTGACGTTATGGCATAGGGCCAGGGCGAGAACGACGTCACGAACGCGAGATCCAATCTCTCTTCTGGTGCGGGTGGCCCCTGCATTCGCAGCAGCCAAGGCCATGCTCGAGGGAGTGACGAGAGCAGTTGACGATGTGGCAGACGATCCAGAGCCAGTTGGCCGAGAATGGAATCCTTGCTGAACATAGGCCAAAACCTCGTCCATGGCCTCGTTCGCATAGGATACAGTTCCAATATGAATCTTTTTCATCTCCATCTCATTCTGAGTAAGTGTTCCGGTCTTGTCACTCAGAAGATACTCAATACGTCCAAGGTCTTCAGGGATGGTGCTCGTACGAACAACAGCGCCGGGCATTCCAGGATCACGCTGAATGAACCACGAGAATGCACTTTTTCCAAGGTCCAGATTGACTCGCAGGCTGATTGGGACAATAGTTGAGAATAATACAAGGAATCGCATCATTTTGATATACCACTCTTTTCCCTGTGTATATTCGAAACCATGAATGGCGACTAGGATAATAGAGAGAAGGAGGGTCAAGGCGCAAAGGATTTTTGTTAGGGAATTGATTTCGTATTCCAGTAAGCCTGTCTTGGAACGCGACGGGGCTGTCGACATTGCGGATCGAGTCTGAGTACCAGTATACAATATCACGGCCAGGGTCGTGGCCTGTGATGCAATCACGGTGTTGGCCCAAGCCGTGTTGTCAATGGAGAGCGCAGCTGACTGGCCGCCACCCTCGCCATCGTAATTCGATAACGTCTGCTGGCTCAGGGCCTCTGCCCTAGATGATACAAGTTCGACAGTCCCATAAAATTCGTTTACTTTCCTATCCGGCTTACCAGCAGTTACCCGCAGGCGAACAAATTCCTCGGGCTCAAGGTTTTGTGTCAAAGGCGAAGCAAGTCGCAGCTTCCAGTCCGTCTCACCATCCAATTGATCGGTTCGAATGAAGGTTTCCCCGGCAGTTCCTCCTTCTTCTTCGTCTTCGGCCTTGGCAGTGTCTGGTTTCTTCCCGTTGGCCTTTGGCGAGCTATCCGCGTCATCAAGGGGAAGCAATTCTTCATCCTCCGTCTCCGTGGAACTGGTGTGAGCCCCCTCGGCAGAGCAACATTTGAGAATCACAACGTCCGCGGGTACTCGCTGCCCTTTTGTGAGCTTGAGGACGTCTCCCACTTTGAGATCTTTCGATTTGCGCTGAACCTCCTGTACCTTTGACGATGGAACGAACATCCCAGCCCCATTGTCCTCTTCTTCCCGAATGGCGGCCAAATCCTGGCGGCTTGTTCTAGGTCTTTTTTGGCTTGTCCTCGTACTGTTTGATCTCATCGTGCGTTGCTGTCGCGAAGCGTGTGCGGCAGTGTGTGGCTCGTCAAATTTAAGGATGGTATATGATTCCGAATTGGCCTCGGTGTCTCGTTTCCGTCGTTCAATGTCATCGTATGCTTCCTTTCCCATGGTTATCGCCAGGACAAATGCCAACGGGGCAATGTAAGTCGTCAAGTAGCCAATGCGCAATGCAGGTATTATTTGCGAAAGGGCAACCAAAAGGAAGTACATGTTGAAGAAAAAGGAGAATTCGTTGTAAAGTGTGATGGGAAGAAAAGTGAATGCTGTATACTTTGCGTTCGAGATAACGTTGTGAGGAAATTTCGTCCCTTGGCGAGAGCCGACCGCGATCAGCCGTGAATCGGACGAATCATCCTCTTCTGCGATGTGGTCATCCTCCTGGTCGCGGGGCGCATCAGCCTGGGGTGCTCTACTCCTCGACAGGAAGCTTGGGAGTCTCAATGACGGCCTCCTCGTCGGGCGCAAAGGGGTAGTTTCGCCCCCTAGTAGAGGACTCCGGTCTCCTTCCCGCTCATCTCTTTCTTCCTCGGCCAGCAAGCCCTCGGTGTCGGCGTCCCATTCCTCCCTATCCTGGCCCAGCTCGCCATACCCGCGACCTCTGTTATTGACACGGCGGACTCCACCCATGCGCAAGTTCCGTAACGCTATTCTTGACGTCCTGCGCTCTGCGATGTTTCGCCCTCCTGGAGAACCTTGGGTTGGTTCTGTTGAAATTGGGTCAAGCTCGTTGACGTCTAGGTCGAGATCCGAATCGGAATCGTGCGCTGGAGAATCGGGCGGATCATTCGGTCGAAGCGGTGTTGAGGAAGACATGCCGCATCAGAACTTGAAGAAATCGCGTCGATGGTCAAAGGCGAGAGGGGTTCAGGGGGCTATCAACATGATGTGCCAAGTTGTCTGATGATGCGTGCGATGCGAGACCAATGTAGCTTGTTTCAGCGGCGGGACAGCGCTTGCGAGAGCTCGTCGATATCGGCGCCCAGGACTAAATGTAGCAGCAGTACAAGTCTTGGTCAGCTCCTAGGATAGGACAGTTGCGCGAGTGTGGTCGATTATTTATGCCTGCGAGTTCATAAGTAGAAGCCACGTTAGGATGGTAGGTCCTGCTATTCGTTGGATTTTAGTTAGATAGCAAGATGGCTGTAAGTCTTGCTTGCTTGAGGATACGCTGGCCCATATTAACGGCTCGTGCTACCGGGTAGGCCAGGTACCGCAGCTGCTATCTTGGCTGCCTGGTGCAGTGACGTTGGCCACGCAGACCTACCACAGGCCACACACACGGAGTCCAGGGTGCCGCGGATGACCTGTACGGCTGCGTCATGTCCCTGCATGATAATCACTAGTCCAATAGACGATGGCGGTTATCAATACCTGTTCGCCTGAGATTTGTAGATTTATTTTCTTTGAGGCTCACCATACCTAAGCATCTTGGATTTCTCCTTCGTGGTTATAGCGTTCGCCTCGTATTTATTTTCTACCTATTTGGCAGAATAGTAAACCTAATTATGGCGAAATATGCCAGGGTCAATTGCCTGTGCTTCAATCATTAGCCATTCCACTGCCGAGAGTTTTAGTGGCATGCTAATAAAAAGCAGCTGCCTGTAGATCGGCTCTTGTGACTCCTGGTCGAAATAGGTAGTGCAGCCGGCTGGGTCCGTAGGTACTCTGGTCCATTATGTTAGTGGCCCGTCTACCAGAACTAGACTCGTTCATGTCAACCATCAAGTTGAACATTATCCAGCGTAATTAACTCGGGACAGGCCATGCTGGAAGGCCATGCAGAAGGTGAGACAGGGCAAATGCATAATCCCTACAAGACAAACGACGTAATTAATTAATTATGGGCGTACAATCTCAACTATCCGCATCAAGAATGCTAGGCGGATAAATTCCGGGCTAACCACAGTGGGTAGGGGCGAGCTGCCTAGATCCCGATAAGCCAGATCTATCTTGCAACACCAGACTGTCTCCTAAATTTCGGGACAGGCCAACTGTCACTTTTCATCGCCGGCCCATTCACGTAATTGATATTATCCCTTTGTTCCTGTCTCTGTCGCGCTGGATATGGTGACCGGCATCATCATATAACGGGGCGCAGCGTTTATATGGTAATCGTCTGAGTGAGTACCGACCTCTGCATGCGCTGCTTCATTTGCGACCACTCCCCCTTTCGCTCCGGCCTGAGCTAATGCGTGTTCGTCGCGTTCCAGCAGCTCCAGCGGCTTTGTTTTTGCTGTCTCCTTCGTTTATTATTATTATTATTTAGTCTGGGGTTTCGATTAATTCACATTCAGTATGGCTGCCGATCAGCCAAGTTCTGCATGGCACCCTGCACTCATGCCCAACCACGATGCTCCTGCGTCAACAGCCAACGACTCGTCGCAAGCCAAAGAATCACCACCCGGGTCCCCGGACTCGCTCCACAATGGCACGCCATTAGAGCCTGAACCTGGCCACTTTGATCTCGACGCTACTCTGGTTTCCGAGAATGACCAATCATTCACGGGAGAAGCAGACAACGAGCACGAGCACGAACACGTCCAAGGTGGTGCCTGGCTGCCCTCCGAACAGACCGCAACGTCCTCACAACCCAACGATACCCCATCTGCAACAACTAATGAAAAGACTTCTTCCGCTACCAATGCGCAACACTCGAGTTCAATGTCTTTCGCTCGTACAGTTTCACATGAACTCAATTTTCACGATGATGAAGATTCAGACTGGAACCTATCGCGATCCAACACCGACCCATTTAAGTTCATGGGTCCTTCAGATCGATCAAATTCGTTCCCGGAAGTTCCGCCGATAACCCCTTCTCATGGAGGCAACTCCTCAGCATTGAACCAGACGGTTGATCTTTTAGAAGACCCCGAGAATCTTTCAGATTCGGAAAACCCTCATCAACCGCAAGAAACGTCATCCGATGCTCCTGCAAAAGAGTCAGGCCTCCCTCGCACCCGGCATCGTCCGTCGCACTCGATCGGTGGCAACGTGCAAGGCTTCCAGGGCGAAGTGGCCGACGCACGGTATGAGGAAGGTTTGCCATTGCTTTCAGCTGAGCAAGGATCGGATGCCCCAGCAAGCCCCAGCAAGCCTGCTGTGGCAGATGAAGCATCTAATTTCTTTGGTGACAATGATGGAAACGACGATGATTTCTTTGCCTCGACAGCTTCCGAAGCTCAGACTCAAGCGGTAGATACTGAGCAAACCATTCGCCCACTGGAACGCAAGTCAACAAGCCAGGTTTTACAAGGGTTTGAGTCGGAGCCCCTTTCTCCCCGTAAGACCATGGATACCACTCTGGAGGAAGAAGAATCCGGAGACAAGCCGGCCAATTCTGGGGAAATGGACGCAAAATGGCAAGAAGCGTTTGGCGATGACGATGAAGATGGTGGCTTTCTACTCGATAATTCTGGGAATGGGACCGAAGAGGTTGACCCCGCAGCCTTTTTGGGCAGCGATGATGAGGGCCTTCTCGAGGACGATGAAGAGGAGGAGACACAACCTCCTACAGTTTCCCAAGCGCCGCCGATCCAACCACCATCACGACAGGCCTCATTTTCTAATCCGTATGCACCTCAAAATGCCCGTGGGTTCTCTACTGCTCCTGCGGTAACTTCGTCGCCTTTCTACTCCCAACCAGGTTCCTCCACCAACTTCGCACCACAACAGCATGCTCAAGTTCCAGCTGCTCAGCCAGTTCCAGAACCTACAAAGGCACAAAGTTTCGCCGACAAATCGAAGGGGGGCTATTCTTCACCTTATGACCTTCCTTCTGATATAGCCACCAGCGTCCCCAAGTCTCGCAGAAGGCCCAGCGCGCAATCAAGTCGCTCACCATCCATTGGATCGCAACCTCCGCCTCCTCCATCAAGAAGCGCAAGCATGAACTCTCCGGCTCCACCACCGGCTGGCTCCCATCCTCCATCTACTCCCTCCCAGAAGCCAATGACACCTCTATCCCGCAGCAACAGTAGTTTCTTCGAAGAGCTGCCTATGACTTCGAAACCGCGGTCGTCATCCAGACAAAGCATGCGCACCGAATCCCCAGCTCCTCCCATGAGCCCTCCCAAAGGCCCTCCCATGTCGACGCCTCCCCTAGGGCAACATCCGAGTCTTGCTCCTGCAGCGCCTTTGCATCCGTCGGAGCCAACCCCACAGCCATCTGGGATTGCAAACTTGGTAGCCCCCGAAAAAACCAATCCTTACGCCTCCCTACAACATCCTTCTCAAGCAGCTCCGCCACCCGCGAACCAGGCTTCGAGATACTCTCCTGCGCCAGCTCACAGTGCGCACATGGCTGGCGTCCCACCAGCCGTCGGCTCCCGATATTCGCCTGCCCCGCCTGTTCCTCGTCAAGTGAGCGGCTACAGCCCAACTCGGGTTGTCTCTGGTGCGTCTCCCGCATTGACTCACCTCCCGAGGACCTCGAGCCCTCTGGCCCATTTCGAGACCAGCACCGAAGGCGGTCATATCAGGGAGCGCCGCTTGAGCAGCTCATCTTATGAACCTCGTTTGAATCGCATGCCCTCTCTTCCACCCACGCGAGAAGTCGATGAGGAAGATGATCAGTCTGTAGCAGGGGTATCTCTGGGTATCAATCAAGAACCACGGAACAGCTCAGTTCCTCCTACGTCGCGTCAAACCCCACCACCTTCAGCCTCTAGGGCTGGCTCGGCAACTTTATCACCTCCTCGGCATTCCAGTTCGAATTATGTTCCGGGGGCTGCTCATCCCGGGTTTGTCCCTCCCCCGAGACCATCAACTCAATCTCCAGGTGGTGTTTCCTTTGCACCAATGCCAGAAGCCGCTTCTCGCCCCCCCATGCATTCTGCGTCGGAATCAAAGCGAACCACAGCGGTGCACTCACATAACAGAGCTAGGGGAACATCTCTGAATATGATCATGGTCCCGCCTACTGATGGACGTGAGCTTGATCAGTTGCAGCGCTGGAAAGGTGCTCCAATAATTTCATGGGGAGTCGGGGGGACCGTTGTTACCTCATTTCCTAAGAGTATCCCCAGGTACGCAATGGGTTCCTCGACTCCTACCGTATCCCGAGTCCCCGGCGAGGTCAAAGTCAGGAGTGTCAAAGCTGTTGAACCCCTTTCGGACCGGATTGCGAAGTTCCCCGGCCCCCTGAAAGGCAAATCGAAGAAGAAGGAAACCATCGCATGGCTGACTTCAGGGATCGAGGAGCTCGAGAAGGAGCTCCCCAGCGTCCCATTCCATACGGAGCTTTCATTCGAAGCGAAGCGACAGATAGAAAAGATTCTTTTGTGGAAGATCCTACGAGTCTTCATAGAGCATGACGGAGCTCTGGAGGGCAACCCGGCTGTTGAAAAGGCGGTTCGGGAGGTGCTATCTCCAAGCATCACTGCATCATCATCCGTCAACGGTGTTTCTTACTCCCCGGATAAAGGACTGGGTCTCTCTACTGGACCGTCTCCCCCAATGCGAGCAGATGGTGCAGACAGTGCAACCATGGACCAAATACGTGAATCTCTTTTGAAAGGTGACAAGGAGAACGCCGTCTGGGCCGCTGTTGATAAACGGATGTGGGGACATGCAATGCTGATCGCAAATACTGTCTCTTCGGAGCTGTGCAAGCGAGTTGCACAAGAATTCGTTCGAAATGAGGTGAACCAGGGCCATAATAATGAATCATTGGCTACTCTCTACATGATCCTGTCAGGCAACCATGACGACTGTGTCGATGAAATGGTCCCCTCACATGCTCGTGCCGGTTTGAGTCTGATGTCAACAACAGATGCAGGGCCGGTCAAAGACACCATAAGTGGATTAGACAAATGGCAGGAGACGTTGGCACTCGTCTTGAGTAACCGCAGCGCTGATGACATACGAGGATTACATGCGCTTGGAAAGCTACTCGCCGGGTATGGACGTATCGAGGCTGCCCATATTTGTTTTATCTTCAGTCGCGCCGTTTCAGTATTTGGAGGGGCGGATGATCCAGCCTCTAACATCGTTCTCATTGGCTCCGAACAAAGACAACACAACTCTTACTTTGTCAAAGACAGTGAGTCTATTCAACTTACCGAGGTCTACGAATATGGTATGTCGCTGGCAGTAGCTGGAGCGGGCGCGCCTCATCTGGCCTCCTACAAGTTCCACCAGGCTCTGTCCCTGGCTGAGTACGGATACCGAGACAAGGCACTGCAGTACTGTGACTCACTTTTGGCCGCCATATCCTCGAACGCTAAGAGATCACCTTACTACACAATGGCACTTGGGGCTCTTGTCGAAGAGTTTATGACCCGGCTCAGTCAAGTACCCAAGGAAGAAAGTTCCTCTTGGATTTCGAAACCTAACATGAACAGTGTGTGGCACACATTCAACCAGTTCGTGACCGGAGACAAGGTTGATGCCAACGGCACCAACATTAGCTCTGAGAATGAGAAGAGCCCTTTTGCCCGCATCGCTACGACACCCACGATTAGCCGCTCACCTTCTATGACGAACTTTGAGAATTTCGGGGCTGGAGCTCCTGGTTATATGCCGAACCTTCCTGCAGCTTCCAATTATGCACCAGTTGCTATCCCGCCAGCAGGATCAGGAAATCCTTACGAGCCCTCCTCACAGTATGCTCCAGCAGCCACGCCGTCGATGGGATCCGCGAATCCCTATGAACCCACATCACAGTATGCACCGGCTGCCACTCCTTCAATAGGGACAACAAACCCTTACAACGCATCGTCGCAGTATGCGCCTACTCCATTGATAGGATCAGGAAATTCTTACGACCCCTCGTCTCAGAACACTCGGGCAACGTCAGGCTCAGGACAATATCCCGGTTATCTTGGTGCTAGTGAACAAGCAGGCCACGCCGGGGCTGCTCCTCCTCAAGGTAGCCCATATGTACCAGCTTCTAGCTCATTCCAGAGTTATCAACCAACTTCATATGGCGAGTCCCAGAACACTTCGAGCGAGCCCTTTTCGCCAACCTCCCAGATATCAAATACCGGATTTTACCAACCCTTAGGCATCTCACAGCCGGCCACTATCCCGTCATTCTCATCTGCCACCGTTTCAGACGCACCATCTGCAGGCAATTCTTACGCGCCAACCTCCTTCGGGTACGAGCCTCCACAAACGAATGCATCAACGGCAAGCCCACAAGAAAATGGCAACACTCAAAATACTGAGGAGAGTGCATCTGGCGGATATGAACCACCATCGTTCCAGCCTTATGGATACGAACCACCATCATATCAGCCTGATGAAGATCCCTCGGCTGGGGCGGAGACTGATGATTCCAAGCCCAAGAGGAGAAACTTCATGGATGATGACGATGATGATATTCCTGCCCTGAAAGCGGACAAGTCCAAGGCAGACAAAGATCGTGAAAACGAAGAGATGTTCCGCAAAGCCGCAGAAGAGGATGGTAAGTTAACCAGCATCACTAGCTGTGGGGAAAAGGAAATGTTACTGACGTTATATTTAGCCAAACGCGAGGCCGAACAAAAGGCAGCGAAGAAGGGCTGGGGTTTGACCAGCTGGTTTGGGGCTGGCAAGCGGGCTGAATCACCCAAGCCCGGAGATTTGAACTCAAAGGAGACGAAATATGTCCGAGCCAAACTGGGCGAACAAAGTACATTTGTTTACGACACTGAGTTGAAGAGATGGGTCAACAAGAAGCCCGGCGCGGAAAATGTGGAGGCAAAGAAGGCAACGCCGCCTCCTCCCAGAGGTGCACCTCGTTCTGCTACCAGCACGCCTCCCCCAGGCACTCCTCCACCACCTATGGGTTCCCCCCATTCCGGACCTCCCCCACGGTCCGTGTCTACTCCCGGCCCTACCCCTGATTTTAGAACCGAGTCGGGCGACAGCCTTGCGCCGGCGCTCAAGTCTCCTCCCCGGCCCTCCTCAGCAGCCCCTCCTTCCGGGTTGTCGGCCAGTACACTTCCTGCACGGCCAGCAACGAGCATGAGCAATGCCAGCAGCATCGATGATTTGATCGGTGCTGCTGCGCCGCGCAAGCCGGGGCAGAAGAAGACCAGGAAGAGTGGTCGGTATGTCGATGTGATGGCGAAAGAGTGATCGGGCTGAACTAAGCTCCATCGCTGGCGTTATTTTGGAAATTTTATAAAACTTGTACCAACTACACTACTACTATCGGTTGAAACTTGTACATTGCTGTAATAGATATATACACGGACACAGTCCAATAGAGCGATTAATGTTGACTTTTTCATTCCTAAAATGTCTTTGGCTTTGCCTTCTCTTTCATTACGTGAATACAATGTAGCCCATGATTAATCTTTGAATAATCTTGAAAACAAACCAACGCCATAGATTTCCATCCCAATACCAGAAGGATCCATACAGCCTGAATATTACTGAAGAGCTCTTCACTGTGGAGCAGCTTAGGAACTATATGATTGTACGTAATACTGGTAATGGCATTAGCTGATTGTACAAACGGTAAAGGGATAGACAGGAACATTGCACTTACAGTGACGACAGACTCGTCAGCCATGACCTCGTCGTAGTGCGGAACGTAAACATATAAAATGAGGGCATGGTCATCTGCAAAACAAGCAATGACACGACCCTCTAATCGGCCAACGCTCAACACTTTACTCCAGTCCTTGCCATCCACGCGAACGGTGGCCCAGCGGTCCGGCCCTTCTTCCCGAAACCTGGTGCTTGGGTGTTCCTCGAGGGGGACGTCGAGCTGATTAGGGTCGAGCTCGGGGTTCTCCAGGTTCGACCAGGAGCTTGATATGTCAATGGTCTCAGTCTGCATGCGCAGGCGCAAGTCTCCGTGCATGTTGGCGCTGAGTTCGAGTTTGGGCGCCTTGGGGGCATTTGATGATGACAGTGCGAGCTTCGTGAAGCGATCGGAGATGGCCTTGAGCTGCAGGAGCGGGGGCAGTTGGATGTGGACGTCTGGGTTGCGGACTTTGGGCTGCATGATGGTCTCTACGATCTCGGGGTGGAGGACTCGCACGGGGATGTCCTGTGTGATGATCTTCTCGTGCTTCCTACGGAGAGGGGTTTCCAGGTGCTCTTTCTGGAAGACCTCGTCGTCGGGATCAGCGTATGGGTCATCCGTTGGAGGCTTGGTGGAGGATGGCCCGTTTGCAGAGTTGGAGGTGGTGGTCTTGATTGTCATGCGGAGCACGGGGATCCCGTCGCTCTTGGTCAGGCCCAGCGTGGCCGACATGCCATCACGAGCAGACTTGAGGGCTCGCTGAAGAGGCTGGAGCGGCAGCTCCAGGTCAATGTTGTTGTTCTCCTCGTTTGATTGGATGATGTATTTGCCAAAGAGGAAGTCCATGGAAAGCGAGCTGGTGGTGCAGGCAGATACGTTAGCATTAGGAAGTAGCGAGAGGATCGGCATTGTGTGCTTGCAGGAGCGGCATCGACTTACGCCCAGACTTGTGATCCCATATCAGGGATCACGGTGAATCTTACGGTATCATCGCTAAGGCGCACCCAGGCAATTTTCTCGAGAGAACCAAGCGCTGCCGTGAGTTCTACGAGGTGTAGGCAATTGGTCAGCCTTATGGTCTTCACGATGAGAATAATCTCCGGTTTAGAGAATAAGGGGTGATATGGAGGCTAATACTCACTCGAAAATGTCTTAATGTTCTTTAATTCAGTCCGGAACCGCATTTTCAGTACAGAAAGGCAGGCATATGAGGAAGGAAGGTTTGATGAAGGGCAGTGGCTCTAGTCTCAGGCTTCTTGCTCTCTCATCTGGGAAGGCGCCACCAGTGCTTGATCGTCGCTTAAACCTGACTACCCTGTACCCTCCTTCTCTGCCTTGAAAGTACATATCTGTCAACACTACATATTATTTGCCTAGTGAATGTTCTGGAAGATATATGCTTGTTGTTTTAGTTGCTGTTTCATATTGGGATATTTCTACCGCCTGTAGGCAGAGAACAAACGTGGTTTCACAGGTCTAGACTGCCGGGACGTCAGACCTTCATCTATCATCGGACTTTCCAACCGACGTGAAGATTGAACGAACTTGCCCCGTGAAAAATCTTCAAAAAGGAAGGAGTTGAGGTGAAGTCTCCAATCTTGTGAGGAAAAGTGTAAACAAAAGCAGCCGACTGTCTTTGGTTTTGTCAATAACTTTCCATACTCTTCAACAATTCGTATTATCAGCCATCGTTACCTTTCCACAGCAGCACAGTTGTTTGAGGAGTATCTTTTTGGACCGCACGACTGGGATCAGTATACGAATCAAGTGTCGTTATTTTCGTCCCTTGCCAAATCAATTCGGACTTATCAACCAATATTTCAAACAGCAGTCTGATCCCGACCCATCACTCACACAGGACTTCGCTGCCAATACGTTGTTGAACTTATCTACCACCCAAAGGTAAATCAAAAGGCCCACCAGTCCGACTGTACTCCTCTTTCTCACTGAATTTTTGCCCAGGCTAGTCAAGACGTGGAGCGCTGTGTGAGAAGCACCCTCGTTGGAACTTCCCAAGATTCGAACACCTTGGATCGGAAGGCAAATCTTGCCCACAGTTTGGTCGGATCTTTCAGCTTGGGAGAGTTTGAGGACAGTAGTTCACTGGCAATCCCGGAGTCTTCAAGTCCTACAACAAAATCGGCCGTTTGAGATCTTGGACTTGCGTTGGAAAATAAGCACCATCACCTCGTAACAATGGCCGCCCAGGAACAAGCCTCGAATGGCGAAAGCCGTCCACTTTCAGATACCGATCCGAACACTACCCATGCAAAGACCGCGTCTACACAAAATAACCTAGCATCTGACTCTTCAGCTCCTGCCAACCAAGCCTAGGTTGCTGAGGAAGGTGGGAACACCGACCAGGCCCAAAGCTCATCCTCACTTTCAAGAGCAGTTAGTATCAGGAGGAGGGGGACAGGGCCAGAACGGCAGAACGACGATCAGACCCGGAGCTCACGCTCACTTCCAAAAACATTTGGTATCAGGAAGCGAGCGTCAGAGCCAGTATGCTCTGGTAGTAGTCTTGATCTTCAGCCAGGAGAAGGTTCAATGTCTGCAACTCCCCACAAGGCCCAAAACAATGGGAAACGGAGGGACAGCCTGGAGATAGAGGAAATTTGCGATGAAGCTAAGAACGGCGAAACAGCGAAGAACAGTTCCGAATCTCAGGTCAAGGGCGGTTCGACTGGGGCCGACTCTGATCCAGGGAATCTCAAGGAGCCAAAGGCTACTCGACTGCAAATTCAAAGCATCGATTCCATCACTGCCCTTTCGTCCAACCCAACGCTTGTGGCGGAAAGCCAACCCAAAACAGTGATTGGAGGTGCCATCAATCACAACGGAGTCCTTTCCCCAAACTGCGGGATGTGCGGCCATGAGATCGATGCGCGGGATGACTATGGTGTTACAGAGACTCGGGCTCATCTACCCTGTGGGCACTCCTTTGGTCATATATGCCTCTTTAGATACCTCTCTGATCCGAACCACGTCGGATGTCCGCAACCCGGCTACGCACCCTTGCGGCATTCTTGCGGCCATATGGTGATTCCACAGAGGCAAGAGGCTGGGACACTATTCCAAAGCACCACAGCAAACCAAATTCTGTGGAGATGTGCCTACTGCGAGTCTGCTCAAGGATTGAAAATAACCAACAAGATGTCAGATTCTGAAGCCAATCACCAGAGGGCCATCCGGGCTGCGGCATCCGTGCCTTTCGCCGCTGGTTTCTGCACTCGGGCTGTTAACCACATGTATGGATATCGCTATCGCTGGCATCAAGCTAATTTGGACAAATTATAGAGAAAACACGTCCAAAGCAAGCAGAAGGAGTTTAACGAAGCAACAAAAGTGCCTGTACCAAAGAAGTCTTTCTTCGGTATGTTCAAGAAAAAGGGCGGTAATTAAGGAATGAACGGATAAGATGGCAGCGATCGGAATCTTGGAAGCAACCAAGTCCCGATGAGGTTTCGTTCATAAATCAGCTCCCTGATGAACTAATATTGTCAAAAATTCTTTGATAGGATACCATAGAGTTATTGTTGCGGGAATCCATAGCGATTACATGTAATATTTCGAATAGCAATCACAGCGGACACTCGGCTTCAGATTTGCGCCGCCGCCCTTGGCTGTACCTGTCCCTACCTTTTCATGCTTTAATCATGTCACTTGCGAAGCACGGATATTGAAAGCAAGAACGACAGGGATTGACATGAGCTTGTTAGGCAAGAATCATGTAGAAAGAGAAGTCATTATGATTTTGGTCTGGGAATAGTCTATCGGCGTGGTGGCGCCTCGTCATCGCTATCGTCTCGGAAGCCCTCCTCTAGACTAAAGATTGAATGTTACAACGGTGGGACTCGTAGGGTTGGGGATGAAGATGAAAGGTGTACAACATACTCTCTGCTTAGCCGCCTGGTCGTGTCTTGCCGAGTGGCGCGCGCATGGCTCGCAATGACGAGCCGCATATGATCGTCGACGTCGCCGAGCTCCTCCCCCTCGTCGATCTGCTCGTCGTGGTGGTCGATGGTCTGGGCATCCGGGTTGAGGTAACTATCCTCCCTCCGGTTGGCGATGGCGGCGATCCGCGTCAAGAGGCGGTCGCGGAGGGAGACGGGGGACACAGAGCCGAGCGGGATGTACTGGTTGTAGCGGCGGTAGAGGGGGATGACGATGTAGGTCAGGAGGAGGAAGATGAGGAGGGAGACTATGGCCGGGATAACGAGCGTCTGTTGTTTTCTGCGGGTTAGCAAATCGGGTTTCCGTCGATGACGAAGCTGGTGGAGGACGGATATTAGGGTCGCGGTAAGGTTTGCGGAGCTCACCTTGAGGATCGACAGCTTCTCCCCCATGGTTGCGTCTGTTGGAGCGGTCGCTCGCGAACTCTGTCTCTGGTGGTTGTGCGAGTTCTCACTCTCTCCCTCTGGGGGGGTTAACAAGAGAGTGACGTTGAAGAGCCTCAGCCGGGATGGAGTGACAGGCCGATTTCAGGTCCCCGGGGCCGCTAATTAGCAGGCAGCTGAGGTGACTAACTGGTGGCGCTCGGGCTGAATTCAGCCCCATTGCGTAGGCTCTTTGGTCCCGCTGCACCCGCTCCAATGCCACGCTACACTTTTCCGGTCTGAGGAAAGGTGAGACTCGTGGTAGGCATGCAGTCTAACACGAGACGAATCTGCATGGGGTGCAGATTCAGACCCTTGATAAAACGTGGGAATCGAAGGGTATTATCGAGGCCTGTGTGAGTTATAGACTTTATACATATATCTTCATTCACATTCAGAGAATAGAAGAAACGTCCTTTGGCTGATCTCTAAACTTGTGAATCTTATATAATATAATATACTGTTTCTTGAGCAGGTACACGTAATAATCCGATAATACAGGTCGCAGACTCGAAAAGCAGCGGAATAATGTTCAAGTGTCTCAAATTCAACGTCGCGCGGTTGGCCTCAAAATTAGTTTAAATGGTGGCTCACCTTTGAAATGGACTTGTGTCTTGTACCTGGCCGCGCCTTAGACTGCCTATAATAAAATGCTCGGAAACTGTCACCGGAAATATACTCTTTGAGGGCTGGGGGCGAGGTAAGATGTGGTGTAAGCTGGGAGAGAAGGTGGGCAATGAATCATTGCTAGAAACTGATACAGGTAACGTAACATTCCGAGAGTAAGAGATTGGCGTTTCACCATTGACCGTTTTTGAACACATATCAAAGCCAGCCTTAGAAGAACCGTTCCTGCTACCGACTAAACCCGCTCGCCTCCAACGTAAAGAGACGAAACCTTGCTGAGAATTAATTGGGTTGCGCGCCAGCTGGTGCTTCGGTCAGATGAGAATCCGAGAGCGGTGTACTGGTGTTACGCATTGTGTAACGGAACCATTCTGTTGAACCAAAAAGGATTGTAATTCAGAGGACTATTGAGTCTTATATTCTAACACATTCATGGTGAGGCTACAGGAAGTGATAGATTTGATCGAGGCGAATAAACGAACTGGCTCTATTCTCTTCATTTGGTCCGTTGACTCGAATAGAGAGCTTGATGCATAGAATTATTAGTCTTCATGATGTTGCGGCGCGACGAGGGCCTTCGTCGCCGGACTATTTCGGTTGGTAGAATATATTTTGGCCATGGTTGAACAAGGCATGGCATGGTATTCCCATGTCCTAGTGCCGGCGAGATCTTACGGAAACGTTGATACCAAGACGGGAGTCACTACATTACCGCGTGCGGCGGAAGCAATTCCAAGTTTGTGATCTACACGGACGGTCTGTGTGAGGCTGGGGGGCGACAGGCTCGGAGCAATGATGAAAACAAGGGAGACATCTGATCATCTGAAGTAAAGGACCATGGGATTACAAAGGAAAGGGATCGGAAATTTGGGCTAAATTGCATCTCCAAGGACCGAAAATGGGACTAGGTAGGTGGGCTCGGCAATTACATAGCTCCATGCAACAAGGATGAGGATTGGCGCATTGGTTTGCTAGCTGTTGATCCTCGTCTTCCCCGCGAGGCATTTCATGCGGGCTATTTCCCCTCCCTTGGCTGCCGTGTGAATGTTTCAGAAGCAAAAGAGAGATAGATCCGGTCGGTGAGATGGAATTTGATATGGTGGCATGTGAATATAGTTTGTGAGGATGGAGGGCGCGGTGCCTGTAGACCAACTGGTCGATCATTAGAACAGGAAACAGAAACTCTATCGTGGGTATGATATGCGCCCGTCTCGTTTTGGAATGCTGCTTTGCAATGACAAGCTGGATAAATCCCAGAGGAGGCGTCTCGCCATGTAGGTCCCCATGATATTGGAAATTGTATGTCAGATGCTCGTACATGATTTGCTTAAAATGGTCGGCATGGCCATCCCCTGGATGGAGTATGCAGACTCCAGGCCCGTCTTTGTCATTCAGGGGTCCCAGCCCTTCATACGAATCAGGTCACAAATCCTCCCGCTGCCTTTATCCGTGAGGATACCGCGCATCCCTAGCCCTTTTTGTGCATGCGTGTTAGTGATCCAGGAATCCTCGCACACATCACTTTTAGATCAGTCGGGCAAGCGCAGGAGACGTGTATTGTAGAACTAGCTGGACACTGATAGGTGTTCTTACCGTCGGCAATGGCGACGGCACAGCTTCTGATAAGAACCTAAAGGTACCTCCACCATCATTGTAGGGTACCTGTGCGCGTGGGAGGTTGCCTCCTATGACCAAGTACCTGCGCTTACAAACTGCTGAAGTGGCCGTCCGTCTGTGCGCCCGAACCCAATTGCCACTAATGGAGGTGCTAGCCTAAGACCCTTTCAGCAGGTCATAGCGGGAGGGGACTCACATAGTTGCAAGCAGCTCACCTAAGGCCTTGGTGCTACCTACCTGTAGTCTCTGAAGGTGCATCTCCGCTACGTAGTAACGAAATATGGTGGAGGTTCCATCTGGAGGGCGGCGGATTCAACACCACACATTCCCATCCTGTACCCCGTACGATACTTTTTCCCGCTCCACATCGTCACGAACACGGTTATCAGGCTCACGCAGCCAGCCCTGGGGAATCTGATGCGAACGACCCCAAGCTCCTGTCAGACCAAGCCCGACTACCCGCCAGCCCGCACGGCAAAGATTGGCTCCTCGTGTCTCCTCCAACATGCGAGCGGCTGTAGGCTGCCCCCCGCCGCCCTGACGATTGACCATAATCACATCTAGCTTGGCCTAACCCGCCCGACTGCTCACCCGTCTGCTCGAAATGTCGTCGGATAAGACCAGGCAGTCATCAGGAGCCCGTTCGATCTTCTCCCGAGGGAAGAGCAAGGACAAGCGAACCAACGACGCCGCCAGCCTCGCACCCGACTCATATCCATACGAAAACTCCCGTACATCACGACACAAGCGAGATTCCTCCAGCGTCTCTATAGATTTACCGTATTCACCCGACCCACAGATCAACCATTCTGCCGGCGTTCTTACCTCTATTCCGTACGACGGTTCTCAGACCCCCATCGCCGTCGAGTATCTGCCCAAAGGGGACCAAGTCCCTGTGGAAAGGAGTCCCCTGCCGCATCATCTGAACAAAGGCGGCGTTGACTTCCACCAATACCCCTCGTTCGACCCAGCCAGCATGCCCGCCCGCGATTATGGCTCTGCGCCACGGTCTGCGCAGGCCTCACCATATCTGTCGGCGGGAAATGGGAGACAGGGCCAGTATCAGCAATGGGGTCACCCACGAGCAAGCACTGCCAGCTCCGCCAATGGATCATACCAGTCTCTAGATAATGCTAGCTTATACTCAGGTAATTCAGATAACCAAGATTCCAGATGGACGTTTCACTCACTTCAAGCAGTCAACCCACCCCCCTCATCCCACAGCTCGTACCTCTCCCCACGAGACAACGCCTCTCACTTTTCACCACGGGATAACTCTTCCCATTTCTCGCCTCGAGACAACTCCTCCCATTTCTCACCTCGGGTTGACAATTCGGCTCACTTCTCTCCCCGGGACGCTACTCACCGCTTTACAAAACTACCTGCTTCCTCGGGCTCTCACGATGGCTTCCACTTCCCAAAGCCCGACGACGATAGTGTGGTGGACGAGATGTTCCTGCAGCTCATGCAGAAGCGAGGATGGCACAATCTCCCGGAACAGGCCAGACGGCAAATGGTGGCCTACCCTTCCCAGAAGAAGTGGATGTTGCTGCACCAGGACCGCCTGACTGAGTGGCAAGGGGAACAGAAGCGTAGACAATCAGCGCGGCCAAATCAATACGCAACCCCGGATATTACCACCTACTCTGACGAAGAGGGGACTCCCGAGTTCTATGTGAGAAGGGTAATGGAAGACAAGCTGGACTCGAAGGGTATGGGAAGTCTTGAGGTTAATTTGCGAACACAACAAATCGGCTGGGTCAAGCGATTCGTGGAGTGCCAGGGACAGGTTGCTTTGGTGACCCTTCTCCTCAAATTAAACCGAAAGACATCGTTCGGACCAGCGCAGGACAATCATAGGGTCGACAAGAATCACGAGAAGGAATATGATATTATCAAATGTCTCAAGGCGTTGATGAACAACAAGTTCGGCGCCGACAATGCCCTGGCACATCAAAAAGTTCTGGTAGCTCTGGGGACCGCCTTGATTTCGGCTCGTCTTTCAACACGTAAACTTGCAAGCGAAATCCTCACTTTCCTCTGCACATGGGGCGATAATGGGGATGGCCACTTGAAAGTCATCCAGGCCCTCGACGAAGTCAAAGCTCAGTCTGGCGAGAATGGCCGATTTGATTCTTGGATGCGTCTTGTTGAGGTTACACTCGATGGCCGAGGCAAGATGGGTAGCCTGGTTGGCGCAAGTGAAGAGCTCAGAACGGGTGGTACTGGAATGGAGAACCTGCTCATGGAATACGCTCTAGCAACACTGATTTTGGTCAACATGTTGGTAGACGCTCCTGAGAGAGATCTTGAACTGCGAATCCATATCCGGGCACAGTTTACAGCATGTGGGATCAAGCGTATTTTGAGCAAGATGGAGGCATTCCAATACGACTACCTCGACAAGCAAATCGAGAGGTATCGAACGAATGAAGCTATCGACTATGAGGACATGCTGGAACGAGAGAACAGTAGCATCAAGGATAATGTGGAAGGAGATGTTAAGGACTTGACTGACCCAGTCCAAATTGCTGAAGCCATCACTCATCGACTGCATGGAAGTAAGACGAACGACTACTTTGTGTCTGCTTTGCAGCATCTCTTGCTGATGCGTGCGCACGATGGCGAGGAACGATTACGGATGTTCCAGCTGGTGGACTCAATGCTCAGCTATGTAGCGATGGACCGCAGGTTGCCGAACATGGATTTGAAGCAGAGTCTGAACTTCACCGTCCAGAGCTTGCTAGATAAGCTCCATACAGACTCCGAGGCTCGACAGGCTCAGGATGAAGCTCTCGAATCGAGGCAGATTGCTGAAGCAGCCATGGCGGAGAGGGACGAGATGCGAGCCCAGGTTGAGCTAGGCGCTGATGGGTTGGTTGCAAAGTTACAGAAGAAATTGGACGAACAGACTCGCTTTATCGAAGCCCAAAGAAGGCAAGCCGAAGGCTTGAAAGCGGAACTGGAAAATGTCCAAACTGTCCGAGCAAAGGAAGCACAACGAAATGAACTTGAGACCCGAGAACTATATCTTATGCTTAGAGATGCCCAGGATGTTGCCGCCTCCAATGCTATGAAGGGCAATGCGAAGGTCTCTCCACAAGACGCATCCCATATGCAAGGCATCCTTGATCGGGAGCGCCTCATGGAGCGTCTCCAGATGCAGATCGAGCGCCAGAAGACCCAGTACAAGCTGGAAGGAAAAGTATGGGGCGAAGCTGCAGGCCCATCTGACCGTCTTCGTGCGTTACGTGAGGAGATGGAAGACAATGTCGACTCAGAAACGCCCGGGACGCCACCAGGCCGTGGCGGTGCTCCTCGAGACTTGACAAATAGCGTACTGGGAAGTATCAGCCGTCACACCAGAATCCCGAGGAAGCCTATCAAGAAGGACACAATCCCCGAGGACCCTGTTGCGGATGCGCAGCAGAAGCAGGCGCTCTTCAACGAACTGGGCTCCAAGGTGTCGAAGTTTGATGCCGACACGGACGAGGAGGAGAGTGACGAGGATACTACCGAAGTCGAAGAAACCCAAGAAACCAAGGCCGAAACTCCAGCAGCCGAAACCCCGGCAGCCGCACCACCGCCACCTCCGCCGCCGCCTCCACCTCCGGGCCAGATACCGGGTGCCCCTCCTCCTCCTCCTCCCCCTCCACCACCTCCCTTACCTGGAACTGTTGGACCACCACCCCCCCCTCCTCCCCCTCCCTTACCTGGAACCGCTGGCCCGCCGCCGCCTCCTCCACCTCCTCCTCTGCCTGGTGCTGGAGGTATGCCACCGCCTCCTCCACCACCGCCTATGCCTGGAGCGAAAGGCATGCCCCCTCCCCCTCCCCCAATGCCTGGAGCCAAAACTTCCGGGAACTTCTTGGCCCAGAAGCAAGCCTTCATCCCCTCGCCTGGAATTGGCCTACCTGTTGCACGGCCTAAGAAGAAGCTCAAGGCATTGCATTGGGACAAAGTTGATACTCCTGAGACCAGTCACTGGGCTGCTCATACACCCTCTGCCGAAGAGCGAGAGGAGAAGTACAATGAACTCAGCCGAAAGGGTATTTTGGATGAAGTCGAGAAGCTCTTCATGGCCAAGGAAATCAAGAAAATTGGTGGTGGTGCAGCCAAGAAGGATGATAAGAAGCAAATCATCTCCACTGACTTGCGGAAGGCTTTCGGTAAGTGATCTCGAGTATTTCCTATCAATGCCCTGTTGAATTGACCTACTAACTTAATCATGTAGAAATCGCCCTGGCCAAGTTTTCTCAATATTCTGTTGAAAAGGTTTCCCAAATGATCATTCACTGTGACGTGGAAGTGCTCGACAACCCGGTCGTGATGGACTTTTTGCAGAAGGATGATTTGTGTAACATTGCCGATAGCACCTCGAAACAAATGGCGCCCTATAGCAAAGACTGGACTGGGCCGAATGCCGAGGCCCAAGCTCGCGAATCCGACCCGTCCGAGCTAACACGACAAGATCAGATATACCTTTACACTGCGTTTGAACTTCATCATTATTGGAAGAGCAGGATGAGGGCTTTGGATTTGACGAGAACGTATGAGTCTGATTACGATGAACTCTCTGAGAAGATCCGCCAGATCATGAGCGTGTCTGAAGCCTTGCGTGATTCAGTATCACTGATGAACGTTCTTGGTCTCATTCTTGATATCGGCAATTACATGAATGACGCCAACAAGCAAGCTCGTGGTTTTAAACTCAGCTCTCTCGCCAGGCTGGGCATGGTCAAGGATGACAAAAACGAGTCTTCCTTGGCGGACCTAGTCGAGCGTATTGTGCGGAATCAATACCCGGAATGGGAGGGATTTGCCGATGATATCACCGGTGTTACCAGTGTTCAGAAGATCAATGTCGAGCAGCTCCAGACTGATGCAAGGAAGTACATCTCGAATGTCAAGAATGTGCAGATGTCATTGGACTCGGGCAACTTGAGTGATCCTAAAAAGTTCCACCCTCAAGATCGTGTCAATCAGATTGTGCAGCGCAGCATGAAAGAGGCAAGGAGAAAAGCAGAGCAGATGGAACTCTACCTGGACGAAATGCTGCGCACGTACAAGGATATCATGACCTTCTATGGTGAAGACCCAACTGATGAGAATGCCAGGAGAGACTTCTTCGCCAAGCTTGCGGCATTCTTGGGCGAGTGGAAGAAGTCTAGGGAGAAGAACGTGAACCTGGAGGAAGTTAGGAAGCGTAACGAGGCTTCAATGAAGCGCAAACATGCACAGATGAAGGCCAACGCAGCTGCCTCTCCAGAAATTGGGCCAGCTTCGCCTACAAGTGCTGGTGCTATGGACTCCCTTCTGGAGAAACTTCGTGCGGCTGCACCCCAAGCTAGAGATCAACGCGACCGAAGGCGTCGCGCGCGCCTTAAGGACCGCCACCAAGTCCGGGTTGCCTCTGGGCAGAAGATCCCCGATCTTAATGAGATTCCAGAAGTGGAAGCCGATCTGAAGGGCAAGGAGAAACCGATCAACGAGGAGGAAGCAGGCTCTCGTGACGGTGAGGACGATGTCGCTGACAGGGCCGCGGCCATGTTGCAAGGTATGCGAAGCGGCGATGGCGCGGAGGAGGAGGATCCCGACAAGAGGGAGAGTCTACGAAAGGCAAGGAGACAAACAGCAGAGGAAGAGCGAAGGTTGAGGAGGAGGAGGAGGGAAAAGGCTTCGTCGGGACAGAGTGAGGAGACCCCGGATGACAACAAGGCGGAGGGCGATAAGACTCCGTCGGCAGAACCCGGCCCCGAAGAGCAAAAGGAGTAGACCTGCGCATTGCAAGCGAAACGTTAAGAAAGCCAGGTTGTGTTGCTGTGGTAATACGTAATGTCTAGAATTTCATGCACATTATGATTTGGGAACACGGAGGGATCTATCAATTCGGGAGGTTCATATTAGAGTGAATGAAGGGCGCATTGTTTTGGGAGATCTTGTCCTAGGGGCAAGCTGACCATGTATTATCAACCTTCGGGGTCATCGGGTCTGCATTGTTCTGTCGTCGCATGTCTATATGGGGTAGATTATCGGCGTTTTAAATACATATGGATGCTCAAGCGTTGAACGAATGAAGGCAGACGCAGTGACTAAAGTTGATGGTATCTCATTATTCTAGGTATCTAACACGTGCTTGCTGGTACAGTTGCCTCAATTCTAAGGGTGCATTAGGGGAAAGACAAGTCTCAGGGTGTTCCGGTAGGCTTGTAAACATTGATTTTATCGTGATGGACTCAGTGGTCGGTTGAAACCGCCCTGGCGGTTCATGTACTGGCGGTATTCTGATTTCTTCTCCTTCCTGAGCCCACCGACATCGTTGCCAGAGACCTTCTTGTTCTTTGTGGTGTCGAAGCCCCCGAAGCCCATCATGGCCTTCATGGCGGCCATGTCCGGGTCTTCGTCCACCTCTGGCTCGTCGTCGTCCTCGGGACGATCCCTGCCCCGACTCTCCTCTCTCATGGGCGTGTCGGCATCTCTTGCTGATGATGGAGATCCGCTGCGGCGGCCAACGTTGAAAGACATGTTCTTCCGCTGGTTCTGGCTGGAGTTGTTGGGGTGGGGACGGGTCGGCAGGTTTCCGCTGTTAGAAGAAGATGCCGCTGGAGGGGGGGACCGGGACCGTCTGGGCGAGTTCCCCCGTCGCTTCCCCCCAGACCGCCTGCTGTCTCTTTCGTCGTTGTGGTCGTCGTCTCTCCTCCGGCCATCTCGCCTGTCGTTGTCCTTGTTCCAGGTGCCTCGAGAGCCGCGATCTCTGTCGCCGCCACCACCACCGCGGTCCCTGCCGCCTCTCCAGTCATCGCGTTCGCGATCGCGGTGGCGTCTGTCTGGGGATCTTGAGCGGTCTCTGTGTCCGCCGCCGCCGCGGCGCTCGCGGGACCTTGAGCGGTAGCCTCTGCGGTCGTCGCGATCTCTCTCGCGATCCCGATCTCTGTCGCGTGCGCCGCCGCCGTATCTGTCTCGACGGTCTGGGTCGTCGTAGTGACGGCCTTCGGGGCGACGAGGGCGACGCGAGTCACTCATCGTCAAATGTGCCTCGGTCTCTGGTAGGTGATACAGGTAATTTCTTTTTTAGGATCTTCTGAGGTTTCGGGGTGATTCTAAAAGGATGTGGCAGTTGTCTTGGTGGCGTTCAAGCTCTGACAGAAAGTTTCAAGGTCTCAGCCCAAGAGGCTGAAGGCAGAAGAAGGTGGTGTGGATCCACTTCCGGAGCTTGTTCCGTCCTGCGTCCTGATAAGATAAGTTTCCTTGCCTTGGCCAAGCCTCTCAAGGCGACATGTACCTGGAGAGCCGACACAAGCTTTTCGGAGGTTTTCCAACGGCACTTCTGCTGGCGCATGAATCGTTGGCTTGGCCGGAACGCTCTGACCTCATCTCTACAGAATTACGAGATCACACACAGCCCCCCGTGAACACTGAGCCGGCTTGCTGATCGGCCTCTGAGACCTTTGGTGGGGGACCGTGCCAGGGGTACACAAACCGACCCCATAAATTAGTGTGTCCACTAAAACGCATCAATCAAGCTGCATCTCGGGCCCTGCGCCAACGGTGAGCTTACATCCCACCTGCAACCTCCCAACGCCGGGGATCTATCTTCCGCTGCATATCCCGCCACCGCATCATTGGTCTTCCTCCGGAGCTGGGCTGTGAACCGGAAGACCTAGCACTGCATCAGGATGACACGACTCGCGCAGCTCTTCTCCGCTGCGCTGGCGCTGGGCGCCGCCTTGGCCCAGGGCCAGCAATCTGTCCTCTCCAAGGAGGAGGTTGGCCGCCTCAATGACGAAAGCTTATTTTGGGGCCCGTACAAGTCCAATCTCTACTTCGGCGTCCGACCGAAGTCGCCAAAGGGCTTTTGGTCCAGCTTGATGTGGGGAGGCGTGAATTCATACGAGCGGACACCACACGGTAAGTGCCGAAATAATGCGAGGTGCCAAGCTGCCGCGGTGGCGGCAGTGAGGATGTGAGAGGGTGTTGCGATACCATTGACGGTGCTAATGCGGCCTGGCTTTTAGTATTCCGCTACACCTGCGAGCAGGGCGAGGATATCCACGGATACGGTTGGGACGAGTATGATGCCCGAACCGGAGGCGTACAGACGATTCATGATGATGGGAACCAGATCGACCTAACAACCTCTTTTGTCAAGTTCCCCGGCGGGGACCATGGCGGCAGCTGGGCTGTCCGGATCAGGGGAGACCTGCAGCCTGGTGCTCCCACGGATACCAAGACCATGCTCTTCTACTATTTAAATGAAGAGGAGGGCAAGCTGGCTCCCACTAGCATGGGTAGCGATGGTGGCTTTGGAGGGGATATCGAGTTCAAGGGCTCTTCGGATGTCCTGGGTGACTACAAGGTAGTCATTACCAAGGGCAAGGGAAATCACCCAACAAGCAATGACAAAATTCTTGCACATCGTGATGGTGAGAAGACTGTAATTCACTCCCTCCACCCGGAGGAGGACGTTGCCTGGCAAGCAAAGCAGATTGTTTTCGGGCGGCTGAAGGAAGCCATTGAGCCGTTTGGTGAGAAGATTGATGCCAATAACCCGCCACCAGTGTGGCAGGTCTACCGCATGGAAAACCTTCCCGGCCCTGGCAAGATCCAGATCATACAAAAGACTTTCGAAGGGCCCTTTGAGTTTGATGTGATCTTCTCTTCAGGCTCAGCCGGCAAGGAATTGACTTCTGAGGATGTGACTCGCCAGATCAAGGCCACCTCTAAGGCCTTTGAGGAGCGATTCGCAAAGACCTTCAAGCTGCAGAAGCCTTTCACCAGCGAGAAGTTCCAAAAATTTGCAAAGAGCATGTTCTCCAACCTTCTGGGGGGTATTGGGTACTTCCATGGCGAGCAGGTCATCGATCGATCCTATGCGGATGAGTATGATGAGACCGACGAACGCTTCTGGGAGGACGCTGCGGAGGCCAGAGCTCGCAAGAGGCAGAAGTTGGAGGGCCCATATGAGCTGTTCACCGCTGTCCCATCGCGGCCCTTCTTCCCCCGTGGATTCCTGTGGGATGAGGGTTTCCACCTAATTCCCATCGCTGACTGGGACACCGACCTGACCTTGGAGATTATCAAGAGCTGGTTCAAGACAATCGACGATGAAGGATGGATTCCCCGAGAACAGATCCTTGGCCCAGAGGCTCGAAGCAAGGTGCCTGAGGAGTTCCAGGTCCAATATCCTCACTACGCCAACCCACCTACTCTGTTCCTGGCCATTGAGGACTTCATGGAACGTTTGCAGCGAGCCAACCGCACCCCCGACAAGGCGAAGGATGCACATGATATTCACACAGCCCACCTCGACAATGCCAAGCTTGGTGAGCAATACCTGCATGAGATTTACCCCTTATTACGTCGGCAGTACGACTGGTTCCGCAAGACACAGCGTGGTGACATCAAGACCTACGACCGCGAGGCGTATTCCACCAAGGAGGCCTACCGATGGCGCGGCCGCACCGAGACTCATGTTCTCACGAGTGGGCTGGATGATTACCCTCGACCTCAGCCCCCTACTCCCGGTGAGCTGCACGTTGACCTGATGTCGTGGGTGGGATTGATGACCAAATCCTTACTCAACATCGCCTCAGCGTTAGGCAACGAGGAGGATGTTGCCGAGTTGAAGAGGAACCTCGATGCCATCGAGCACAATGTCAATGATCTACACTGGTCTGAGAAGGAAGGATGCTACTGTGACGCGTCAATCGACGAGTTTGAGGAACACGCACTCGTTTGCCACAAGGGGTACATTTCCATCTTCCCATTCTTGGTCGGGCTGATGAAGCCGGAGGATCCAAAGGTTGGGAGAATTCTCGACCTCATTGGCGACGAGGACCACCTGTGGAGTCCCCACGGAATTCGCAGCCTCAGCAAGCAGGATCCCAACTACGGCACCGGTGAGAATTACTGGCGTAGCCCGGTATGGATGCCAATCAACTACCTGGTCGTTTCCTCCCTTAGGGTAAGTTTACTTTTTTAGCCCCCGTTCGACTTGCCCTTTTGCCATTCCATGCCCCCTTCTCGGCGAGTAACTAGGATGAATTGCTGACCCGAAAACATGCAGAATCTGGCTGTGCAAGAGGGACCCCACAAGGCGAAGGCTCGCGAACTGTTCTCACGGCTGCGTGAGAACCTTGTCAACACGGTGTACAAGAGCTGGAAGGAGACAGGGTTCGCGTGGGAGCAGTACAACCCGGATACCGGAGCGGGTCAGCGCACGCAGCACTTCACAGGATGGACCAGCCTCGTGGTCAAGTTGATGGCGATGGATGACCTAAGCGAAGATCATGTCAGAGATGAGTTGTGAGAGGGGACTTGGGGTGGATGGTGTGTGGTTGTGGTTTCAGGGGGAGGCGGAAGTCACGGAGCCGGCAGCATGGGCTCTCTCTTTTGAAACCTTCGGGCTGTTCCTTCCGCCGGTCTTTATCTCACGCGCATATTTAGGCCTATTTGCGAACCGATGTAATAGTATAGTAGCAGGCGCCAGTTTAGGCGGTGGATGGATGATAGGGGGGTAGGGGAGGATTAGACGCATGTGAGTCAGAAACCCGAGCGAAGAATAGAACAATAGAAAGAAAAAAAAATCAAGGAAACACCACGAGACTACAGCTGCAGGACGATTTTCTGGGCTCTTGCATATTGTCCCGGTCACGGCCACCTCCGAGGTAGTATCAACAACTACCTATACCTTACTTGGGAAAATGTTCTAGCTCCTTCAGGAAGCGAGGGCGCCCAGTGAGATTTTCGAAAAGGTCTAGAATGCACACCTAAACACGTTTGACCAATTGGTGGGGGGAAGCGAAAAAGATACATTACACACACAAATAGACAGAGAGTGAGAGTGAAAAAAAAAAGACGTCAACAAAAGTGGAAAGTTGTGCGGTGTGACTCTGATTCCCAATGAAACCACAACGTCGTACGGGACCTTGCAGGAGAGGGGTCCATCCAACCCTCACCACGCCGTTCCCAGCAAACTGGCAGGCTGCCAGACTGGCGGTCGGGAAGAGGAGGGAGGGGTGGGTGAGCAAAAAAAGAGAGTAGGCTGAAACTCTTGAGAACTTTGAACGGCCCCAGTGCACGATTGTGAGACGAGAGTTCAGGACAGAAAGAGGCAGAGCCCGAGTTTCCAGCCTTATCGGCACTTCAATTGGCTGCGAGCTCGCTATAGATTTCCATCGTATATTTCTAGCCCGGGGCCATGGTTTCGTAAACTCAGATGAGGTAGGTTGGCACGAGCGAATCAGGGATTGGGGAGATCTGGCCGCGAGGAGGGCAGATCTGTTCTGGAAGGGCAACTCGTGGAACCGGGTCAGACTCATTTCCTGTGCAACAATGGCCGGCAACGTCATTCGCGGAAATGCTGGAGAGGGATGGGACTGAGACTGGGGGCCGGTGGGGACTTGGCAAGCCGCGTGCTGGTTTTGGGTGGTGATGGGGGGAGTGGAGAGAGCGTGGAGCTCCGACGGGTGGGTGTGAAGTGGTGTCTGGCCTTTGCTTTGAAGCAATACAGAGGAACGGTTAGTGTAGTGGTTGGGTTCCTGGTGTCAGCAAGAGTCGGCCGCGCATCCCTCCATCCCACGAAAGCAGGAATCCGGAACCTGAGTCCCTGGCAGGCTTGGATTCCCAAGTTCTTGGTCATCGTGAGTGTGCGAGGTATCCCGCCATTTTGGGGAGGGGGGGAACCTGACCGCCCGCAAGGCGCGTGGGAGACAAGGCATCGAGGCTCCAGCCGGATGGTGCACCGCGACAAAGTCCCCAAAAGCCACGAGGCTCCCATTGGCAGCGGGTGGGAGCCTCGACTAAGCCTGTGTGGCCGTCTGGGGAGTCATTCTTCGCCGGCAAGGCGCCAGCGAGGCGACTCAGGTGATTCGGAGCCTTATTTTTGCTTCAGGACCGATTCTAGATGCTGATTCGACGGCGGAGATCGAGCCTGGTGGTTGTATTTTGTGGACTGCAGGCGCAGGCACCATCGTCAAGCAACATCCAGGAGGAAGGGCCCGACCAAGGGTGGTCCATGTCCTGTGCCTCCGAGCAGCCATCTCACAGGTCGAATCGGCAATCCAATTCGTTGGGACGTCGAGGCCAATCGGATGGCTGGAAACAGGAACCGTCAGATTGGACTGCCATGTCTAAAATTTACTAGGCCAGCAACCGGGTGACATGAGAGATGAGACACCAAATTATTGTGCCTTCTTTGTAGCCATCAAATACTGCAATAAAGATACAATAACCCCTAAAAAAGTACATTAATCCTTTTATTAGCTTCTAAATAATATTAAAGTCTTTTTTTGGTCTTTTTTAAGGATTTTTAGAATCAAGTTATAGTGAATACAACACAGAGCCTCTCCAAATATGGACGCTTGAAGTACCGGTTTGGTGTCTCATCTCTTATGTCACCCGCTTGGCCAGGTAGGGGCTTGCTATTTTTGTCTATTTTTGTCCACGAACATGCTGGGGTGGCTGACAGGGTCGTGCTCCATGTCTCACGGGCCATGCCAGAGGCAGTCGCGGTAGTAATGGCAGTGTGTGCGTAGGACGGTACCTCAGGCGTGAGAGAGAGCCGTGCAAGGACCAGTGATCCAGGCGTGTGCATCATCTTGTTTGAAGTCGGTCGTTTGATACAACACACCGGCCAGTCGGGAGGAGTGTGTGCAATTACCCGCGCGCGGCAAGGCGACGGAACGCATGGCAAGGCGATCATTCGTCGCAGAGATTTCTTCTTTTTTTATCGATGCTCATCTGGATGCGATGCTTAGCTGCGACCCTATGCACTGCGACCTGCGTGTGTACTACGCAGGACGCATGCATCTGACTTCTAGAAGCGTACCACATTGAGACATACCCAAACAGGGCACTCGCGCAACTGTCGGGACCAGGGCCCAAGCAACCTCCTCCCGAGAGCCCATGGATATGGGTGCGATGCAGCAGTTCGTCTGCCGAACAGTCGTCCCCTGACCAGCGTAGTGTCAACTAGGCCTAAAATCTTTTTATCTTTCCGAAGGGTCGTACAAGGAAGCTCGTGTGGCAGTGCGCCCAAACGAGGCAGAATGCGAAGGCTCCACGATCGTAATGGAGCCGGTGAAAATCACGAGGCGAGGCTGATTGCCAGCAAATCTCAGCGGCAGCCACTCACGGCCGGCAGATTGGATAGCGCATTGACGATAGGCGGCCTCCCCCTAAATTACAGTGGTGCCTGTCCCCTGGGGCATGCGGATCAGCGCACTCGGGCACTACTTTAGTGGGTGCCTTAGTGGCTGAAGAGGAGCCCAGCGGACCCAGCAGTCAGATCAAGTCCCGTCTTGCCCGTTTAGACAATCTGGCATACGAGGTCCTATTCTGGTAGCATGCCCCGATTTAGACGCCCAGGCACCGGCAGATTCGTGAGGTGAGCCGCGCCTCCGCCTTTTGCCCTGCGCTTTGGCGCCCCGGCGGCTAATTTTCCCCAAGCCACAAGCCACATTTGCCAAATTTACACTCACAGCCGCCGTCACTCGCCACGACCCTAACTATAGCGAAGCCGCTAAGAAAGCCAAGTGCCTGGCTTTCCTGAAGGGGTAAATGTCGCTAGCATCTGCCAAGACGATCGAAGGGGCGCTGGCAACGGCTCCATGGGGCGATTGGCGGGATGGCGAGGGGAGTGGATGTACAACGCGAGAACATGATCAGCGTTTTCCCGCCCTCTCAATCTCGCTCGGCTTTGGTCAAAATGGGCCTCGACTGCATACGAAGAAGGAATACACGTGCGACATACGACCAGTGGGGGGAACTTCAGTGAGGCTACGTAGGCGAGTAGGATATCACTTTTTTGGCCGGTGACTCAGGGCAAGAACTTTTTTCTTCACCTCCCCCTGCTGGCTGTCTGTATGGCAGACTCGTCCGTGTGCTCCGGATCTGCGTTTGGCGCTTTGCGTAAAAAACAGTCACCGACAAGGCGGGAGTGTGTGGGAGCCAAGGTTCAAAATGCTGGTGCCTGGAGAGAAAGGTGTCCATCCATCCATGGCAGAAGCATCGTCATACATAATCATCATCAATCAGCATACCATCAGCATTCCCATTCCCCCTTATGCACTGCTACCACATGGCATTTCTCGCTGGATGACCCTGGCCATGAGACACACTCCCGGATCCGCGGAGTCACTCGTACGGACTTACGCGGACATGCCGGTCGGAGATTCTTATGTCACCATCACAGGTGCAGTTCGCTTGCGGAGGAGAGAGTCTTTCGCATGCAGCAGACCGCAGCCTGTTGGTCATCATGGGAAGGCTTGGCTTTGTAACCATTCTCGCGGAGCCTTCTGGCTTCTGCTGGATGACGGTTGCAAATGCACACCCCACACACCGATGATGCTGATTATGTGAATGATGAGATGACGATGCTTGCTGATGAGGATGGTTCTATTCCTAGAGGCCCTTTGAGACGCTACGTGTAGTAACCAGGACCGTGCGCTGCCATGCGATCGGTAGAGTGCTGGCTGCAGTCACACTTGCGGAAGAGCAAGTGCGGAAGCGAAAGCCGGATTATTAATGGGCGGCCAGGAGGGAAGCGATCATCACGTTTTAGGTGTGAGCAAGGAGGGAAAGGAATGGGTGGTTGAATTAAATTGCCATGTGGGCGTCAGTCGCCCCCACGATCCACCAATTTGGGTCGCTTCCCATCTGGCCTCGATTTGCTCGCACATTGATCCAGGAGCGGAAAGGGTGTCTTAGATGACTCCTACCTGCTAGCCGTACGTTTGGTGTGTGGTGTGGGAGACGTCGGTGTAGCGTCGTTACACAGCCAAATGTCCCGTGACGATTACACCACGCACACCCATCTGGCTCTCCTGCTCGCCGACGACCATGCCATGATGCCGTCTTGGTCCGCGCACGCACACCCCCAGCCAACCCACCCGTACAGAGTAGTTCGCGACAGAATGCCGGGGCAGGGGAGCAGGCGGTCTGCTCTTGGAGGTGAAAATCTGTAGAGACCGGACGAAACGAGACAGCAGGGTGGGTTCCGTGGAAGGCGCCGACTTTCTTACACGAAGCACTGGTAAATGGCGGGCTCGGCTCGTAGGTACCTCCTGCGGTAGGGGCCAGGCAGGCTACTGTGATTACCGCGACTGTTTTAGCAGCACTAAGCCACCTCTCCCGATTCCCTCTTCTGCTGCAGTGTGGCGGTGGTGGGGTCCGCGACAGCGGTAGCGACGTTTTACAGGGGGCTGCAGGGCCCGAGCTCTGGCACTCGATCCCTTGCGGCGTCCCGCCGTGCATTGGGATTCGTTCCTCTGCTCAAATTACCGGTGGTAGAGCCACCCCTGCCCACTCATTCCTTCCCTTCCCTTCCATGTCCCTTCCAATGGACCTTGCACCCGTCCTGTGCTTGGCCTCTGGGACCTTTCTCCCAAAAGCACAGTCAGCCAAAGCTGCTCAGCCCTATCCAGGAAAAGAAAGAAGGCCGCCGTTTTAGTCCCCATTCTCCAACGCTTGCCTCGCGACTTGGCTCAATCCAGCTCCGATCTGGCCCAGGATTGGACAGCCAGCCTGGCCCTAGGCCCTTGAGCCACGGGGTCCCTCGGCGATTCCTGACAAATGACGGCCCGTCACCACTGGCAGCGACTGCTTCGAAGCAGGGCTGAGGCCAGGCCAGATCCCTAGTATGCAACCCCCAAGTCCAATGGAAGCCAGCCGGTAGGGATGGCAGGGCTCCCACAAGAGTGTCATCCGCAATTGGAGCTGCACCAAATTAGTGACAGAGTAGGTAGGCGTGTGTCTTGTCCTCTACGTACCTCTGGCGACCCATGTCGGCGTGCAGGTATCTTCTACCGGTCTCCTGTAGGTGCTAGCGTGCATCCGCGAAGGTGTGAAGTATCATCAGGCAACACATCTCTGCCTGCGAGACACCTCACATCCCGAATATATAAGGGCTGCCCTCGATCCCGAAATTTCAGGAATCTCTCATCCCATCCATCAAGCAATCAATCAACAGTTTCACACTTTCTTCTTCACTCGCAAGCAAATAACTGTTTCTTTAATCAGCCATTAACAACAACCATCATCACTTTCACCTCTTCACGCCCACTCACCAACCAACTTTCCTAAGAGACTGACTTCCTTATTGTCTTTCCGACTCGCCTATTCACAAATCCACTTGACAACATTTTACAAGTAAAGAACATCTTCTAATCCCACAATCGCAATGGCTGCCCTCAACTTCTCCGATGCTCCCATGGCCCGCAACTGGGGTCGCTCCGGCTACAACAAGGACGACGAGCCCAAGGGCAACAAGGGCCGCTCCGGCTACAACGAGCCCGACGCCGATGAGCAGATGATCAACCTCAGCGGCCGCTCCGGCTACAACAAGTCCGGCGATGACGACGAGAAGTCTGGCCGCTCCGGCTACAACTAAAGAAGCACCAAATCACCCGCTTCCACTGCGACGACACCAAACTGTATCAAATTCAGCAAGTTGACTTTTTGCATTCTGTTTCTCTCACTGAGAATATTTGGTCTTTTCCGAGCATGAGCGACACGGATTTCGGGAGGGGGTGACATTTCCCCCCTTCCACTTCCGTTTGGTTTTTTTTTATGATTGTTTCGACAGCAACACAACAGTGCCACAGTCAAAGGGCGAAGGGAGCTCAAAATTGTCTGTTTTATATGTTCGACTTTGACGCGGGGTACATGATATATGGCATTATGGGAAATAGAACTACAGGAGGGCGCTCACTGCGATTCTCAGCTCACTGTGTGGACTTGGGAAGTGTATTTTTTCTTTGGATCTTTTCTTTTTCTTCTCTCCCTCTTTTTCTTTTTTTTTTCCTTCTTCTTCTCTTTTTTTTTACACTAGACTCGTGTTGGATCACTCCAACTTGCACTGCCTGCTTTTCCCTTTCAGCTCCTCGCTCGGCCTGGTTGCCGGTTTGAGAGCTGGTTGTCGGATGGGTGGTTGCGAGGATACGAGGCGTTTTGGATATGACTAGGGTTATAGACACGATAGACAAGCAATTAGACAGCTCTTCAAATTATTAGACTTTTCTCTATACACGTTGCTTATTTTCCAACGCAGAATCTGATTTACCCCTTTCGTCAGTACCAAGTTCCATCATCCAAAACAAGGAATAATTAAAATAGAAAATTAATCAAAAGTGCTGAAAGCAAAAACGTGGCAGAGTACCAAGGCCCGGGGTGGTGGGGCCCAGCAGTCGGGGGCCAAGGGGGGGAAAGGGGGCACGACGAAGGAAGAGAGGGTCGGGGTATCCCGATGAGCGAAACGAGGGAAAACGAGCAAAAAAAAAAAAAAGGGAATATGAAACTTACTTCTCGAATACGACGCCCAGCACGTCCTCGACGTCACCGGCCTCACCTCTGCCGGTGATACGCGCGAGACAGTCAGCGGCGTAGCGGAGATACTCGGCCGCGAGGACGACATCCGTGCCCACATCCACACCGGCGTCGTCATCGCGGTGCGCCTGCGCCTCCTCCGCGAAACTCTCCAGGTGACGTCTGCACTCGGCCAGGAGCTGACGTTGGCGCTCCGTCACCCCCAGGAGGTCTTGCAGGTCGACGGGCATCTCGGTCATCTGGGAGAATACCGACACGAGGGCGTTGGTGACGGAATGGACGCCGCCTGGGTCGTTGTTGTTGCTGGTGATGGCGGCTGACTGGGCATCCCGGCAGGAAATTGCTAGGATCTTTGTCTCAGATAGCTTCGCCGACTTTGCTGCAAGGACCTGACGAAACTCGTTGATGAGTTCCGTCTTCCGGGACTCGTCGACCCCGTCAATCTTGTTGATGACAATAATGGACGACTTGGCATTCGCGGCAAGGTCCAACGTCTCCTCGTCGTAAAAGAGAAAGTTCCCCGCGGGACCCTTCTCAATTGAAGCAAAGACAACGACAATGTCGGAATCGAGTGCCTTTTGCTTCGCCCGTCTTATTCCCTCCTCTTCCACGGCCCCAATTGGCCCAGACCTCAGACCCTCGTGATGTGATGTTGACTCCTGAGACCGGAAGCCGGCCGTATCTGCAAAGGAGCAGAGGTAACCTCGTATATCGAGACTGGCCTCTACAATATCCCGCGTGGTGCCAGCCTCGCCGGAAACGATAGATGCCTCTCTCCCCACTATCAGATTCATCAGGGAGCTTTTTCCCACATTGGGCGGGCCAACCAGAGCGATGCGGATGCCGCTCCGCAGCAACTCGCTCCGCTGGCTACCCTGCTCGTGAAGCTCAATGCCACGTAGAATATCGGCAACCTGCGAGGTTACATTGCTTAGCAACTCCGACTGTGAGTCATCAAAGTGCTGGTCCTCCGAAAAGTCGATGAGCGCCTCGATCTCGCCACGAGCATGCAGGAGCTTCTCCCGCCATTCCTCGTACGTTCGGCCGAGGGCCCCAGAGTTGCCGCGCACCGCGGCCCGGCGCTGCTGCTCAGTCTCCGCGGCCAACGTGTCGCCGAGCGACTCGACCTGGGCGAGGTCCAGGCGGTCGTGGATGAAGGCGCGCTTGGTGAACTCCCCGGGCTCGGCGTACCGGATGCGATGCACGCGCGAGCTGTTGCTGCGGGGGATGGCAGCCAGCACGGCCTTCACGGTGGCTGAGCCGCCGTGGACGTGCAACTCGAGGACATCCTCTCCAGTCACCGAGTTTGGCCCCGGGAAGGAGAGGACCAGCGCCTGGGCATCGAGGAGGCCTGTCACGTGTCCTGGTGTTGACGCGGAGGGGTCGTATAAACTACGGACAGCCGCAAGTCGGGGTTTTGGGAAAGCCCTGCCTGGACATAGGGCCGAATAGACCTTTGGGGAAACAATAAGTCAGCAACGCATGTACTCGATACATTACTAATTCGGACAAACACCGTAGTACCTCACGGCATGATGGGCCTGATATGCGAATCACAGCGATGCCTGCTCGGCCTTGGGCGGTGGACAAGGCGTAGATGGTGTCACCCACGGAGGGTAGACTTGACGAGTGGGAAAACCTGCTCAGCTGCAGACATTGGGGGTCACTGTTCCATCGTGGAGTGCGTCCAGCACACCAGGGTGGCCGTGGGATTCCCAGCTGACATCGTACTTGGAGGCTTGGGCCGTTATGCAAGAGACCGGTTCTGTCAGCGAGGATGAGTCTTCGGGTCCGTAGGCCACAGCGCAGCATTGACGCAACTCGTATCCCGCGTGATTTGAGGAAATCGAGTTTAGCGAGCGTCAGGATAGGGCTGTGAAATCCGGCCAGGTCAGCTGTCCGAAGAGGTGTTGTATCGGTGCATGGGGTGTGTGTCGGGGGGCGGAAGCGACCAGAAATTTAGACCGCCGTGGAGCTAGCTGCATCACCATTATTTGGAATCTACCCGGGACTCGCATCACCTTCCCCGAGGCACTCCCCTGAAGCTTTGCAGATTTTTCATATGCCTTTTTTTGTCACTTCTCATAAATTAGGTGAGAGTGGCATTTGTAAGGCTCAAGATTTGGATGTATTGTCAACTGTTACAACTGCAAGGGCTTACAAATGCATCCATCCCTACAGTTCCTACACAATGACTGTAACTTACTACGGAGCTTTAGGAAACTTCTTCATTTACACTTCAAATCCAAATAGATAGCAATTATCTACAAACAAACATTACTGATTCTCGGCTATGTTAACACCTCCATCTTTTTTATCATCGATATGAGTGTTTTTTTTAGCCAGCCATACTGCCTCCTCAGTCAAACTGGAGATGGAACCCCAAAAACCATCAGGCGCGGACGTTGAAAAGCACATCGGCGAGCCAGAGACTAGAATTTTGGTTAAAGAGGCTTCAATACATATGAATGCCACGAAGTAGGAATTGTGAGAGCTGTAGTCTTTATGTGAGTCGTTGAAACACCACCTCATGCATGGAGTAAGTGTCCGCTAGAGACTACCTCATGAAACATGTTAAAAGCTCTATTTAAGCTGTACTTGTAAATGGGGTTTCCCTTATAGCCCATGCCGGTGTCCCGAGGCCGCTATTAGATTCCCTAATAGAACTCAAACGTCGTGGCTGAAGTCTGGAACTGGTCTAGTTGCTTCGACGGCATCGCCATCCGAGAAGCTGTATATATGCCCTTATGCAATCCGACACTTCCTTTCAACCACAAGCCCATCAGCATTCCTTTAAATTTACGGCCAAATTGAGAAGTGATTAAAGAAATCATAAGCATAGGCACTGTCGCCACCTTCATCTTTCAAAAATGAGCATTTTGATGAGATCACAAGTCCGCACACACACAGGCTCATACCAGACCATCGCCTCAAATGCACCGATAGGATTACTTTGTTTCAGAGACCTTTTCGAACAAGAAGACGCCGTCACCCCTAACAAACAACACCTCGAATCGGTGTTGGCTCGGGATTTTAGGGACTTGGAAAATGGCACCGAGAGAAGCAAAGCTCGTCAAGACGTCATCAATGCCATAATGACCCGGAGATCACGGTATTCAAAATACCAAACGGACATATCACAGTGTTGGTGCATAACAAACCCGGACAAATCCCAGACTGTGCTATTTGAAGGCATCCGCTTCATGATGTTCATCCATGATGACGAATGGGTCCGGGTCCCGCTCTCAGGCCGCCTCGAAGTCCGTCCGGCCACCCGGAACGGCAAGTCAGCGGGGGAAATCGTGCAGAGAAAGATGACCCTGGATCTCACCGGCTTCTGGCAGCGGCGTGAAGTCCTTAGAAAGATTCTCAAACCTCCTCATTCGGCTAAAACGAGTGCTTCGCCCACGTTGCCGCCTTACCCCGAGCTGGACGGAGGACCAAAACTCGAAGCAGGCCCTAAAGCTGAAATGTATGGTGATGTACCGCCGACCGGCGTTAACAGGAATATCCTCCCGGACAGGCAGCTCCCGAAGGATAAGACGTCGCCACAGCCAGCAGCTCCAGCTCGACAATACCGCCTCCCTCTGGGTTCAATGCAGCCACGTCCCCCAGAAACGCGGGACCAAGAAGATTTTGTCCCCCAGACTGTCCCTGAAAAACGGCCTATACAGCCTCGTCGGTTTGAAGAAGATTATCGGCAGGATATGCAAAAGCCAACTTCCTATGCTCCGTACGTGAGAGAGCCTAGAAATCATGAAAGCAGCCAAGCGGGAATGTAGTCGCTCTAATATGCTCCAGGGAGATGAAAGAAGACGAATGTACGGTTTCTTAGAGCTGCCTGGCGAGATGGATTCGTTCTTTGTGTTGCTAATCAATTCAAGTGTTAAAGCCCAATCCGTTCTATGGGTATATGTTCTTGGATGCTCCCGTTATAGTTAGTCAATGAGACTGCACATGGAATCTGTATATTTATGTTATAGGCTATGGAATGCGGTTTTGAATCCCACTTTTAATTTCTGCTAAATTGGAAGAATCATGGCACTTTTATTGACACGTTGGGCGAGTGTTCAGATTTCAGACTGTATGAAATGGACGACCCCGCGGTTATTACCCCGCCATGGCCGTTAGCATAGATAGTGTACAAAATCATTAGTTACTAGGCAGGTCGGAAAATAGTACTTCGAACACTATGAGATCACCTTATTAGGAGGCAGAAACAAAAAGGAAATCAAATCATGGAGAATTCGAGAGGGAGAAAAGACAAAAAGTAATCGACGTGGGCCTGATTCGAACAGACGCTCCCGAAGGAACTAGATTTCAAGTCTAGCGCGTTAGACCACTCCGCCACCACGCCTCTTGTGGCGGATTAGTCATGTAATCACAACTATAGACTGGGGCTGCCTCAACGGGAAAGCTTCGGCCAGATACGTTAGTACCTCTGCCAGGGCACCCACGTCAACCAGCTTGACGCAGCTTGAAGCTGCCTGGCCGCTGTGATTCCCTAACCTCAGACCTGCCTCTCGACGATTTGTCCGCCCCAACCCTCTTGTTCCCCCCACGTCGAAGTTACGACCCCAGCTTTCATCAACTCAATCTACATAATACTGGGCCGCGGAACAAGAAATAGCACACTGTCGCCATGTTTCGAAACAATTACGATAACGATTCCGTCACATTGTATGTTGTTAAACTGCTTCTAGCTTGGGGAAGTCCCGTCATTGACCCGATGCAGCTCGCCCCAGGGCCGAATATTCCAGATCGAGTATGCTGGCGAGGCTGTCAAGCAAGGTTCAGTAGTCGTGGGCATCGCCAGTAAAACCCACGTCGTCCTGTGCGCCATCAAGGTGTGTTCCAATGCCCCGACCTCAATTCCAGCCTTGCACTTTGTAAGCTCGAGCTAACCACCCCGCTCTCTACAGCGAAACGCAGAGGAGCTGTCCTCGTACCAGAAGAAGCTATTCACCGTCGACGAACATGTCGGTCTCGCTATCGCCGGTCTGACCTCGGACGCCCGCGTCCTCTCCAACTTCATGAAGCAACAGTGCCTTGGCCACCGTCTCACATACGGCCGTGCCATGCCCGTCAGCTCCCTGGTCGACCTCATCGGCGAGAAGGCCCAGACGAACACCCAGATGTACGGCAAGAGACCCTACGGTGTCGGCCTGCTGGTTGCCGGCGTTGACGAGAAGGGCACCCACCTGTTCGAGTTCCAGCCTTCCGGCATGACGGAGGAGATGGTGGCGTTCGCGATCGGCGCACGCAGTCAGATGGCGAGGACATATCTCGAGCGCAACCTCGACAAGTTCGAGAATGCCTCAAGGGAAGAGCTGATCCAGCACGGCCTGAAGGCGCTCAAGGAGAGCTTGGTTCAGGACAAGGAGCTGACCGTGGAGAACACATCAGTCGGTGTTGCCGGTGCTCAAACAGAGGGCAAGAAGGGTATCGAGCCTTTCAAGCTTTACGATGGGTTTGACGTCCAGGAGTGGATCGAGAGTGTTGCAGATGGCCCTAGCGCCGGTGACGAAGCAGAGGGCGAGGGCATGGACGTGGACAACTAGAGAGAAAGAATAGAATGGCATAATGAATAACGTCGCCGCGAATTCGCAGGAAGTGTGTGTACAGTAAGGGCTGCATGGGTTGGTGATTCTTTCACGAGCTGAAATGACAAAACGCAGTAGATTTTGGTGGTTGAAATGCCACCAAATGGTTGTTTATTTCTTTATATGATGCTAGCTAACTGAATGACAACCGACCCATGGTCCCAACCTAAGTGATATCTAACCTTAAAAGACATAACACCGTCCCATGCACTATCGGCTGCCGCAAGTGAGGGAGTGATAATAGCCGCCCCGATTTGTCTAGCTACTCTCCCACTTTAGCTGGTAGATTCCATCGGCGACCTTGTAGTCGCGCAGGGCCTGGAGAGCGCCTTCAGGAGTAGTTGACGTAACGAGAATGTTCTTGTTCGCCTCCTTGACGAAGCCCTCTTCGACAGCCTTGTCTAGCCACTGCACGATGCCATCCCAATAACCGTTGATATTAAGTAGAACAATGCCGTTGCTGTGGATTCCCAGCTGGTTCCAGGTTGTGGTCTCGAAGATCTCCTCCATGGTGCCAAAGCCACCGCTCAGGCCGATGAAGCCGCTTCCTGGGCCGCCGGCGAAAACCTCCTCGGCCATGAGCTTCTTGCGGGTGTGCATGTCCTTGACCACGGTGGTGCGACCGTACACTGACTCTTCAGGGACAACCTGGTTGGACTTGTTGGTGGTTTGGTAGGTACCGTCCCGCTCGTACTTGACGAGCGCCTCGGGAATGATGCCGTGGACAGAGTCGGGGCCGTTGATGGAGACAAGAGTCTTTGCGACTTCGCCCATGAGACCGACGGTTCCGCCACCATATACTGTGTTTGTGTCTTCTTGTCAGCATTGTCCAGATCGAGACGGGTAGAGGAGTAGAGCCGCCTTGTTAGGAACGTGGTACAAACCTAGATCAATGTTGTTCGCGGCCATGGCCCGGCCGAGTTCTCGAGCCGCCTCCAGGTGAAGTGGGCTGGATCCCGCATTGGCTCCGCAGTATACGCACACTTTGGCGCGAGGGGCGCCGTTGCCCGAGTGGCCATTCTGGCCGGAGGGTTGGGTATCAGAAGTCATCGTGTTCTCTGGGAATGGGAGGATGAGAGGGGGAGAAATGGATGATTGTGATGTAAATAGAAGGGTCACCAGATCAAGAATAAATAGCCCGATGAGACAAGGTGTGACGTTGGTGGCACTCAATCCTGCGGCGATTTCTATTGGAGTTTATACGCCTTGAATCCCGCCAGGTCCAGGTTGTCAGGACTAGCTTTGAGACTCGTTGGGATCGATGACTCTTTGCCGGGGAGAACGCTACGTCACAGTCCGAAAGGGCTCCGATTCGGAGGTATGTGCCAGTACAGCGGTGAGATAGCGTATCTTTATGGAAGAGTAACTGGGCAGCAGCGGAAGGAATGCTCAAGAGAACGAAGCGAATATTTCGATCCGAGACCGTATATACGGCTGTTCAACAGTCGGGGAGCAGACCAGACCCTTAAATACCCCGGGACTACCACGTTATTGACCTTGATGGTGGCCGGCAGACCTGCATGATCGGCCCTTGGGGCTACGCTACAGACGGCTCTTGCAGGGCTCCTGGCACATGAATGGTGATGGGTGCCCACCCACGGCCGTCTCCCATGCACACCATGTTGTCGATTGGTTACAAGCCCAGGGCCTTTAGCTTTTGGCTTGGTTACCGCCACTGCCACGTACATAACTCTAACCGTCTAGGAGATGGGTAGTGTGTATTCTGGTATTTTGAGGAGCGTGACGCCAGCCACGCCGTAAGAGACCGGCCTGCATTGGTATGGGGATGCGGATTGGGCAAGGAAGAGGTCGCATGTTGTGTGATCAAAAGCACCTGGCCACCCATATCCTTGGAGCATGCTCTCAATGTGCTTGATGCCTAACAACCAAGGTCCAAGACGAATATCGTCAACACAACCCGAACTGGCACTGGTATTTCGGAGTAAGTTGTACATCTACTTGGTATACCTAGCTAATAGACGCTCTACTCAACTCCACGTTTTGTTGTTGAATGCCCTTATCAGCAACCGACTCTAACCGTGGGCAAAGATGTAGCGGTGATTCGTCGCCTGGAAAATGGCCGATTAGCGGACTTGTGTCGGTGCAGAGGGAAGGTGGCTAATTTGCCTCTTCCCAACTCGGAAGCGGCGGGTCCTGCTAGACGGCAAGCACGTTATATCGACTGTGGGGACGGGCCCTGGTTAACTCGACCTCCGGCGGGCAACCAAGAGGACAGTTTTTAATCCGTCCCACGAGATAATTCGATTCTCGTGCATCTGCGACGACTGCCCCATTGTCCTGCCGCCTGCTTGTCTACAAGCTGCGATGCCTCCCAATAACGCTGCCGTCGCCGGGCGGAGGCCCCAGGGCCAGAACCAGGACCCGACATCAGTGAGTATGCACTTTGCGCTGGACCCTTGACTTGACATGGACTCGATCTAATGGTGTTTCTGTTTGCGCGCGCGACCAGGCCATCCCCGGCTGGACAAAGCTCTTGATCGGAGGAGTATGCTACTTTGGCCTCAACATCTTCCTGAACCAGGCCTTCTCTAAATCCCAGACGACCGTCACCCGGACCGATCCCAAGACCGGCGAGAAGATCCAGGTTGCCAGCAACACCGGCGAGATCCCACCTTTCCAGCTCCGACCAAAAAAATTAGATGAAGGCGCGCAGTATCAAGCCTTCCCGACCAAGATCGCACCCATCTGGCCTCAAGATGCCCATGTGGACATCATCGTAACTCTGTCGCCCTCTTTCAACCCCACCCCTCTCTCGCAGACCCCCGACGAATACATTGTTCTCAATGAGAAGGAATTCCACATGAACAATTACACGGACAAGAGATCTGTCGATACCAAGTTCACCGTACCTAAGGCTGTTCAGAACAATGGCACTCTTTGGGGCCACTTCTATATTGGACTTCCTGGAAGCGTTTTGGACCCCAAGAGCCCTCAATTCAACTCTGATGTGGCATATCACTTTGCCTACCCATTGACTCAATATCTTCCCAAGAAGAAGATCGCCAAGACTCGTCACCTGCTCGATGATCTACCCGCTCCTGTCGAGGAAGAGCCTGAAGAGAAGACACCTGGGCCTATCCTTGCCAATTACTATCACCCCAATGCAAGTTTCTCCATCGTTCCCAACATGGGTGTTGCCAATTTCCGACAAGTTCCAAATGCTGCCAAACACTTTCTCCAACTTGAGAGAACTGGTGCCCGTGACGGAAGTGGTGAGAATGGATGGTACTGTATGTGGCTCTCTACCTTAACGCGATAGACTTGGAGATTTGGAACTAACTAGCATCGCAGACCCCCTCCTATTTGTGAACAACTTCTGGCAGCTTACCAGCCACATGACACTTCTCAATGATACGGTCACTGAACTCCCTATCCATATTGACCTCACCAATATGGCAAGCTGGAAGTTCCAGATCTTGGCAAACATGGAGATGAACTCGAAGGAGAACGCTCGCCAGGCTGCTTTCGGAAACTCCCTGCCCACCGGCGGTGATGGGACTGAGATCGAGATGATTAAGGAGATTTTTATTGATACCAACCCTATTCTTCTCGGCGTGACCATCGTTGTGAGCATTGCCCACATGATTCTGGAGACTCTCGCCTTTGGCTCCGATATTGCCCATTACCGCAAGAAGAAGGACAATGTTGGTATTTCCGTGCGCTCCATCCTGGCCAATGTTTTTATGCAGACCGTCATTCTCCTTTACCTGGTCGACAATTCTCAAAACACCAGCTGGATGATCCTGGGCCAGCAGGCGATCGGCATCCTTATCGAATTCTGGAAGATTACTACTGTGGTGAACGTACGAGTTCGACCTGCCCCTCCCGGATCATGGTTGCCATTCTGGATTGTATTTGAAGACAAGAGCCAGCTCAGCGAGACGGAACAGAAGACCAAGGAGTACGACCAGATCGCCTTCAAGTACATGTACTACCTTGCTGTGCCGCTCCTGATTGCCTACGGCATTTACTCTCTATACTACGATACGCACAAATCTTGGTACTCGTATATCATCACTACTTTGGTGGGGTCTGTCTATGCCTACGGATTCTTGATGATGGTCCCCTCGCTGTACATCAACTATAGGTTGAAGAGTGTTGCGCACATGCCCTCCAAGGCCATGATGTACAAATTCCTCAACACCTTCATTGACGATCTGTTTGCCTTCACCATCAAGATGCCCCTGCTTCACCGTCTGGCAACATTACGTGACGACGTCATCTTCTTTGTCTACCTTTACCAGCGCTGGGTTTACCGCATTGATTATACGCGTGTGAACGAATTCGGACAGGGTGGTGATGATGATGAGCCAGAGGAGAAGAAGAAGGAAGGTGAGGAGGCTGAGGCTAAGACCGAGGAGAAGGCCGAAGGAAAGGCCACGGGTGCTTCTACTGGCAAGGCAACAAAGCGAAAGTAGAGTGACGTGTTACACTTTCTGGATGATATGTCACTGTTGGGCGTCGGGGTGCATGAGATGCGAATTGGCAGTGGTTGCACCGGGCGCTCAGCTGCTGTATAGATCCTAATAATAGTAGGTAGCATTTCGCTACTCAAGTAGCACTGCAGATGGGAACGGAGGGGCTTACCGTGGGGGATGCTGGTTGAGTATCCCAAATTGAGTAATGGCAATCCGATCTACTATTAATAATACATTCATCGCTTTGCGAATTGTCAGACTGCAAGTAATCAGACGGCCGAATCCATAGCTGAAATTCTGCCAACAGTCTAGCCAGTATCTACAATAAGCGTATGATTGATGGATTTTCAGCTGTGCCCTCTGCTTCCTTTGAGAGGAATAGCCTTCGCCTAATGGCAACCTAGTTAGCAGCTCAAACAGCTCGCAAATGAATGCACCCATGGATGTCTCTAGGACAAGCCACCCCCCATAGTCCTGCGGCATTAGTGACACTCAGCCCTACCTACAAGCAATCCGACTGGCTGGAGGGTATTGGGTGAGCGCGCGAAGGACCTTTCGTTTAGTGCGTCTACCGACCTGCTGAATGATTGGTGCTGACTGTGTTTGGCGCAGGTACCGGGCCCCCAATGGGTCTGTCTCCCTTCCATGTGATTGTTTGAGGACGAGAGACGAGCTGCTGAACCCAGATTTCTCCTGATAACGCATAAATTCAGAGGCCAGAACACCACACGCGACTCATTTCTGTGTTGATCAACAACTTACCGCCAAGTCCTCGTGGTCCGAGCAGATGCGGTTTCTAGTGGCGGCCTGTCCCTTAACGCTATTTTTGTGACAGCCCCAGGCACGAGCCACGTATGCGCTCATAGTGCCCACCCATCCGCCACACTCCCTCTCTTCTACTTTCTTTCTTTGGGGGGAGCATCTCAAGCACTCGATCTGTGTTTGCTGTCGTCGGACGGCACTGCTGCGAAATATTCTCCTTGTTTAGGTGACCCCGTCCGAGATCCCCGGCTCCACTGTACTAGCTCAACCCAAGAGCCGTTGCCGACGATGCCCTCACGTTCGTGCGCCACCACCACCGTTGTTGCCGCTGCTGCTTGAATGCCGCTGCTTCCCCACGACCAATTGCGCCCCATTGCAGCGAACCCTCCGCGACCGTTGCGTCCACCATGAGCCGCAGCACCGCCGCCGACTCGGTCGGGTCGCTGCTCGCTGAGATTGCCAATTTTCTCGTCGACGGCGTGAGGATCCTGAGCTTATCTGATAGGCGACATTGGGGCCCGGACGAGCACGAGCAGCTCCGTGCTCTGGAGGACGCCCTCGACGAGGCCAAGAAGGACTTCCAGGGCCTTGCGCCGCTGGTGAATGGGCAATCACACTACGAAAACGACCGTTCACGTACGTTGGCCAGCTTACCATATTCTCAAACCCAACCTCCTTTCCGTCCGCTGCTTATCTTGCTAGCGAAGACGCTGATTAAGGGTCCTACCGAATGAGGAAAGATGGCCCTGAAGGCTAACATCCGTTGCTATAGATGACTCTCTTGTTGCTCTGCGACAACTCCGAAATAATTTTTCTGCTCACATCGGCTGCTTGAAGGACTGGAGCCGGTTGGGCGGCCCAATCGACCCGGCATGGGTCCGCGACACCCAAGCTCTGCAACGAGACCTCCACCGCGCGCAGTACCGTGCGGCCGGTCGAATATTCGCGTCAGGGCAGGAGTCCTCTACCCGCTGCCTGGGGGCCTTCCTGGTGTACCGGCAGCAGCGGGCGTGGAGGAACAGGCAGGAACTGAGCGTGGAGGAAGGGGGCTACCAGAGGAGACACTTGGAGGAGTTGAGGGTCTGTAATAATGTTGGGGGTTTCCACCGCCATGGAGAGGAAGATATTGCTTTTATTTGCGACTTTTGCGATGGCCACCTGATTTGGGAGGATTTGGATAAGATGCCCTCCGTGCGTACGGCACATGATAACTCGATATGGACCTCGTCGCCAACCGCGACCACTCTGCCGCTGGCAAACCCCCCACCTGCAAATCAGCCCTCGCCCTCACCCTCGCCTGTGCCCCCTGCACAGCGCCCCGGACAGCCACAATGGCAAGCCACCGGGTTCTCCAAGTCCCAATATGAGCAAAAACAGGTCGTCTTTGCCCCCGTGGCGATTGCGAACCACTCAGTGCCGATAGGCGGGGGCTGGCAATCTTTTATCACATGTCCCTTCTGTGAAGATGACGCAGACGGGCCGAGAGACACGGATGACGAGGAAGATGTATGGCGGCCAGAGGGCCTCTTTGAGGACGTGGCATCCTTCCAGGAACATCTGGAATGGCAGCATCCAGCCCTCTCCTCTGCCACGCCAGCCGAGTCGTCTTGCCTGGTGATGTGACGAGCCACCCCCTTTCCACCACCCCGGCTGAGAAGATATACAGCAGCGAAAGCCACACCCGCGGATGGGATGGTGTGGCGCAACAGAACATAACACCTACATTGCTAACTAACGGCGTTCTCGGACAAACGGAGCGGATACACATTCACAGCATGGCATTGATATTACTAGTTATTTATGATAATGATCGGAAAGCGAATTAATAATCTCATGACTAGATGAACACCTAGATGGACCGAAAGAAGGACGCAGGATATAAAAATGATACTAGTACAGAGATTGGGCGCCTAGTGTACATTAGACCAGGGAGAGGGCGGATAAGGTGAATAAAATATATATAAATAAAGAATAAAAAACATGAATAAAACGGACAAATGCGTTTGTGATCCCAGTAGTATTCCCGCTACCTAACATATTACAGTTCTTTTTTCGAAACATCGTAAAAATCCCAAAAAACACCCGGTGACTCTTTAGAAGAACCTCCACCATATGAAGATGAGGACGATGAGCCCCAGCCCGGCAAAGGGCCCGTACTGCTTGAGCAGCAGCTCCCAGTTGATGCGGACGGCGGCGCGGCGGTACTTCTTGCTGTCGTCGCGGAGGCGGCTGCTGATCTCGCCCATGCGCTCGAGGCTGTCCCCGCGGTACAGCAGGTCCTCGATGTTCTTGGTCATGATCTTGGTGACGTCGCGCAGCTCGTCGTTGAGCTGGTCGAGGTTCTGGCTGGCGCGGGAGTCGGCGTAGACGGCTTTCGTCTTGGAGATGAAGTTGTCGAACTCCATGAAGGCGTAGGGCCGCAGGCTGGGAGAGTGGACCTGCTGGAGGGGGTAGACGGTGGTGAACTCGCGGCTGAGGTCGGAGAGGTAGGTGAAGGCGAGCTTGCGCGGGTAGGAGCGGTCGCAGATGGTGATGAAGACGATGTCGGACTCGATGAGGTAGTGGAGGGTGAAGGAGCCGGCGCAGTCGACCGAGGCCTGGGACTCGGAGTTGCGGGTGAGCTTGCGGAGGACCTGGCGGACCTGGTTCTTGACCTCGTTGAGAGAGCCTTCGGCCTGGGGGGTTATTGTTTCGCGCGTTAGTTTGGATAATTGAGAACGGGTACGGGGGTAAGGACGGACTTGTTCTTCGTCGACGGAGGCGCAGAGCATCAGGCCTGGAGACGGGGGAGTTGGATTAGCTTCGAGTCGCATTTGGGGTGACGGCGGGCGGGCGTACCGTCCAGCCGGGATATTTGCGTTGATCGAATCATTGCGGATGTGTGTGTGATTGTGCGCGAGAAGATGGAGGAGGCGAGAGCTTCAATTCGGGCAGGGCGTTTTGTGGTTTTTGGTCGTCGCTGAGGCTACACGTGTCCAGGACGGATGGCTTGTGGTCGACGGTGTAGGCAGCAAGAAATGTTGCCAGCTATGTCAATTGGGGTGAATCTCTCTTTGTGGGAATTTCGTGGATAGCGTTAGCGAAAGGCTGTAAAATCAAGTGCGGTCGCTGAAAAGAATAAGAGGTCGTGGGCATATAGGAAGAATACAAAGGCAGAAAACAGGACGTCGTTAAATCAATCCAAGAATCAACGTAGCCTGACCAGGGGTGTTGCTTGGTGGTGTCTCCATCTAAGTTTAGAACAGGGTTCGCGGTTCCAGCATCTGCTTAGGCCTGCGCACCATATACAAGATTGGATAAGTGGTGTAAGGAACATGATAGCATTAATGTCCTTTTTTTAATATATTTGGTTTCATAGCTAAATCTCATCCTCTTCGTCGTCAAAATCATCCTCGCGGCCCATCTCATACAATATCCGTCCTCCCTCACCAGCTCCAATATCGGTCTGGGCATCAAAGTAGGGAAGCACGATCCCCTCCCTATCCTTGCGCTGCTTTTCTGTAAGACCAAGATTGAATGTGCTCTCTGGTTCGTCCTCCCCATCGCCGCCTCGAGAGTCCTCGGGCGATTTGAACATGGTGTGGTCAGCCAGTAGAAATACCTTTCCAGGCCCCGCGCCCGAGGGTGCAGGCACGAGGATGAATTTCTCTGATACGGTTCTTCCGCTCCTGCGCCGTAGATCCATATCAATAACGACGCCGTGCCTGTCGGCGTCTTTACCGGGGTCCGTGAGACCAATGAGTACGCCCTCTCGATCCTCCTTGAGACCCCACTCGGGCTCGACAAGGCTTCTGTTCCTCGCCTTTTGCCTTTCGATCTCCTGTTGCAGACTTGAGAGACGTAGAATGGCAGTGGCTAGATGACATAGAACGGTAAAAGGATGTGGCTCGTACTCATTCCACGTAGGAGGGAGGATGACGGGCACATCTGTGTGATAGACGGGTACTAGAGAGACCGCCGGAGTGAGGACGCTGGAGAGAAAGCTGGCTATGGCATGAGGCGCCGAGGAGGCCAGAGAATTCAGAGAGTCTATAACGACGATGGCACCTACAACCCCAGATGTCAGCACTTCACCATCTCGCTGTCTAACCATTGCTCTGTGACTCACGCTGCGTTGGCTTGTCCTTTTGTGTGCTTGGATCGAACGGAGGGTAATGCGATACCAGCTCTGCTCTCACGTTTTTGAGTTCCTTGCCGGCAGCCTTGACAAATACATCGGCATCACGGGGTTTCTTCAGAGTTGTGAAGGAGAGGAATATGACTTTGGCTTTGGAGATCTGCTATCCCGTCAGTCATACCCCGCTAAAAAAAAAGCTGCCTCTTTTTTTTGTCTGCCATTATGGGATCTCATACCTTTGCTCTAGAGAAAAATTCGGAAATGAGAGGCTGTGCTGTTCCCTCTAGACTGTCGAGGATGAGGGTGAGCGGACTGGCGCCATCGCGGAGGTTCAGTAGCTTTTGCAATAAGAGGAGTGAGTGCGAGCGGGTGTGTGCGTTGTTTGCTGGCGCCATCTTCTCCCTGCGCTTTGCGCCTTGCCAGTTGTGTATAACGGTGAAAAGTAATAGATCGGGTCTTTGATATCTATACTGTGAGGGTGAGATGTTCGGTGCGGCTGTTGTTGGGGGGTGAAAATGTTTTTGGCATGTCCAACGTCGATGCGCTAAACTTTGATGTAGCACTCCACAACCTTCAACCAAACCGAGCGAGTGTTCATGTAATCTTTTCCACATCATGTCTCGCTCGATGTCTGGTGATCCTTATTTAATGTTTTTTTTTGGTCTAATTTTATTTTATTATATTATTCTCAAATAGATGTCAGCAAATCGCTATTACTCGTGATAATCGTTGACTAAAGTACCAGCGCCCTCCTGGGGAGCAGCCAGGCATTATGCTAGCTCGTCCTTCTCATCTGCGGTCCCAGCTACGTTGATCGTTGAGCCCCGTCTCTGCTTCCAGGAGGAGGGAGTTGGTGTTTCTTTAGGCTGGGGGTCGTCTGCTTGTAGTTCGTCGATTGACATGGCGTCGCTGTCGGCTCCATCGCATCTCGCTACTTTGGTCGGGGTTTCGTTTCCCATGTCTTTCATTTCGCTGCCACCCGGGCCGCCGTCTCCATCTTGTGTTTCCCGTGAGGTCGCCTCTGATGATTTATTCTCCCCGTTGATGGCTTCATTTTGATTGCTGCCGCGGCTCACTTGCCGCTTTGGCTTGAAGTCTTGTGGAAGTTGAACCTTCCACTCAGCTTCGAATTTGTCTGCCAGATGCTCGTCAAAATCGCCCAACTTGCGTCGCTCATGCGCTGACCAAGCGCTTGCGAGCCACTCCGGATCAAAATGACCTAAGGCGATATTCTCAGTGTAAGTGGCACAATCGTGGCGGAAGGTGTCATCATTCATCAGCGACATCAAATTGGGTCGCGCATTCTCACTCTCTGGGTCGAGAATGTGCTCCTTGTCTGGGAACAAGGCGAGTATCTCTGCCTTGTCAGCGGCATCGAGTACATCCCATGCCATTGGGTTTGCCAGAAGTCTCTGTTGAGAAGGAGGAGGGCGTTAGCGATCATAACTCGGACAATGGAAACATCCAGGTTGTAGTGTCTGTGTCGCGGGGGTCTGGGTACACACTCTCAGATCGGCCTTTGCGAGGGGCGACTTCGGATCGATGATGATATTTTCAGCGTCCCATTTTCGGGCCTTGGTTGCGCGTTTGATGGTCACGGTGGAAGCTGGCTTTGCGGCTGGGTGCGATGCAGCCTTTCGCGTCCGCCCGCCGGAAGAGGCTGTGTTGGGTTTGCTCTCTTCCTCCCTTTCCTTTTCTTCTGGAGATTGGGTGCTCTGGGAATCTGTCGGTAGAACATCAGATTCAACGAGAGATGGGGCTGAAGAGAGAGTTGACGAGCTAGTGTCCCCTTGTTGATCATGTTCGTCCTCCATCTTTAAATCCTCAGTGTTGACTCCTTTGGTAGTGCAATTACTCGAATGAGAGTTGGGGATTTGATGAGACCGGGCAGGTGATAAGAGTCCACTAGAGGCCAAGAGAAAGCTGCATGCTGTGCAGCATTGCTCTATCAGCTATGCAGGTGCCTAGTCGCAAGAGATTTTAACGCTCTCGATGCCTGCGTAACATGAGAAGGCTGCCTGGAATGATGGCTAGTCCAGGCGACAAGAGGAAGCCTTTAAGACGGTACATGAATGATGATGTGAAGCTGTTAAACCGTTGGAGACACCTGCTGCGACAACCTTGTGGTAGGTGACCGTTTCGGCTTGGCGCCATCGCCGCTCTTGCCCAATCGCCGTTTCAGTACCCACCGTCCACCGCAACTGTCCAAAGTTTCAGACTGAAGCATTCCTTCCTCCACATCTACGGAGAAGGTGGGCATCAGTGAAGACTTACCTCGTAATTTCTTGTTTACCGCCTCGCTGTATATGCCACAATCCTTTGGTCATTGCTGCCTCTGCAATACCCATGATCATCTTCCCTTCTGCCTACCGCCGTACCGTATAGGGTGTATGTGGATTGGTAAGTCTGGGGTCTTACGGCTGATTGAGATCTCCAAATTATAGATCTCTTTCAAGTATAATAGCTATCAAGCCAATAGTTACATTTTGAGCCGAACATCTTGCAAGCAAGAGTAATACTACAGCTACGGCTATGTTTACGGCTATAGTTGTGGCTATAGCTATGGCTACAGGCAGCGCTTGTCGCAACGGCAGACAGCTAGGTAGGTACCTGTCTGGCATCAGTACCTTAAGGTGCTCGACGCTTTGGGCGAGCTCGACAATCCTCACTTTGTAAGTGCTACAAGTGCTTCAGGATAATGCGGCACCGAAGTGCTCTCAGAATGTCGAAGGCGGGGTTCGATGGTGACCCGTGAGGGGGATCGTCGACAGGCCCCCCACAGCGAACGGAGAAATATGGTCTCACCCGAAGCTTCGGCCCTCAACCGTGCCATCTTCGACAAAGCTGAAGCGACCGGAGGAACTTCTTTGGGGGCTGACTGGAACGTCAATGGGGTAGCGAATAGATTACCGTACCTCTTCACTTGCATCACTTGTCCCCCACCTCTGGCTGCTGGGATAAAAGGGTAGCATTATTACCCGCAGCCTAAGATACCGAGTCAGCCTATAAATGAATCAACTTCCCTCCACTTCGCCAGCCCATGGATACTTGATTTCTCATGTACGGCCATGATTCTACTCCTGAATGATCGATAAGTATCAAAGCCCAATTCATGAAATAGATTTGACTCCGTCGTTTCAACATGCCTGTCCACCTTGGCTACGATGATGTCCATCCTTTCTCAAAGGTAGACATCAAGGATAAAGCGTCAGTCCAAGAGCTTCTGCGCACCGTCCTGGATCCTCTGGAACCGTTCTTCTCGCCCCAGAAAGCACGAGTCAGATGCCCAGGTGCGACTGCGGTTCGCTTTGATCAGACGGCATCGGAAGTAGAAGGGTTCGCTCGTCCACTATGGGGCCTGGCATTTTTGTTGGCCGGTGGCGGCGAGTATCGAGGAACGGAGTGGTGGGTTGAGGGGTTGAGGACAGGGACTGATCCTGAGCACCCCGAGTACTGGGGCTATCCTCGTGACAATGACCAGAGGATGGTGGAAATGTGCCCTCTGGGTATGTTCGAGCGCTGATATACCTGACAAGACTGATCCTGGTGCTAATTATTCCAATGCTTAGGATACGCACTTGCTGTAGCTCCAGTGTTTTGGGACAAGTTGACAGATAAAGAGAAGTCTAATGTCGAAACTTGGCTAGGAAACTCCATCAACGAGAAAAAGTTGGTCCGCATCAAGAGGACGAATGTTGTTAGAGGCATGCTAATTGCTTGATTACAGTATGCCCAACACAAACTGGCTCTGGTTTCGAGTTTTTGCAAATCTCGGGCTGAAGAAAAACGGCGGCAAGTTTTCGCAGGAGAGATTGGATAGCGATATCAAACATTTGGACACCTTTTACCGAGGTGGCGGTTGGTCCAACGATGGCCCAGAGGGCATTCATCGTCAGTGTCTCCAAGCATACAATGGGCCGTTTGACCCAAAACTAACGTCTTCTGTTTGTAGAAATGGACTATTACTCATCGAGCTTTGCCATTCAGTTCTTGCAGCTCATATACGCGAAACTGGCAGGGGATGACGACCCCGAACGAGCTGCCGAATTCAAAAAGCGTGCGCAGCTGATAGCCCTGGATTTGGTTCACTACTACGATGATGAGGGGAGAGCCATTCCATATGGACGAAGTTTGACATATCGGTTCGCCGTGGTTTCTTTCTGGGGAGCGCTGGCTTATGCTGATGTTGAACTGCCTGCACCTCTAACCTGGGGCATGGTCAAGGGTATCGTATTTCGACATCTCCGCTGGTGGCAGACCCAAAATGCACTTTGGACATCAAGCGGCACTCTATCACTCGGGTACTCATACCCGAATATGTATGTAAGTTTGTCATCTCCTCATTTCTGGTTTTCCACGATCTCAGCAGGCTGACCTTAAATAGCTCACGGAGAACTACAATAGCCCAGGAAGCCCAGTAGGTCAACTCCGAAGTATATACTGATCATATTCTAATGCGTCTCTTAGTATTGGGCATGTCTTGGATTCTTATGCTTAGCTGTACCAGAGACTCACCCCTTTTGGACGTCTGAAGAGGAGCTGCCTGGAGACGCAATCCCGCGTGTCAAGGCGCTCAAACATCCCGGCCACATTGTAAGGTATGTCGAAACCTCCAGGTACTGATTGCAAGTCTTCAAGATCGTTTACATACAATATAGCTACCTTGGTGGCCACTGCATGTTGCTATCTTCAGGGCAGGCCTGCAGCTATCCCATGAAAGCCACCCATGCCAAGTACGGTGGCCTGGCTTACAGCAGCGCCTACGGCTATTCAGTTCCTCCCGGGCTCTTCTCACTAGAACAGTACGCCCTAGCATCCCAGCTGGGATTCTCGGATGATGGAGGCGAGTTTTGGAAGACTCGGAGGGCAAATGAGTACGCCGCATTGGAATCCCGGGAGGATAAGCCCGTCCTTGTATCCATCTGGAAGCCGTTCCCGGACGTCACAGTCAAGACCATTCTTATCCCACCAACAGAAGCAACGCCAAATTGGCATCTTCGAGCTCACCGTATCGAGGCAGGCCGTGAGGTAATGACGGCCGATGGATCCTTTGCCATCCGCAACGTCAACTCGGAGAACGGGCGATACCTGGACCCATACGATTCAACAAAGTGCGAGGGCACGCAGCCTAAAATAATTGGCAACTACGATTTGAACACCCCAGAAGGCTGGGCTTCGGGGAAGGATGGAGCTTTTGCAGTCTCCAAGGGTGCCGTGGGTATCAAGGCATTGGAGTCCTGGGAAGGGCGTCAAGCGAACCTGGTCAACGCCGATCCCAACTCTAATCTGATTGAGGGCCGTACTGTGATCCCGACGCTACAACACAAGATTGGAAAGGGTGAATCGGTTTCGTACGTGACGGGAGTGTATGCAAGGCCGTCGGGTCCCAAAGAGCAGTATCTAGAGGGGTGGGAGAACCCCCCTACAGTTCCTGACTGGCTTACAGCAGAGCTCAAGTAATTGATGAGAGGGTGTGAGGATGACCACTCGGGACCATTCAAGCAGTAGCATATCGCGCGATTTGCATAGGGAAATTGACAGAAAGAAGCAGTTATGGAGATAGCACTAAGCCCGGCTCTCAGTCTACACGAGTATGTAGACGATTCACCACCTTGCATATTCTAGGCAAGCTCTGGGGAAAATCAAGTTACCCGAACCAATGGCCGGGGACAGGGGGTGTTTGCGAGATGAGGCGGGAGGGAATCATCCTGTGGAGTTAAGGTGAAGCCAACATTGGGGAAGTTGGGGAGATTGGATGCGTCCATCCCAGCCACCTCCAATATCCCAAGACGAGCAATGTGCATAAGTCACACGGGCCAAATGATTTAACCTCAAACCGATTTAACCTCAAACCTCCTCTTTTGCCATGGAAGAATTCTGCGGCTTATTCTTATCGGCCGCCATCCTTCTGACAATACGATGATCTCCTGCTTTTTGCATCCAAGTCCGAAGTCCCCAAGTGTGACTCGAGAAAGGACCATTTGTGGAGAGTGTCGATCCCCTCTGGGCTTTGCTTCTGGACCAAAGATAGCCTAAAGGTCAGTCCACAAGCCTTCGCAGAAACAGCATCGATAGGAGGTGATGCAACGTAATAAGCATATTCATCAATTAATCCTACCCTACCTTATCCGAGCTGGCTGCCTCCTCCATCCATCATGAGATTTGGAGACTCCCCGCGCAGAGTGCACAAACCACCCTCCCATAACGGAAATGCCGGTTCATTCGTGGAACTCAAATTATCCGGTCATCACAGCTAGGGGATGCCACATCGAATGCTACCCCAGGAAGCTAGCTGTGCCAATCCATCGAAGTAGCTTTCTACTCTCCCATCCAAAACACGGGATGGTCATCCATATTGCCGGTGCCAAGGCTCCGCATGAAGTCATGTAGTACGGATCTATATCCTCCCCCAGGCTGTGTGCTAGAGAGGATTATTGGAGGACGGAAAACGCTGTTCTTGTCCCGTGGCTGCCTATCCAATGTATATGTTCACACCATGACGGTCGCACGGTGACCGTGCAGAGCTGTGCACAGCCGCGCACCATTGATAGGCGAGCTCTCGCTTTGGTAGATGCAGGGCGTGGGAGGGAATAAATGTTCACACCAATCAGACAAGCTGGGGCGATGGTAATCAGCAGCATTGTTCCTCGAACGATCTCCTTCTCGGGGCCGGCCAAGGGTAATATGCTCATAAGCTTGTAGGTAGAGCCAGTTATCACCCTATGGCCGGGGGCCGGTTTGGGGTAACAGGCGGATCTGGGGTCCCCGGGATATGTTGATTGGTGGTGTAAGAGTAACACCGAGAGAGGAGCGCGGTCTTGTATATCTGCTGCAAAAGAGTGTCTGTCTTGTCCCTTGTCTAGGCGCGGGTTTACCCCTACTTATGAGTCTCCCCCTTCCCACCTCTGCCAGTGTTACTGCTGCTGCTCAACCCATCTGGCAACACACCAATTGCCCATCCTCACCCGGACTAGCTCTTCATTCTTCAGCTTGCTCGAGAGCCCATAGCTTCCACCATGGGCGCGATCGTCAAGATCCTGCGGACCGTCATCCGCAATGATGCCATGAAGGAGGACCCAGATGAAATCTACGGATGGAGGGTCTTCGCACTCGTATTTGCCGCCTGCTTCGGAGGAATGCTCTTTGGTTGGGACACCGGCGCCATCAGCGGCGTCCTCCAAATGAAGGCAACCCAGGAGAAGTTTGGCTATGCGGACTGGTCCAAGGCTGACCGGTCATTGATGGAGCAGAACATTGTGTCGACTCTTCAGGCTGGGTGCTTCCTCGGTTGCATCATTACTGGCTTCGTGGCTGACAGGTTCGGTCGCCGCCTTTGTCTCATGGCTGCCGGCTCTCTCACGGTCATTGGTGTTGTTTTCCAGACTGCCTCTGCTGCCAATGGCACCATCGGTGTCATGTATACCGGACGCTTCATTGCCGGTGTCGGTGTTGGCTCTGCTTCCACTCTCACGCCTCTCTATGTCTCCGAATGTGCGCCCCGAGCCATTCGTGGTGCTTTGACTGGTAGGTTTTGCGGGTGAATTTTCTAGTACAGGTAGAATGGGCCTAATTCAATCAACAGCTTTCTATCAGCTATTCAACGTTACTGGTATCATGATCTCGTTTTGGTGAGTACTTGCCACAGACCTGCTGTTTCCTGGATGCAATGAAATCTAACAACCAGAATGATAGGATCAACTACGGCTGTCTTTTGCATGTATCCGCACCAGCTGTCTATATTGTTCCTTTGATCTTGCAGGCCACTCCTGCCCTGTAAGCCTCCCTGCTCCTCGTCCTCATTTGCCGCCGCTGACCTTTCCCAGTCTTCTCATCCTCGGAATGTTTCTGTCTCCTGAAAGGTATTATCTTTTTTCCTCAAGAAGAATACCATAGCGAAGCGAATGCAAGCTAAGTTTGAACAGCCCTCGCTGGTGTGCACGCAAGGACGACTGGGAGAAAGCAGAGTCTATTCTTGTTCGCCTACGCGGGTAAGCTTGTTGGGTCCCTCTAATTCGAAGATTAATAAAAACTGACCTTGCTTCCAACAGAATGCCAAGTGATTCGGAATACGTTCGAAATGAAATCAGGGAGATGTCGGATCAACTCGAGACCGAAAGGCGCCTAACCGGAGACGCGGGCGCAAAGGTGCTGTTCAAGGAGATGACGACCATCCCTGCCAACCGAAAGCGAACTCTGATCTCCGTTGCTCTGATGATCTGCCAGCAAATGACTGGCGTTAACTCTATTGTGAGTGCAATAATTAACTCTTCACGGTGTGGCTTTGGTGTAGAGAAAGGGGGCATAATGAAATTGTTGACTGTGAAGCTCTGACTGACAGAATGTGCTACAATATAGAACTACTACGCCCCTCAGATTTTCACCAACCTCGGAATGACTGGCACAGACAGCTCCCTCTTTGCTACTGGAGTCTACGGTGTCGTCAAGGTTGCAGGTTGCGCGGTCTTCCTCATCTTCATTGCCGACTCTCTCGGTCGCCGCCGAAGTCTCATCTGGACCAGTGGTGCTCAGGGTCTTGTCATGTACCTCATTGGTATCTACGGCCGAGTTGAGCCTCCTGTGGTAGGTAGGCCCGTCTCCCCTTTCGGTTACGTGGCCATCACCTGTATCTACCTCTGGGCAGCGTAAGTATTCGGAACAAGTTATCACTCTATCCACTTCCTCTCTAACAGGCGAATCCAGGCTGTTCCAATTCGGTTGGGGCCCAGTTTGCTGGATTCTCATTTCTGAGATTCCTACCGCTCGACTTCGAGCTCCCAACGTCGCTCTCGGTGCTGCCACTCAGTGGCTGTTCAATTTCGTCATTGCCAGAAGTACGTTCACGTCCACATTTCAAAACTGCCCTTACAGATATCTAATGATCGTTAATAGCTGTCCTCACCATGCAAAACACCATGGGCACTGCCGGGTACGGCATGTTCTTCATGTTCGGAAGCTTCGACTTCATCATGGGCACATTCGTCTACTTCTTCGTCCCCGAGACCAAGGGCCTCACCCTTGAGAAGATGGACGAGCTGTTCGGCGTGCCAGAGCAGACCACCAAGAGACTGGATGAGGAGCCCGAGGTGGGACGGATCGAGGACAACCGCGTCGAGACGATCGAGGATGATGGACCGAAGAAGAAGTAAAGAACCACTTCTTGACGCCGTTGGGGTTGGATTCCCTTCTGACTCTCTGTTTGGTTATTGGGGTTGTACACCATGCAGTCGAGGATCTAATCTTCAGCAATGGCTTCAGCGAAAAACGACGCAGGCTTTTTGTGTGGGCTTCAACATTAATGATACCAAATGTTTGTTGTTTGGCCATGTAGCAGGTTGGTAGAATCGTGCCATTCAATGATTAGCAGTCTAGTGATCTCACTCTCTAGACTGCTTGGAATATAGCGTGTAAGAGCTAATTGCTACTTGGTAATATTTGCATTTTACGATGAGACATCTTCTTTGCCTTGACCGCTCAATATTCGGGAATGGTGTTCTAAAGGAACCATCCTGGGTATCATTGAGAAACTTTTGGTTTAGGGATAGGCAGAAACATGAAGAAACTTGAACATGCTCAAATTCACGACATACCTACCTAATTACTTAGGGTAGCAAGTGGTGAGGTTGAGTTCGAGGTACTCGAGCATTATACCGCTTCTGCGATTGGTATTATCGGATCATTGAGTGCTTATAATAAACCCATACTAGATATTTTCAATTGATATCGTTTAGTAATTGAAGAATCCCAATCATCGTTGATGGTCACTCTTCATTTTGATGTCTAATTCTTTTTGTCACCTAGTTGGGCAGGTAGGTGGGCCTCGTCTGTTCAAGTGTGATCAGAGTGGTAGATCTCGCTTGGCGAAAAAAAAACATTACAATGCATGGAACCCTGCAATAACGGCCGACTGACAGTCCAACGGCCTGCACCAGCCACTTTTACGGCGCCTCATCCGCTTGTACAGGGGCTCAGAGCAGGCCTGGAGCCGAAGAGGCTAGGGGGTTTCAGAGGGGGTTCACACGAGCGGTCACTAAAATCAGAGCAAATGTGGGGGCATCCTTGTGGCTTGGCACTGCGACTAATCACCGACTTAATCCATAGAGATGCTGGCGAGCTGTCCCCTTATTGACTGGAGTTGAAGCTACCTACACCCAGCACTCTCCAAAACCAGACTGTCGTGGACGTTGGGAACTGGATAACCGACTTGCGCAGGCCGACAGACCGACGACGACTCGAGCCCGAAAGTATCCCCGCCTCGGCAGCCAAGCTCGCAAACCAGTCGCCTCCTTGGACGAGCCATGAGCTCAGCTCGACGACTACATCGATCGTAGTGGACAATGCTCAACAACCAACAAACCTAGAATGAGCTTAGATCCTCTGCTCCCTATCGCTCCTGCGAGGGTGAAGGCCCTGCTACTGCCCATTAGCCAGATTACTTCCACCAGATTCGACTCCTTTGTCAC